ATAATAATAATAATAATAATAATAATAATGTGAACACAATTTGAAACCTAATCACTCTGGATAATAAGTCAATATTACCAGGGTAGGTTTAAGGTGAGAACAAACTGGGGTTTTTTTTGAATACACAAAAGGGGTTTGAATTTTCGTATAGATAAGGCTTCAATAAACTTTAGTATACGCCCTTTTACACTTTTATACAACACCACAAAAGCCAAGTTAAAAGATCAATCTTATGGGATTTGAATTGAATTTTGTTGTTATTATTATTATTGTATTGTTTTGTCTAGTATGTAGTAACAGTACAAACCTCAATTGTTAATATATAATATATTTCAATCAAATGATATTCTGTATTTACAAAATGTTTTAAATTTTTGGCCAGATGTTTGTTTTACTGAAAAACATTCATTATTTCATTAAATTCAATTATCTGTTATGCTTCTTCTAGACTTAATGTTTATGTGAAATATTCGTTGCATATTTGGTTTTATCAATCTTTGACTAATTGGTTATATTTGATTTGATGATATCCAAGTAACAAATGGTGCATGGTAATTAAAATTGTTTTTCATACGATATCTTAATTATGAATTCTTATATTTATGAATAATAAGGTGAATTTCATGAATGATTGATATATCACTTTGTATTGTAATATCGGTTACTATGTTAAGCTTATCTAACTTATTGTAACTTTTGGATAGGCCAATTTATTCATTCTTCTTTAGTCACGTTTCGACCTTGTTAATTATTTACTTATCAACAATGACTATTTTTATTTGAGTGTATATATGTGTACATTTCTGATCCTATTCATCACATGTCTGTAAGTTATTTTTGTTCGGTTATAAATATTGATTAACGTATGGTTAAATCGAGTTGGCTTCCACGCCTTCTCCACTGTATGTCATTTCGCTTTTTCCCTCCGATTATCTGTCCAGATTAATGAATGTACAAAATACACATATTCAAAAATTCATTCACATATTTGACTTATTTAATTCCAATAGTTTAGATCATGAGTCAATTAAAGCTAGACCACCATAGAAAACCTGGAAGCACTGAATCGGGTCAGTTGTGAGATAGGAACTCACTGATGACAATGGTGGATGTGTCGCTCAATTTCTTGGATTAATTGAAGTTAGACATTAACGCCGTTGGATGGCCGCTGAGTGGTCTAGCGGTTAAGTTCTCGCGCACGAGACCAGTAGGTCCTGGGTTCAAATACCGCAAGGCAGTATCGTGAATGCGCGCTGCTGAGGAGTCCCTCAATGGGACGAAACGGTCGTCTAGTGCTTCCAGGTTCTCCATATTGGTCTAGCTTCAATTGACTCATGATCTCAACTATTAAAATTACTATAATATCCACAAAACCCCTTCTGATATTAATTAATTTGTGACATATAGCATCTATTTGATTCTGATTTAAAGGTCCAAAGATAGATTTCATATGAGTTTGTATATGTATGGTGTTGAAAGTTCTAGATCTTAAAGGAAAACTGAATATTTTAGGGTTTATTATAGTTAGTAACGAAAAGGAATGATGTATAGTAACATTATCAGTTAGATATAAATGTTATACATTCAATCAGGGTATTGATCTAAGATTATCAACACAAAATACCATATGGACTTTACAGCGAGACTATAATTTATGGACGAACCAATCAGATTTACGATAACAGGTCTTGGATTTTGGCGCGAAATTCACTCATCCATTTGGCCAAATAGCGTTTTAACATTTTAGCTGATGTCAGTTCGTGATGAAAAGCCGTAAATCTAATTCATTATCCTAACCATCAACTGTGAATCATAATCCTTATTCTTCAGGCTGTCTAATAACCCCCATTTAGTCCTAGTAAATAGGTAGACACTCTCCAGGTCACTTAGGAGACGCTCAAAGGTTGTTCATAAATTATAGTCTTACCAACCTGACAATAAAATGTTGAATAACAAGATAAAAATAGCTTTGAAATCTACAAGTAAAAGATCTTTTCAAAGTGTGAAGAACCTGGTAATTTTTATTTACCAGAAGTGAGATTAAAATGTTACTGATATAACTTGTGTAGTTTGTGTCCTATTAATATATAACATAAAGATACCGCCAATTAGAGAACAGTGATTTATCGTGGAACGTAAATATGAATAGCTTAGGTACTTAACAATCATACAATAAGAATGTACGTATAGTATTAGTCCAGAAATAGATTCCAACAGTTACTATTCATTATTCTCATCAGGATATAACCGTTACATACAAAATTGCTTCTGGAAAATCTCAACAACAACAACAACAAAAGTACGTGGAAACTAATGCTTACGATCGTTCAGATAAAATACATTGAAATGAAATACTGACCACTTTACATTCATTATTTGTTAATTCAAATGCATTAATTGAATCTAATTTTTAAATGTTAATACCATTTTGATAGTTATAATATAATTCATGTTTGAGGATTGAAGCTTTCAATACAAATCTTTCTATAAACTAGGTTGAATGATCGAACTAAGTCAATGACATTGTGTTAATATGTGGTAGATTTACGATAAGAAAGTTACTTAGTTACTAAAAAATAATCAAATTGTATAAAAAACTTGAAAATCTTTTATACCTATGAATGCATCCGTTATTCGATACTTGAAAAATGATGAGTGTATTATTATCATCATTAAATGGTATTGGTACTTGCAAAAACCCTATACACGCTAAGTATATAGGGAAAAATACTGTATCATATTTTCACTAATGATATGATATGATCTAAAAGTCAACTTAAAATTGTATACATGTAAATAATACAGTTTACGAGAAGTAAAACAGGTAAACTGTATTAATATCGAAGTTACCCAAGCGATAAAACATTTCTGAATTGAAGGACTTTTTAATTTAAAGTAAAGAAATTAAATTGAATAAGAATATTTTCATTCATTCATTAATCTTTCATTGTGGATTCAGATAGTTCTTATTTCTTTCATCTGGTTTTGTAATGAATAATGTTTCGTCTTTCAGTAAGTTTGGTGGTATCTTCCTAGTGTTTTTAACATGATGTGTTCAATTCACTGACTGAAACTATATCTACTGTATGAACAATTTGTGTAGACTATGGACAATCAGTAACTCCGCCTGTAGCTCTTATAGGGTTGCTGCCGGTCCCAAGCCCGGGTAAAGGAGGAGGGTTGGGCATGGGGTTAGCGTCCCCATCCTGTAGAAAACTAACTCGCTAAAAAACGCTTACCAGAAAAAATAATCCAAACCATTCTAACTCTGCCCTGGGAGTTAGAAAGTCTTCGTTTAGAAGAATTATGACGCTTCATGGTGAAAGCCGAGTTCCTTCGGAAGCCACGAGGCCGATGCCCCTTCTAACAACCAGAGCAAAAATTTTTATAGGCACATGGAACGTTCGAACAATGTGGGAAACCGGGAAGACCAGTCAAATATCAATGGAAATGAGGAGATACAACTTAGCAGTACTGGGAATCAGCGAAACCCACTGGACCCAAACTGGACAGAAAAGGCTAGCTACGGGAGAGATGCTGCTATACTCCGGTCACGAAGAGGACAATGCTCCACACACTCAGGGAGTCGCTCTTATGCTGTCCAAAGTAGCACGAAATGCACTTGTAGGATGGGAATCTCACGGATCCAGAATCATCAAAGCATCATTCAAAACAAAGAAGGAGGGGATTACAATGAATATTATCCAATGTTATGCACCCACCAATGATATTAATACTAGGTTTCTGTCTTCATTAAGTTGATTGCTCGAGCAATTATAGATATTTCCTTTAGGATCTGTCAGATATTTATACCATACTAGTTTAGTAGTTAGATAAACTTATCTCTACTCCATATTTATATTTTTATCGTCAGTATAATTAACAAAAGGAACTATTCAAAAAAATATATTTAACAACCACTGACATCCATTGAATAACATCTTCAAACCCTAATGTTTCCGATTACTGCTTATAGTTTCACCACCTATACCACTATTGGGATTTGAATCGACAATTGTATCTCTGTACTAATGTGGTATGGCAAATCGAGCTGATCTACGTACGTACGAAGTTCTACGGTGTTGCTGACTGACTGACATCCATTGAAAAGTTGTAAGAACTCATTTCATTTCATATTACTCAATGTTGCATATAAATTTTCTGAACACAACCATGGAAATAGTTGAAAATTAGTTCAAATTAATATGTGCAAAGATTATAAAAACATCCCCATTGAAATAAAAAATTACTTTATTAGATTGAAGGCTGTTTTTGGAATATTTTAAATCATCAATCTAATAGATAGGAATTTCCTAATATCCCATGAAATGTAATAATATCCAAAAGCACCAGATTTTAATTTATCAAATTTTGATGAATTTCAGTCAGTTTAATCGTGATCAAAGTAGCAGCAGACTCAGCAACAGTAGATCTCAACATGCACAAAGCGAAAAGCAAAATTTTCCGATACAACACAACATGCAACAGTCCAGTCACAATTGACGGAGAAGATTTGGAAGGTGTAAAAGCCTTTACATATGTGGGCAGCATCATGGATCAACATGGTGGATCTGATGCAGATGTGAAGGCGCGGATCGGCAAAGCAAGAGCAGCATATCTACAACTGACGAACATCTGGAACTCAAAACAACTGTCTCTTAACCCACACCAAAGTCATAATTTTCAATACAAATGTGAAGGAAGTTCTACTGTATGGGCAGAATCTTGGAGAACTCCGAAAGTTGTCTACTCAAAATACTTCGGATCCATTGTCCAGACACTAACAATAACTAATGTCTATAATCTGTTAATACAGTTTAATCCAACCTTTATTGATGCAATGAATAACAAAGTAAATATTTCATTGAAGATTTATTTTTAAGTAAATATTAGTTTGCATTAAAATACTCTTTACTAGTTATACATCGGTACTTTTAAGTTTCTCACATGTTTAAAAAAAACTTAGTTTTTGTATGAAACACAAACAAACAAACATCCGTTTAGTCATCTAACTGACACAAAAGAGCAGCTCCTCGTTTTATCCAATGATTTGGATTAACACTTGTTGGGAGTAATATCGGTAAAACAAAATTGGTTGAATGTCCAGTTGTAGAAAGTGTACCACGACGTTCACTTGTTTTATAAACTGGACAACTGTATCTAATTAGTTTGGTTGATAATGCCTCAAGTTCCTCGCGAATTATAGGTTTCAACCAGATAATTGGCATCGGTTCGTTTAATATTTTTGGATATTGTTCACCAAGTTCCATGCTTCAAAAATATATAAAACAGATAAGAAAATTCAGCTCAGATTAAAGAATGATAAATTAATTACATGATATGAAACAATTTAAGATGAATATGTTGTGGCTAGAGTATCGTCATTAATATGTATTTATTGACTCGGTTGTATTCTCAGTCTTATTGCTTATATTTAATCATCATGAATTACTCCAACTCCTCGATTCAACCTCTTAACCTTTGAAACTTTGGAACCAATGAAATTTTCATAATGCAAAATAAGAACACGAAAGAACGGTGCATTGAGGACTGACTAATCCTCCAAAAACAAATCCCTAAACTAGTCCCAAACCATGTTGTCACTAAACCAAAGTACAATCATTTGCATACTAAAACTAACACACATTAAAAAATGAATATATAGAAGGAAATAAAAAGAGTCACTTTAAAAACAATTACAACGAATATAGTTCACTTGAATCTATACAGAGAATACAAATATCACAGTGAACGAGGTTCCAACAAATTACCCTAGCCGAAAGTCATTGTAAATCGACACAAGAAATATTTGTCTAAACAATGTCATTTTGCTATCCTATCATGTCAAAAAAATTATATCAACACAGTTAACAGAAAGTGTATGGGATTTAAGACCTTTTCTTTGAACAATTCCTACTCATGATATATAAATAAAATAATAATGAATTCATTGCTTATATACCTTAAAGAATTGCAAATATGTTTCATTAGGCGGAGATACCATCTTTAATTTAATTGTCCCAAGAGTTAAAAAACCCATACCCGGTGAGACTATAATTTATGGACAAACCAATCACGTATATGATAACTGGTCTCGGATTTTGGCACGAAATTCGGATAAATACAGTTTTGGCATTATAGTTGATGTCAGTTTCTGATGAAAATCCAAAAATCTAATTTCTAACCTTAATCATCAACTGTAAATCATAATTCCAATTCTTCACACTGGTTTATAACCCTCATTTGATCCAAGTTATTAGGTGAACACTCTCAAGGTCAATCTGGCGTCTCTGAAAGGTCGTCTATAAATTATAGTCTCACCCCAAACCCTGTTATTTGTGTTTCACTGTACTTAGTTTCAATCTACAAAATTATTAAATCTCATACAAATAAGCAAAAAATTATCGAAAGTAGATTCATAAACTTAAGATTGAGAGTATACTAATAACCGGAAATTTACGGTAACACTGGTGTTTCAAAAAATATATATATATCCGTCTACCAATTAATGAACCGGTATACTGGTCAGTAGTTGGTTTTGTAATACAGTGAAAAAAACATAAAACCTTCAAGTTTTATTGATTGTCACAAAATAAAAAATATTTCATCTATCATAACAATTGATTATAATTGCAAAGGAATTACCTGTCATAGTCCCAACGACATCCATCCAAAAACAAGCCGTGAATATAAGCCCCATTAGGAGGATCTTTAGTTTCTTTGTGTGTTGGACGAACCTGATTAAATCATATCAAAAAAGAATCAATTTTTCAGAGTTGAGATTATGAGATTTACGTGTTTATCATACAGAGCTACTTTTTATTACAAATGAAGGTAATCATGGATACTAAACTGTTGATTTTAACATAAATATATAGCACTGGCCCATTTGAATATGTATATAAGCTTATTCAGAGCAAAGTTAGAAATAATTATAGTATTTCTATTTATAAGAAATATATATGTAAACACTTGTTCGGACGTAATAAGCCCAATTTTTGATGCCTGGTTCCCGTCGGGATAATATATTATATTTAGTATATGTAAAAGTAAACATTAACCTATTCATCGTATAGTATGAAGACGAGTGAATCAGAATCGTAAATAAAGCTTTACGGATATTTTCCCAATATTCATGTATATCGAATAACAGGTGCTAGAAATATCTTCTCATAATATTCAAAGGGTTTAAATCGATAAAAATCATGCAGTGGACAACTTATGGTGTTAAATATATAAAATATTCGATTCTTTAGTGTATATTGTACACAGTAGGCCTATATATAATATCTTAAATCTTAACTGTATACTCTCAACCCTATAACAAATGTTAACTCATTAGCATTATGTATTATGAATAAATTAATCATACTGAGTCACTTAAATTTCTAGGCAGAATTCATTCAGAAGGGGTTTTGTGGGGATTTTAGAAATTTCACTGGTTGAAGTCATGAGTCAATTGAAGATAGACCACCATGGAAAACCTGGAAGCACTGTACGGTGCCTAGCGCGAGACTAATAGGTCCTAGGTTCGAATCTCGCGGGATGCGGGATCGTGGATGCGTACTGCTGAGGAGTCCCATACTAGGACGAAACGGCCGTCCAGTGGTTCCAGGTTTTCCATGGTGGTCTAGCTTCAATTGACTCATGATTTCAATCAGTGAGAATTCATTCAATCATGTGACTATAAAGTATTTTTAACCAAACTTGATATCAATTCGTTTCTAACCAAGAGCAATGTGAAGAATAATTAAAATCTAAATGGTGTTCCTAAGAGTTTCATAAGATAGTTAATCAATGTGCATAAGTGCCAGTTTGTATGTCGTTTTTTTTGTTTTCTAGGCATAGTTTTAATAGTAGAAGACTTTAAAAGATCCATTAATTATGTAAATTCTGTCTACATTTTGTAATATCTACTTTTCATTAGATTATTCGTTTACGAAATCTGCTTTCTGATTGGCTGAAAACTGACTGAAAATTCATAATTGTTATTTTAACATAATCCCTATACCATACTCTTACTCTACTCAATTTGAATGTCGTTGGATATTGAACAACACTTAAATACAGTAATTTGTCAAGATATCAAGATAACAAAGTATTCATATAGCCTTTACAAAAGTTAAACAAAAGATTGTTAACGTATAAGAGATTTCTTTTGAACTCTATTAGACACTACTGATAATGATGAGAAATAATGTATATCTTGCTAAAAACGAAATTATTAAATGATTCGATTTACGTCCAGACGACTAATAAGATCATCAAAGTATTATATAATATACTAATTGTCTTAGTAACGAAGTGAAAAGTTCTGAGTTGTTGAAAACCATTAAAATATAAAGTATAGTTTCCCTCCTAATCAGGTATATATATATATATATATACCATTACATTGTAACGAATGCATTTATCACAATTGATTGATCACTGGGTGGTGATCAATGTCATGCTTGTCTAGTCCTTATTAGTGCAGATCAAATGCTATCGACTAAGTTGCAATGTGGCCACCAGTCTAGGTGACTCGACGCTGCGGGCACTATATATTGAGATTTAGATGGTGGTTGAAATCTCGTCATCAAACGATTGAAACATGATACCATATCAACTATATTCAAATAAAGTTTATGGAAGAACACTATCTTCAAAGATAAAAATCATATTCAACGATATCAATAAAAACAAACTATCAATTACTTCAAAATCAAAAGCCAATAGATCAATGGGAATTTTTGTTCGACGTGCATAATTTTGTAAAACTCCAGTTAAAAATGCTTGTGTAAAAAAGAATCCAGATACCCAATAAGTTGATGGTTTATCATGAATAAACCATTCCTTAATGTAATTTTTTTTCATTGTTGTTGTTGTTTGAAAGAAAGCAAAAAAAATATAAAAAAAGAACAATCATCAGTTTACATGACAATTTGATTCGAAAATGAAAATGAAACCAAAAAAAATAAAAAAAATAAAAATAAAAATGTATCTTACTTTGAAACTAGACAATTGGAATAGATTAGAATGGAATTTTAGCTGGCTTGGAATGTTTATTATTATTATTATTATTTACCATGGTGTCTTTGAATAGTGGCTTATTTTAAAGTGTGAGTAAATTATCCATTTTATTTTATTACACTAACTTTTCTTTCTTTTTTTCTTTTTTTTGGTATCTTAAATGGAAAGATATTAGATTTCAAATTTATGACAGAAAAGAATGAAGCAAAAATTTTGGAACAAATTTCTAGTTATCAAATAAAGTGGGTATTTTTTGTTGTTTCGAGAAATTTTCGAAATTATTGATATTTCACCATTTCATAGTAATAATAATACTAATTACTATTATTATTAGTATTGAAGAACTACGAAAACCATCATCCAGAAGATACAAATGTTTATTAAAAACCGTCTACGCGAAATATTTCGGATCCGTTGGCCAGACATTATCAGTAACAACCTATAGTGGGAGAGAACAAACCAGATTCCAGTAGAGGAAGAAATCAGGAAGAACCGCTAGATGTGGGTAGGACACACATTGAGAAAAGCACTAAACTGCATCACAAGGCAACCCCTCAATTGGGATCCTCAAGGCTAAACAAAGGAGAGTCGGAAGATCGAATAACACATTACACTGATAAATGGAGACAGATATAAGAAGAATGAACAACAATTGGATGGAACTAGACAGGAAGGCCCAGTAGAGAGTGGGTTGGGGAATACTGGTCGGTGGCCTATCCTCCATTGGGAGTAAGAGACGTAAGTAAGTGAGTAATATTCTGAAAATAATAATTACAAAATCCACGCCAGTTTATAGACATGATCACCTTGATATACATAGTAACATTAAATATAGAGAACAAACATGTGATATAAGATTCTTTTCAGTTTACTAGATCAAAAATTCTTCAGGTATTACATTTAGTACATGTTTACAGTAATGAAATGTATCAGCCGGGAATTTTCGATTACTCTTGAGTGGATGTCGTGTTGATTTATGAACAGTGAATTTAAGGTCATTTCCTGCGCTTTAATGAATTTACTATAATCATCTGCAACTAGAAAAAATAAAGCAGAAGCAGATAGTATGGAACAAAAAAGATAATGATTATTAGGATAGGTTAGTTAGGTCAACCATAGTACATCTGTCAGTTTATTTTCTAATCTACTATTCGTGTTAGATATTATTCAAATTAGTTAGAGTTGTCACGGTCGGTATTGATGTAAAGTAACAGCAGGTAGATGATTTTACTTAGTGAATTCTGTAATAAAAATAACTAAGCTTTCAACGTTCCTAGAATCTCACTTGTGCAATAATGATACACTTAAAGGTGTTAAAATTATTAACGCTTTTACAATAGATAGGTAAGCATCAATGCAGCGAGCAAAAGATAAGAGAAATTTATATTTTATGGATAGTATTATAGGATAAGTTACTTCACCCATAGTGATGGTGATGTGAAATGAAGGTAGGAATTTAAAAGTTACTGTTTTTAGTTCAATTTATATCAAATCTTAGTTATGTATATTGAATTTACCGCGAAAATTTCCGTTAAACATTATGTTGTCGTTATGTATTTATTCAAAATTTATTTGGAAATAGACAGAAATCATTACCTTCAGTAAAGATAATAACCATTATGAATACTATATATATATCGACTTAAAGTTTATAAGTAAAGTGAATCACAGTGAACTATTTATTTTGTTCATGGAAAATTTTACTGAATATATTTTCAGTATGTTTCCTAATTTTTAAAAGCCATCTAACTGAAGATTTCTTTCTTTCAAATGAACATAAACTATCCTTAGTAAGGGATAATGATGAAATACGCTTATTAGAACAACACATATAAGCGAACAATTGTTTTCAATTAGATCGTCATCAGGCTTTACTCTAATATATATGAATATATATACGAAAATGTTAAACCAATCAAGGCAATATGGGTCAATAATCACAATGAAATAGAATAAGTTACCACGCATAATAGGTAAAATTCATGTTGATAGTAGGAAGACAAGTGTACTGATAGTAGTAAGAATAATAAAATACGATAACAAAAGTCATCAATAGTTAAACATTCGAAATAGGAGGTCAAAAGTGGGTAAACAGACTGGGAATAGTCATCATAAAACATTAAAACCATTACGTAATAAGAAGTAAGTAAATAATTAGATAGTAAAGAATACAAACGCCAAGAGGTGGAAAATTACAAACAAATAATGGATGTGAAAATAGGGTTAATGATTAAAAAAAATAGAATAAAATAAATAAATGGTAATCATGATAAAAATTTTAAAAAATCGTTCGTTAAGTTATAACTGTCCATGGAAGGGATAGGGGGGTTACGAATTTCTTCTGTACACATAAATTGAGGTTATATGTACGAATTCCCACGGCTTCAGCTATATGTAGGAGGCGGGAACGAACTCCGTTGGGAAATGATGGAGGTATACAATAGATCATTCGAAATGATTTCGATTTATCTACAGCATGACCGCTATCAATAATACATTTTGACAGAAAACCCTTCTGAAACTACTTTTTAATATATGTATACTTTATCTGATGTAATTTCATGATCTAATCTATAAACTAAAATAAATTTAAACTTATAAAATATTTTGTATATAATGAAGAAAAAAGAGCTTAGTATATAAATTGTTAGCAAGAACTGTAACTTCATTAAATCACAATTCTATGGAGATACTGTTAATGATGTTCTGCATGATAGATTAGCTATAATAGTAAAAATAAATGTTTATTACATTAATATGTGAGTTGTGTCGAATAATTTAATCAATTAGATATTGAGCATCTCCTAGCCTGGTTTATAAGGCTCTTAAAAAGTCAATACATGACTTCTTTTTATGATAGCTAGTCAGTTTTAATCAAATTGTCGATCAAATCAAATGATTCAACGTAATTTATCTATTCAATTTTCTCAATACAATTTGATCTTACCTTGTTCTCATAAAGTCGTTGTGTAGAAAAGCAGTTCTGAATATATTCTACGACTAAAGAAGACCTAAATAGATGATCTCTACATTCTTCTCATATATATATAATCATATTCTTCTTATTGCGTAATTTTTAATCAAATTTATTTGTTATGATTAGTTATGTAATCTATTCGATTACTATAACCGACACATAAATTCTCTTTTGATGGAGTTTTGTTCTCTGAGCTGGATGGTTTGGTCGTGGAGCTTTCATCGTTCTTCTGAACGACATCATCAGCACAAACTTCAGATAGAGGTGAAGCGTTCGAATTTCTCCATATGCATTTCGCAGCTTGTTCTGTACACCTCGACGTTCATTGGTTCTTATTGACCTTAAATTTGTCTTGGTGGCGTTTTGTTCTCTGAGCTAGATGGTTTGGTCGTGGAGCTTTCATCGTTATTTCATTATCTCCACCATCTTAAACTTGTCATTGTTACTTCTTTGTTTTGGTTGTGTGTCCCATTGGTTTGACTTTTGTCATTATATTTGTGATAATTTTCCTGATTAGTTGGTAAATTGGACCGATATCAACGTGCTTATTGATTACTGATTGACCTGAGTGCCAGGCTTCTAAATATTCTCTAGTGTTCTTGGAATTTCCGCTGTCTAAAATTTCCACATTTTTCCAGTCGAATCAGTGTCCGCACTAAGAACCAATCAATGTCGAGGTGTACAGAACAAGCTGCGAAATGCATATGGAGAAATTCGAACGCTTCACCTCTATCTGAAGTTTGTGCTGATGATGTCGTTCAGAAGAACGATGAAAGCTCCACGACCAAACCATCCAGCTCAGAGAACAAAACTCCATCAAAATCATCCACCTGAGCTACAAATCTTCTCCACCATCACATAAATTCTCTATAATGATTTTTTAAACAATTTTATATTTGTATACAAATATTAATGTAAATTAGAGTAAATCTTGATAGAAGTCTAACTGGAAATAGGTATTGGTTTAGTGCTTTCAAGTTTACAATAGCTATTTGATCACTCTACCCATGATGTAAAGCTTCATGTTCAACAATCTTCATAACACTATAATGGGAAAACAGTTTTATTTAGTTATATATGTGGGGTTTTTAAATAATGAACATTTTTTTAATGACGAAATATGTCTGACTATAATAAAGGAATATTCAAATACCTATAAATGATAATTGCTAAATATTATACTTAATATAAATACTACATAAACATACTTGAAAGAAGTTTAACCTTGCAATAAGATCACTGATATATGATCCAAGAGGCTTCAAACTTGGATATGATCGATGTGCCCATATAGCTGGTAACTTTCCAATAGACAAAGCAGTTGCTAAGGATTCTAAACTATCAGACATAATTGCAAGACCTTTGATTGCTTTTCTAAGATCATTCAATGTTGATTTGATAATTGTTGTTAAACTACAAATTAAAAAATTTAAAAAAAATTTAAATATCTTGGAGTGTTTTTAGTTACATTTCGGTTGTTACGTGTAATACTTTTATCTATTTAAGAATGATTTGATTTCATAATAACTTTCTGAGGTGTCGGTACATTTGATTATTATCAATATAACAGAAAGATCTAATATGACCGGAAGGATACTAATCTAATAATATGTCAGTGAAGTTTCTATACAATTCTCATAGTATTACTATACACGTTTTAATCGAGTCAATTAAACTTGCTAAATACTTTATAAATAAGCTTGTCTTCTTGTAACATGAAACTACGCTCTTTGTCAATCAAATACTTTCGTTTTATGATATCTATTCACTAAGAGTTTCAGATAAATCAAACAATTTCCTTCTCAACTCTATAAGTCTACCCAAAAATAATTCAGGTGATTAATCCCATATCCGTATAAGCATGTAATTTTCCTTTATCATGAAGAAAATGAATACTTATCAGCGTTTTATTAAGCGGGAAATCAAAACTTTCCTGTATTTGAAGTAGAGATTTCAAAAGTAGATAAGAAGTCAAGAAAAGATTAATTTGAAAGGTTTTATTAGCTAAATTCAGAATTATGTCCGTCTGATATTTTGTCCAACTTTCAATTTAGAAAACTTGCATATCTTAATTCATCATTTTAACTACATTTCATAGTACTAGGAGAACACTATTCAAACCAAGAGATGTCATGTATCAAAGGTAGTCCTAATGAGACCTATCTCATATGAAGTAGTAAATAATTAAAAGAACCAATTTCTCAACTCATTGAGTGAGATATATGTAAACAACACTTCCAAGTGGTGTTAATTCACTCAACAAACATTAGAATTGATATTACGACTGAAAAATTAAGTCTTGTGAGGAAAATAATGACAATATTGATTGCTTACCATTCATATTATAAAACCAGAAGAATCACAATAAATTAAAACAGATTTCTTTTTCATTGAAAATCTAAGCATTAGAATACCTCATTACAAGTTATTAGAAACAGTAAAGTATGAGAATTTATTAATAATCAAGGTTGATCAAAAACAACAGAAAAGTGTAGTAAGGCGAAAACCAGGATCTATTTCATATTGGTAACAGACACTTCTACTATATGTGAAAATTATATTTGAGATAATCTCAGCAATTGAAATTTAAAATAATTCCAACGTTTCATCCAACAAACTTATCTGTACTTCTTCAGAGTAATAATCAATATCAAAATCATCAAAGAAATATATAGCATTTAACAATCAAATCAGATCAGATCTATACTGTGCTAATCCAATCATAATTGAAGAAGTTCAGAGAAGTTTGTTGAACGAAACGTTGGACTTATTTTAAATTTCAACCACTGAGATTATTTCAGAATATAATTTTCACATATAATAACTTCTCTATACTTGGCGTCCAATTTTTGTCAAACTATTCGTTCTATTATTGACGAATATTCGTATAGACACTTCTACTGTTCTAATGATATTTTAAAGTGCTGAACTACATAATATCATCGTCCTCATCAACATCATCATCATCATCATCATCATCAGCATCCAGGGATAGATCTCCTAGGTTTACACTTTCACTCAAATAAATAAATTTCTAGGTATTAAGCATTTGTGATCACTTAAGACTGACCAGTTGATATCAATAAACAACTTAAAATTCAGTGGCGGATAACATGAATAGATAATTAGCATTATTCTAATTAGTTTGTTTACGTCAAGATAAATTACATTGAGACGAATATAATTTTACTGAAGAATATATTGTTTCCAACCAAGATTATAGAAAAAAAAACAATAATATATGCAAACTAATGTCGACACTGTCTAATTTACATGCAGAAATTTATTGACATACTTCTTTATCATGAAGGTATATTTCTGAAGGATAACATAGATTTTTGTGATTATTTCATTAATTAAGTATAACTTGGTTACATTTTTGCTTATTTTAAAAAAACAATGATATTCATGGTAAGCAACACAACAAAATTATGGGGAAGAATGGGATACAGTGGATAGCTAGGATGCAGCTGGACGAACTAGACTTCGCAGAAGACTTAGCTATTCTATCTCACACGCAACAACAAATGCAAGAGAAAACAGTGTTGCAGCAGATTCAGCAACAGTAGGTCCAAATATGCACAAAGCGAAAAGCAAGATTCTCCGATACAACACAACATCCAACAATCCAATCACACTTCACGGAGAACATTTGGAGGATGTAAAAACCTTTACATATCTGGACAGCATCATTGATGAACACAGTGGATCTGATGCAGATGTGAAATCGCGGATCGGCAAAGCAAGAGTAGTATATCTACAAGTGAAGAACGTCTGGAATTCAAAACAACTATCAACCAACACCAAGGTCAGAATTTTCAATACAAATGTCAAGACAGTTCTACTGTAGTGGGTGGAAACCTGGAGAACTACGATAGCCATCATTCAGAAGATACAAGTGTTTATTAACAGTTGTCTATGCAAAATACTTGTGATCTGTTGGCCGGACACTATTAGCAACAACCAAATTTGGGAGAGAATAAACCAGATTCCAACTGAGGAAGAAATCAGGAAGAAGTACTGGATGTGGATACGACACACATTTAGGAAAGCACCGAACTGAGTCACAAGGCATTCCCTCACACGGAATCCGCAAGGCTGAACAAAGGAGAGTTGGAAGATTGAATAACACATTACACTGATAAATGGAGACATGCATGAGAAGAATGAACAACAATTTGATAGAATTAGAAAGGAAAGCCCATTACAGAGTGGGTTGGGGAATGCTGGCCGGCGGCCTATGTGACACTGGAAGTAACAACAGTTAGTAAATAATACGGCCATATATATATATATATACATATATATATATATATATATATATATATATAGAGAGAGAGAGAGAGAGAGAGAGAGAGAAATTGCATCGATTGTGTGTATTATACTCATATTTCCTGGAAAGTATATTACATAAAGTCCACTGTGTTGTAACGAGTTAATTATAGCTTCTTGTTCCAGATATCTTGTTGCATAGATGAAACCTACTTTTAATGTTCTTTTTTTGAGTGACATAATCATTGGGAATTGCAGATATGAGAAACATACCGACAAATGTCTTTTTTTCAAATTTTCCTATGAATGTGAATTTATTCAACATTTTATATCTTCTGCTTATTCTTTTTTTGTGGTTTAGTAATGTGAAAACTAGCAAAGATAAAATCTTGTGGGATGTTGTTTGTTACAGACGTCTGTAGTAGTCGCTAAAATGTAATAATGCATAATCAATAATAGTTACTTTATGGATAAAAATATATATTTTTGGTGCTTATCTCATCTACTTTAATGTCAGTAATTTTCATCACCTAAGAAGGATGACTACTTATCGAAGGCATATTTGAGAGGAATTTTAAATTATTTTCTCAGTGAGTTACAGAAGCTATGATACTTATTATTATTATTATGGTTTACTCAGTATTGTATTTTTGGTACAATATAGAATTCTCAGCACGAAGTATTTCAACAAGTTTCCGTTTCTTAATTTTTAATCGATCCTGACGACAAATATTGAGTGATCGCCAGGTAGATGTCAGCAGTTTAGGAGTCGACTTTTGAATAATATTCATAATTTTCCACGTATATTTCCATCCACTACTATATCTTTAATTGTACTTTATGTAATTTGTACAGAGATAGGCCATAAACGTTTTACGAACTCACCCGAAGAGGTTATGTGTATAATAGATATAATGATGTGTTAAAACAAACAAATCACTTGTTGAAATATCTAAATGGCAGGATCAGGTAGCCCAGATATTCAAGATGTTTACCCACGTTCTGCTGCTTTTGTTCGTATCATCATATTGGTAATAGAAACGGTTAATAATCCATTATTTGGACCATTTCAATAATCCAACTCACATAATTTTTTCTAAAAACTATTATATGTTAGTCAAGATTATATCGTAAGCTGACAATAAAATAATGATTTCTGAGAATATCTTATTGTATTAGCATTTCACAAGCTTCAGCAGGTTTGTTTTAAAACTCTGGAAATACAGTTTGAAGGAAAGTTGAAATATAATTTAATGACTTTATAGTGTGGATTTGACCGTTTTTCATATATGGTTAGCATTATCTACTGTTTCCCTAACATTCTGAATGATAATCTAGGTTAAGCGATGTCTGTGTTATCCACGAATACCCGAAAGTATCCAAACAATTTGAAACAACTGTAGTTTACGAGTAGTGTGAAGACTGTGGTGAAGTATTCAAATATTTCATTTCTCCTCTCGAAATCTATTTAAAGATAGGAAAGGATTCTGCTGTAAAAAGATCAGTCAATAGGAGTTGCTTTCAGTACTACTTATGTTCAACCTTGTCACTGTGTTGACCGAATTATTGAGTTACTCAAGTGGTTTCCTGATCAGTTTATGTTTTAATGATTATTTTAATCGAAAATTTATATAACCTAGAGGAGGAACGAATAGAACTCTATGCAACCGTTGTATGTATGAATCGTCACAAAGTAAAACAAACAGGAATTCCGAACATCTAACATTGATTTTTTAGATTGAGTTCATAGCAAAAACCAATCGATAGGAAAACTGTTGGGATTTTGACCAGAAGAAATACAAAGATCGGAGAATTTTTAGAAGCTGGTCACTTATATAAGTCAGTAATCAGCGAACATATAAAAATCGACTCAGTTCGCAAAACAATTAGAAAAATCAAGGACAAATTTAGGATCAAGATTCAGATCAAAGGGAGAGACAATCGTCATAAATATGCATAAACAACCAGTAAACATCAGTATCGACATTACAAGCTATCAGTCATAGTTCACTTCTACACGAATTCGGTGGTGATGATATTGTGCAAAACAACAATGAGAGGATCACGAATATAATTATTCAGCTAAGAGAATGTAACTCCACCAAAAATACTACGAGAATTAATGGATACGAATTGAATTCAATTTGAGGTGATTGGAGATAATCAGTTGCTATCAAGAATTAATGAAATAAATTAAAGACAGTAGTAACATCAATGGATGAACTAAATTCATATTTGTTTCAACTAACTTATTAAAACGTTCCATTTCTTGTACAAGAACAGTATTCATACTTTCTTCATACTTGACTGGATATTTTTTATATGCTTCAGATATATCATAGGCGTTTGGTAATTTACCGAGGATATCATTAGCTATTGCATCAATTCGTGAATCCGTAAATCCACCCACTTCCGATGATGTCTGACCAACAGTTAATAGAATTGAATCGAACAATGTGCGTGTTTCACTCAACTCCCGTGTGATATCAACATTTCCATGCATTCCAAACACTTCAGGAGCTTGTATAGCGGGCAAACCCTAAATGTAATAAATAAATCATATATCATTAAGTTTATTTAAACATTGCTTTATACTAGTTGTTTCATCAATAAGATGGAAACCTATGATCTACTATACAACAAAATGAAAGACTGATTTTCTTTGATGATATCCACTCTCTGCACTCAGTTCTGTAGACATTTGGGCTTGGAAACTAGTACTCTTTGTTCAAACGCTGGTAACATATGTAACTGATTTTAAACAATTATAATTGCAAAACGTATTTTATTACAACTGCAATCAAAAAAGATCTATATATAACGGCAAATAAGAACTTTCGTCTAAATTTGAATGAATAGTTTCACAATATTTGGGCGCCGAGTTAATGTGAGACATTAAAAAGAAGAATATATTTGTAAAATCTCAGCGAATGAATTTTAAGTAAATCCAACGTTTCGTCTGGCAATCTGGTCCAAGCTTTCTCAAGGAAAATATAATCAAACAACAAAATTATCGAATATAAATAGGTACAAGGTTCTTCGGTTTACTGTATACTGAATAAGTCATCCAATCAACGTGAGGGATTTTTTATAAATAGGTATTTGTATTAATGTGTAAGAGACATGTTTATATGAAAATAATATGAAAATAATAAAGGTCAAACAATTAAAAGTTCAAGCAAAGATGGATAGTGGCTAGCAGTGGAATGCAGGACGCGCGTTTCGTCCTGTTTGGGACTCGTCATCTGGATGTACCTGCATCTCAGAGTTGGTGTTCACTCTGGGACACGAGCTCAGCACCGTTCGCTTCAAGCGCCATCGCGTTATCCACTTAGCTACTGAGTCCTGATAGCCACTTGCTTGTGCAATGAGTTGAAGTTTAATTCACTTGATATTGCTTTACTTGAATCTTCCCATTGATGTTTTTAGGACTGAATAACGCGATTGCGTTTGAAGCGAACGGTACTGAGTTCGAGTCCCAGAGTGAACATCAACTCTGAGATGCAGGTACATCCAGATGACGAGTCCCAAACAGGACGAAACGCGCGTCCTGCATTCCACTGCTAGCCACTATCCATCTTTGCTTATAATGCTTGTAAATTAAGGCAATATCGAGGCATACGCACAGTATGCACATATGCCAATAAGAGACTGATCAATTTCAGTCCTAAAACATCAATGGGAAGATTCAAGTAAAAACAATATCAAGTGAATTAAAAGTTCATTTGAAAATAACCAAGGGGAAAGAAAGAATAAGAAATTGTCGTGTTATCCTAGGCCATAGAATGACTTAAGGATTACAAAGTAAATTCAAGGTTATAACAAACTTGTTTTTGTACACATAAGGACAAGGTATGTGTTATTGAAGCAAAAACGTGTTAAGACAGCAGAATGTGTTTATACGCAAGTGATGTGAGAAGAAATTTCATTCAACTAAATATTGACTACGGTCTGTGTATATTAAGAAAACAGATCATTTTTATATATGAAATGAATCAAAAATGCCACAGCCTGCATTAAATGAAGATAAATTAGATAAATAAACAAAATAAAAGAGGAATGTATATGTTGTCTTAACACCCTTTTGGTTCCATAACACATACCTTGTCCTTATGTGTACAAAAACAAGTTTGTTATAACCTTGAATTTACTTTGTAATCCTTAAGTCATTCTATGGCCTAGGATAACACGACAATTTCTTATTCTTTCTCTCCCCTTAGTTATTTTCAAATGAACTTTTAATTTCACAGATTGAAATCATGAGTCAGTTGAAGCTAGACCACCATTGAAAACCTGGAAGCACTGGACGGCCGTTTCGTCCTAGTATGGGGCTCCTCAGCAGTGCGCATCCACGATCCCGCACCACGCGGGATTTCAATCTGTGAAATTTCTAAAATCTCCACAAAACCCATTCTGAGAACTTGTAATTGTTTGACCTTTATTATTTTCATACTATTTTCATATAAACATGTCTCTTACACATTAATACAAATACCTATTTATAAAAAATCCCTCACGTTGATTGGATGACTTATTCAGTATACAGTAAACCGAAGAACCTTGTACCTATTTATATTCGATAATTTTGTTGTTTGATTATATTTTCCTTGAGAAAGCTTGGACCAGATTGCCAGACGAAACGTTGGATTTACTTAAAATTCATTCGCTGAGATTTTACAAATATATTCTTCTTTTTAATGTCTATATATAACGGTGTTACTTAATTAACGAAAACGTGGATGGTTCTCTGAACCTAAGTTTCTTCCTTGTCGATACTCATCAAAACGTTGTGCCTGATAACTTGAGAGACTTATGCAGAAATAATAACTTCATCACACTTCTTCATTAGGAGCCATTAACATTGCACTATTCAAGCTGTCTAGATATCAAGCATGCGTCTCTGTGTCGAGTCACTTAGACTAGTGACTACGCAATGTAATGATCAATATAATTAAGCCAATCATATGGGGTAGACTATATGACGCTAGTTGTCGTTATTAGTGTTAAGTGGATTCCTCAAACATACATATCAAATAAATCAATTAAGTATGGCTGATTAGTTTTAAATGAAACTGAAAAAGATATTAATATTCCTTCTCAAAATATACTTCAAATTGTCATCGGCCTTGTGGCTCCCGAAGAATATCGACTTTTACCATAAGGCGTCATATTACTTCCTTCAACTTCCAGGACAGAGAACAAACTAGCTTGCAGCTGAAGAGGAAATTATGAAAAGATGAAAGAAGATAGGACGCACATTGAGGAAATCATCAAACGGCATCACGATGCAAGCCCTAACTTGGAATCCTGAAGGGAAATAAGAAAGAGAAAGACCAAAGAACACACTGCATCGAAAACTGGAAACATACATGGAAAGGATGAATAGCATCAGGAAAAAACTGCAAAGTATTGCCCACGACAAGGTTGGGTAGATAATACTGATGGGCGATCTATGCTCCTCGACGAGTGGTAACAGGCGTAAGTAAATAACATGAAGTAAACAGTATTTCAGTAATTCGAAACAATGCAAAAGATACTGACAGAATTATTCTATGTTGTCAACAGTCTATCTTCTAAGGTGAATAGCCAAAAGATAAAATTTGTAATCTTACGCTAAATAAAGTTGTTTGGAACTTAAGTATGTCATTTTGTAACATATGAATGTGTACCTTTATTAATCAACTGTGTAGAACGTGAAACAGCTTAAATTATTTTACCTCAGCGAAGAGTTCAGCTCAAGATTATTTGAATTTCACTTCAGGTTTAACTTCTTAGATCAAAATTTATTGAAAATCTTACAATTATTTAGCACAGTAAGATTATTAAAATACTCAATTACTACCGTTAGAGTTTCCATTCATAATTCGGTTTGTTCAGTTTATAAATTATATACACAGTATAAATGTAATAAAACACATTTCATTTGACCTACTTTAATAAATTCCAAATATTCATTATATTCCATTTTGGGTGGAGCATAATACAAACCACTTGGAGAAAATTTATAGTGTGGATCACTTACAACATTTTGACATAAGAAATCTAATAATATTGTCATTAAACATCTACGGTCACGTTCATCTGTTACTCGACCACCATAGTTACATTCACCAGTCATATACTGGATAGCATCATATGGAACCTGTCAATGAATAATAATAATAATAATAATAATAATAATAATAATATGAATATGAATATGAATAACAAATTTTACTGTTATCAGAGTGTACTACACGTATTTCAATGACAAATACATGAAATTTAAGTTATACAAAAACTAATTCAAATCTTAAAGAGAAAGAATGTATTTGTAAAATCTCAGCCGGATGAATTTGAAGTAAATCTAACGTTTCGTCTGGCAATCTGACTCAAGTTTTCTCAAGAAAATATTGACTTCAAATTCATTCGCTGAAATTTTACAAATACATTCTTCCTCTTTACTGTTTCACATCAACTCGGCACCCAAATACTCTAAAACTATTCGATCAAATTTAGACGACAGTTCTTATCTAATTCAGATCATCCTTTCTAACTTCGGCGAGACTATAATTTATGGACAAACCAATTAGGTATAAGATAATAGGTCTCGGAATTTCACTCATCCATTTGGCTAAATAGAGTTTTTGGCATTATAGTTGATGTCAGTTTGTGATGAATACCCGACATCTAATTCTTAACCTTAACCACAAACTTTAAATCATAATTCTAATACCTCACATTGGTTTATAACCTTCATTTGGTCCTAGTTATTGACTGTACACTCTCAGAGTCACTTTAGCGTTGCTCCAAGGTCGTTCATAAATTATAGTCTCACCATTTTATCTTATTTTCAAAATTCTTCTCTTCTGTTGAATATCTTTAACTTCATAAACTAAGAATACTTGTCAGAATTGTAGCAAATATCCATTTTGTTTCTTCATTACCAGTATTTAGGTGTGTAATTTTTAAATCCTGTCCTGTATTAAATGAATATAGAAGTTTCAAATTTCATTTCTTAATCCGTATATTGTCTTTTCGACTTGACAGTTCGATGCATACGGCTTGGTAAATTAAAATTTACATGTAATGTTTTCATTATCAGTTCTTAATAATTTCTGAATTACGTAACTAATAATATAACAAATAATGCATCAACCGAGAAATCATCATATGCACAAATTCAGCACTACCTTTATGTATTACATGTACTATATTTTTCACGCCAAAAATTATCATTAGCTTGCTAGTGACTGACATCTGGAGGAAACCCCCAGATATCTAGTGGGAATGCGTGACCAGTGGAGTTAAACCTTCTCGAGTGTGAGGCAGGTGCCCACTGAAGACAATAAATGATGGTTACGCAACATTGTGGATTGTTTGAAGTTAGACATCGATAATGGTGGATGACGACTCAGTGATCTGGAGGTTAAATTTTTGCACTCGAGACCGAAGGTGATGGATTAGATTTCTGGTTGCATGGTCGTAGATGTGCGCCTCAAGGTAGTCACATGTTAGGCCGAAACGGTTGTGTAGTGCTTGGATGTTTTCAACAGTGGTCTGAATTACATAGGTTCAGGATTTCAGTGAAATTCTAAACTTGTCTCATGACAATACCCAGCATAGTTTTTAAAATAGGATTGAAAAACAATCAGTAGCTCAATACAGGAGCACCTCACCAACTCTTGTTATATTACCCCCAAAAGATAATACTTCATAGTGATCTGCAGCCAAAAAGATTGGATTGGAAGGAAGCAAAAGCAAAAAAATCGTGGACTGTTGAGGTGTTGAAAATTCATTAATTCAAGTCTGAATTCATTGTATAAAAGTTAAACATGCAACTATAGCATATATGACTTTCTCCAGTATGTTTTGGTCTCGTTTTTTTGTTGTTTTGATTGTTAATCTTGTACTTTTTAAACCATAATCAGTCGTTATTTATTAACCTCCGACTTTTTTTTCATGTTTATTATTCGATTGTTATTATGACCTTTATGTTTTTCATTGCTTCCTTTATATTTATTGAATGAACGATTAATTTCCATATTTCTGATCCGTAAATTATTTTCATTCACGTAGTTTTCTTTAATATTTAAATCATTATACAACCTTGATTTTCTAAACATCGGATCCTTTTATGATGAAATCTCTTTTTCATTGAAATCATGAACTGATCAATTTTAGATCATGATTGATTGATTCATTATTTCAATATAAATTCAACAATCGAGATTAGATGGTGGTTGGAGGTAGTCGACAGGAAACCCAGGATCCGGATTTCGTGCTACTTGGCACTCGTCAGCAAGGTGTACCTGTAATCTTGAGGGAACTGGTGCTCCCTGGTGGATTCGACCCTGTGTCACCCAGCTTCACAGTCAGAGACGTTACCACTGAGCTGTCTGTTCCGTGACTGACCTCCTGTAGTACTGAGATGTAATCACAATTGATTGATCACTGGGTGGTGATCAATGTCGTGTGTGTTATATTATCCGGGTCCAGGGTTTCCTGTCGACTACCTCCAACCACCATCTAATCTCAATAAGTAGTGCACACAGTGTTGATTCACCTAGACTGGTGGCCACGTTGCAACATGATCGATATCATTCGATCTGCACTAAATAAGGACTTAACACGCATGACATTGATCACCACCTAGTAATCAATCAGTTGTGAAATTCAACAATCCTCACAACTTCAAACTGAGAATCATGTTTTATTCTTCTATATTTGAATTGAAAATATTACAGATATGTTATTCCTTTTTATTACATTACGTAATACTTTTACCCCTCATAATTTTTGTTACATTGTTTAATTAATAATGATACACACTAATTATATAATCTGACATAAGTTTATTGCTATCAAGTTTGATACACAAATCATTGAATCCAACACTACTTCACCAACATCAAATTTTCACCTTATTTTTCCTGATGAGGATCTAATTTAGATTGATATCATGAATGGATGAATGTTAGACCACTACTGAACACCTGGAAGCACTGGATGTCCGTTTCGTCCTAGTATCGGACCACTCAGCAGTGAGCATTCACGATTCCCTACATGCGACTCAAAACTAAGACTTTCGGTTTCTCTCGCAAACTTAACTTCTAGACCATTGAGCCGGCATCCAATTATTCAGTTTTATGTATTGTTCTAATTCACGAAACGGGAATTTTTAATGATTTAGGTTTTTCATCATGAATCAATACCAGATGGGGTACAAACAGAATACTTACTAATATAGTAAATATTTAGATTTTCATCAGATTGGTTTTGTAGATATTATAGTAATTCCAATGGTTAAGATCATGGGTCAGTTGAAGCTAGACCACCATGGAAAACATGGAAGCATTGGACGGCCATTTCGCCCAATCAAGGGGCTCCTCAGCAGCGCGAATTCACGATACCACCTCGCTGGATTCGAACCCAGGACCCACTGGTCTCGCGCGAAAGCACTTAACCACTAGACCTCTGAGCGGGCATCCAACGGTGTTAATGTCTAACTTTAACTAACCCACGAAATTGAGCGACACATCCACCATTGTCTTCAGTGAATTATTATTGCTCAATTTTATATATTAGTTGAAGTTAGACATTAACACCGTTGGATGCCGGCTCAGTGATTTAGATTTTCGTTTGAAATAATGAAAAACATGTCTTCATGCTGTAAATGTTGAAAACACGTTATGTGGATGCCGATGATTTGTTTTACTTAAGTGCTCAATAGTTTAGTTTCGTGAACAAAGTACACATTTCCCGACAAAAGATTACTGGGATGAATGTTCAATAGACAGCAGAGCATATATTAAGATTAATGAATAATTTTAAGAGAGACGAAATAACATCAAGAATTTTATGTGAAACTTAATTTTCACTAATTCTGACCTTATCATATTCGTTTACAAACATTTGTAACTGTCTGACTGATATACGTAAGTCTGATTCATTAAATCCATAAGGTATATTCCATCCAAGTGGACCAAATTTAATACGTTCTTGTACAAGAGCATGAAAGAAACACAAGCCGAACAATAATTTCTCAAAAATCTGAAATTAGATATATAAAAATACAGTATAATTAATCCAAAAGAAAACATTGGAAAAACATTCTAAATCCAGTATTAACTTCATATCTAGTGTCGTAAATTACGAACAAGAATCTACATTAAAGAACTGGTAGTAATTTTTCACCACAAATAATCTTAAAACTTGAAGTAGACATCAAAAGAAGTTCTTAATGATGATTCTGATTGTATATAGTTTATTTCAATGCATCAATTCTAGAGATTCTAAAGGGACATTCAAGATATATATATAAAGTGATTAGTCCATTAAGTCATATGTTTCCTAATATTCAAAAACCACGGCAATAAGTAGGTCTGAAGTTATTTAATGCGTAGTTTGTTTCTTTCTCTCAAAGTTAAAAACGAAAATTTTATCTTAACCAGTCACATATATTTTTCTTTACTTGATGATATCAAATCCGATCTCCACGACCAAACCATCCAATTCAGAGAACAAAACTTCATCAAAATAGATTTATTTCAATAGTATTCAGTTTTACAACCAGGATAACTCATACATAATAAAGGTTTAATTGCCTTTATGGAATAATTGTTATAGGAAAAATTCCAAATGAAATTACTAATAAAGTACTTAGCTTACAAAATTATCCTACGAAACCACGAACTTTTCTTTCCAATTCAGATTAATTCCTTTTAGGCTATACATTGTATTATGTTTTAGTTAAATTGTAATATACGAGAACACGGGCTGGGACAACGAGATGTATTAAAGTTATTTGGTAAAATATGAAAATCATATGTTCAATACTTGATTTGCAAAATGTTCATCATTTGTCTCAAACTTCATTATTCCTTCATTTCCATAACAATAATTGTCTGTTCCTAATCTTGTTCTCTTAGATTCGATCTTCCCAAACTTACGCTGACAGGTGTTCCATTTCCGACTGGTGTTCTATACTACTTATATCGATATAAGTAACACACACAATATAATTACTTGCCTGATTCATATTTTAGTGAGTATCAATTACAAATTGTAATCTAACAGTAAATAATCATCTTCCATTTATTAACACATAACAATACAATACAATATTTAACATAATTAATAGTTTGCCCTTATAAATTACATACATAACAAAGTTCTAGATTTCTCGATGGGACCATGCTTTATAAACGACGTTTGAGTGACACCCAAGTGACCTTGAGAGTGTCTACCTGATCACTAGGGCTAAATGAGGGTTGTAAACCAGTGTGAGGAATTAGAATTACGATTTACAGTTGACGGTTAAGGTTAGGAATTAGATTTAAGGTTTTCATCACGAACTGACATTGTGGTGTGGGTTACTAATGTCCACACAAGTAGTATATAATGGTGGTCAGGCATAGGATGTATTTCAGTAGAAGGTCGATGAGGAAAGAACGGGAACGGAACGCGATTGGTATAAAAACGCATGAACAATGAAATCTGAGATACTGGATTGATGTTTGCAACAGGAACAGACAAGTTCGATATGATGGATTGATATTTTACAAATTAACGATTTACTACATGGTTCTCAGATTTTATTGAGGTAGTTTAGTGTCAAATACATTCGACTGTCCCCCACTCATGTTCTAGTTCATTACGAAACATCATGCCAAAACTGTATTTATCCAAATGAATGAGTGAATTTCATACCGAAACCCAAGACCTGTTGTCGTAAATCTGATTAGTTCGTCCATAAATTATAGTCTCGCCGATTGTTCTTTCATAAATCAATGGCTAACAGAACAAAAATCTACATCATAGCAACAATATTACTTTTAATGTGAAAACTACTTTAATTTATCTAGTAAACTATCATTTTTTGGAAAGATTACATGTGTTAGTTATGCTATTAACATTAATAATCAATCTAATGTAAAAACATCTTTATTTCATTCAAGATTTGTTGGGAAAACAATATTGCACTAAAAAAAACATTTTACGTTCTCTAGATAGTGTACTATTAGGTAAGGTTGAAGCAAACTTAATTTTTAGCCAAAAAGAAAAAGAGAACATGAAAAGACTATTATTGTAATGAATGAAACCAACTGTTCTCATCAAGTTAGTCACTTAAAATATTTTTTTTAGAAATCTGACTATCGACTTTCCCATCGAATCATCAACGAGTGGAATTCATTACCTCAACACGTGGTTGAGGCTCCATCTATCGACTCTTTCAAAAGAAATTTGGATCAACTGAGAGACCAAAAATGCCAGGACTAACACAGGCCATCAAGCCTCCTGTACTTTCCAAACTGAAACTGAAGTTTCTAACAAAATCTCAAAGTAGTTATATATTTTCATCAAAATCCTATAAAGGTCAATGTGTAAAGAAACGGACACAACACTTACACATAAAAGCCAGTTACAAAAGAGTAGTGGTTGAAAATTTATTTTTTTACTCACAAAAGACATTTTACTTAAAATCTTACGGAGAGCCACATTAACAGAAATATCTAGTGAGTAAGAGTAACTACTAACTTATTCAGAGAATATGATGTTTAATTCATAATAGGGAAGCTTTGACTTTTTTAACGTCGTTGATATTAAGTGGTGAAACTTAATTAGTCATTTCTGGGAGTTGTGCATTATATGCGAAATGCCTAGATATAGCCATCATAAGTTATACATAATAGAAGGATTACGGTTAAAAGTGGAATCCAAGAGGCACATGTATCATAATGGCTGGATTGAAGAAAACTATACGGAATGCACATTTATCAATAAAGATTGATGGAATGTCGGTCCAGATAACTCAACCGATGTCAAATAATGATATGAAGTGAATGTTATACATATTTCATTGCAATCGTCAACTGATTAGTGTTATACAACCATTGGGAAATGTGGAAGCACTGAACGACCATTCAGTCATCGAATAAGACTCCTCAGAAGTGAGCACACACGATCCTGTAAGACGGACGTGAACCCAGATCTTTGGGTTTCATAGGCGAACTCCTAACCCTTAGGCGATTGAGCCGACATACGACGAGGCTAATATTTAACTTCAACCAATCCAAAGTATTGCACCACCATATTTTGTTGCCTTTGTTGTGTGCTAGCTCAGTGATCTGAAGGTCAGGTATTCGCGTGCAAAACCGAAGGTCGTGGATTGGATCCTAGTGCGCACAGTCGTGGATACGCACTTCTAAGGAGTTCAATATTAGGAATAAATGATCGTTCAGAGCTTCCAGGTTTCCAATGGTTGTCTACCATTGATAGATTGATGGTATCAATGAAATTTGACAATCTCCACAACCCTATACTGAAAAAATATATATACTTTGTTTCTAAATTTAAACTTAGAAAAGTATCTCAGCAATTACATTATCTTTTCCATTATTTTAATTTCCGATTATAAAGTAATCAATAATATACACTTTAGGTTTTTTTTTTGGACTGTAGTAACAAAATATTCCAATAAGAAACTAATAGTTTAAAAAGTCTCAAAGATCCCAAAATAATGTACATCGTTTACGTCATATGAACATTAAAGTAGGTGACGAGGAATTAAAAAAAACCATTTTACAACTTGATATTACATTTATCTATGTAGAATTGGACTGCATCAATTTAAGAAGCTAAATCTTGTCTGATACACTATTATCTATTTATGTAAATGTTGTGCAAATGGCATCGAACCATAAATGAGAAAGTAACAACTAAGTTAATAAAAATAGAAACGCTGGAACAGGATCATACAATTTTTCTCGTTGATAAATCTAACAGTATCAACGTATGTCATCTGCTTGATAGTATTGACAGTGGTGATATTTCAAATCCTTCAAAATGATCATAACACAAACAACTTTGAATTCACAACATTAAACTGAGATCATCGCAACTATAAATCTGTAACCGAAACTGTGTATTAAAAAAAATACAACTGTAAATCTCTTACTAGCTTGGTAGCTTCCTTTTTTTTCATTATTCAATTACGACATATTTCGTTTCACAAACCCAGTCACAAATTCCTTTCTTTCGTTGCTGGGCCGATTTTGAGCCTTTCTCATATTACTCAGTTTACTCAATTTTTTGACTGTTATTACGTCACTTTAACATCCGTACTCATTGTCGTTATTTTAGTAGTCTTTTTTAATATGATATAATGTATGTACATTAGTTGTAAATGATAGCTACTTTCGTTTTTACATTGTAGCCGGTTTTGCGAAACTACGATAAAAATCAATTATGGGGTTATGTGGATCATTGGGTTTTATTCAGGTCACGAATCGATCATAGTTTAGACAACCGTTGAAGATCTGGAAGAACCGGGTAGTGGAAGACGGTCTCTCAATATCATGCACTGTTTGAAGGTAGATCTGTACACCATCCCGGTTCAGAGGTCTAGAGATTAAGTGTTCTCGCGTGATATCAAAGGTTATGAACTCGATTCCTAGTTCCAGGGTCATGGATGTTCATTGCTGAAGAGTTTCATACCAGGAGAGAAAGTCAATCTAGTGCCTGGTTTTTCAATAATTCTTTAATTTACGTTGATTCATGATATCAACTAAATGAAATTATCTTATTTTGTTTCATATGTTGTTCTCTTTTAAATAAAAAAACGCTACGTTTCAAAATAAATCGCACACCGAGCCTGACATTTACAACGAATAATTTCAAAGTAGGGAGATATAGTTTGTCTAACCTAGGGAAGAAATCATTAGATATCATCATATAATAGTTGATGACGTGAATCACTTGTGATAGTCAGGCTATTCATTCACCCCTTTTACGAGTTATTTCATTTTTTCCCCACAATACCTTTATTTTTTTTTTAACTGTGTTAAAGTACAGTGACAACATCAATTGAGAATTCGGTCTAAACTTTGATCCTCAAAAATACAACATGTATTTCATGATTTTATCCAATTGAATTACAAACTGTTTAGTTGCTCCTTTTTAAGATCACATTCTTCATCATAAAAATTATCATGAACGTAGATTAATCTTCTACACAACGTTATTTTAAGTAGTCAATTTTACTTTTCCCTTTTTGTATATTGAGACCTATTGTTGCTGAGGCTGCTGCAACACTGGTTGTTTTCTCTTGCATTTGTTGTTGTGTGTGAGATAGAATAGTCAGATCATCTTCGAAGTCTGGTTCGTCCAGCTGCATTTAAGATGTCCACTGCATCCCGTGTTCCCCTTCAGATGTTGACGTCTTCATGATCCAGTCGATCACCAGGAGAAAGTGAAAGGGTGAGAGTGATCAACCTTGCCTGACACCGGTCTTTACTTTTAACGACTTTGTCAGCTGTCCTCCATGCACGATTTTGCAGTTTAATCCATCATAGGAATTCTGTATGATATTGACTATCTTCTGAGGCACGCCGTCGACACACTTGTAGGTACACATTACTCTTATTATTTGAAGATAAAGGTAATAATAATGTATAAATATCATAAATATGTATAGTCATTAATTGTAATCTTATTTTATTTCAATCTAACTACAAATATAACTTACAGCTTCTTTATTTGGACAGCCATTGAAAAACTCTGGATCAGATATTGGATCATTTAAATAAGACTGTAAAAGATTTTGTCTTAAACCAGTAGGTGGTTCATTTGTCATTTTAATACCGTTTTGTAGGACAGTAACTGGAAACTAAAAGAAATGTTCAACATATTTAGAGGTAGTGTTTTATTAGTTAGTTGAAAAAAAGTATACTACAAAGTAATAGTGTACTGTAACAATTGTAGGTGGTGTACAAAATATATATATTTTACGATATCCAATTACATGTACCTACATTTCTCTACAAGCATTTCCTTCCCTAAGTGTTTTAGATTTAATACACTTTTAATTACAATTGATTGATCACTGGGTGGTGATCAATCTCATGCTTGTCTAGTCCTTATTAGTGCAGATCGAATGCTATCGATCATGTTGCAATGTGGCCACCAGTCTAGGTGACTCGACACTGCGGGCACTATGTATTGAGATTAGATGGTGGTTGGAGGTAGTCAACAGGAAACCCTGGACCCGGGTTTCGTGCTACTTGGCACTCGTCAGCAAGGTGTACCTGTAATCTTGAGGGAACTGGTGCTCCCTGGCGGATTCGATCTCGTGTCACCCAGCTTCACAGTCAGAGACGTTACCACTGAGCTATCCGAGCCGTGACTAACCTCCTGTAGGACTGAGATGTAATCACAATTGATTGATCACTGGGTGGTGGTGATCAATGTCATGCTTGTCTAGTCCTTTTTAGTGCAGATCGAATGCTATCGATCATGTTGCAATGTGGCCACCAGTCTAGGTGACTCGACACTGCGGGCACTATGTATTGAGATTAGATGGTGGTTGGAGGTAGTGAACAGGAAACCCTGGACCCGGGTTTCGTGCTACTTGGCACTCGTCAGCAAGGTGTACCTGTAATCTTGAGGGAACTGGTGCTCCCTGGCGGATTCGATCTCGTGTCACCCAGCTTCACAGTCAGAGACGTTACCACTGAGCTATCCGAGCCGTGACTAACCTCCTGTAGGACTGAGATGTAATCACAATTGATTGATCACTGGGTGGTGATCAATCTCATGCTTGTCTAGTCCTTATAAGTGTCGAGTCACCTAGACTGGTGGCCACATTGCAACATGATCGATTGCATTCGATCTGCACTAATAAGGACTAGACAAGCATGACATTGATCACCACCACCCAGTGATCAATCAATTGTGATTACATCTCAGTCCTACAGGAGGTTAGTCACGGCTCGGATAGCTCAGTGGTAACGTCTCTGACTGTGAAGCTGGGTGACACGAGATCGAATCCGCCAGGGAGCACCAGTTCCCTCAAGATTACAGGTACACCTTGCTGACGAGTGCCAAGTAGCACGAAACCCGGGTCCAGGGTTTCCTGTTGACTACCTCCAACCATCATCTAATCACAATTTTAATTACATTTGGTCCGATCTTAGGAATTCGGCAAGTAAACGTTTAAGCTAATTTTTGTGCAGGTTCATACATATAAGGCGGATCTGGAATTGTGAGATCGCTGATGCTTCTCATGGGACAAACACCTGAATCACTGCATACCACAAATGATCATTTATAATTCTGAAAGTATTTTGAAGTTTCTTACAAATGAATAAGTAAACAACTATATCAATAGTTGATTCCTGGAATTTTTCTTTTCTTTTCAACATTACAGAAGAGTAGATATTTGTGAGAAGATGAACAAATTATGAATACTTCGTAAAAGATATAATCAAAGTTCTTTTGGATTACTAGCAACTACTTGACTACACATTGTAACTCATTAACTTTCTAAGAAAATAACAGTTATTTTAATCATTGTTATAATGAAAATGGTGTTCATGTAATGATAGAGAGTAACTGGAAGATAATTGATTGTTTATTTCAAATAGACACATTTAAACATAAGTCAAACAATGTCAGACTACTATTCCTATATGATATTGACAATTTAGTTGACTGATGTTGGAAAATTTAGTATTCTATAGATAATAAGAATCTATATGAGAACAATATGTGTATATGAAAGAAATCTTTATATTTCACTAAGAAAATAGTCTTTTAATAATTATTTCTTATCAGTAAAGGGTTGTGAAGATTGTTGAGCTTAGATTTTGTTTATTTGTTTCCCATCTTTACAAGTAAAATCAATTTTTAAGGTTCCCTATGGTTTACCTACGAAAAACTGAATATTAAAGTCGTTAAAAACACTATTAATAATTATAAGCAAAGATAGATAGTGGCTGGCAGTGGAATCCAGGATGTGAGTTACGTCCTGTTTAGGCCTCGTCAGCTAAATGTACTTGTATCTCAAACTGATCAATTGCAGTCCTAAACAATACCAAGTGAGTTTAAACTTCATCCTATTGCATAAGTAAGTGACTATTAGGATTCGGTAGCTAAGTGGATAACACGATAGAGTTTGAAGTGAACGGTAATGGCTTCGAGTCTCAGAGTGAACATCAACACTCAGATGCGGGTACATTCAGCTGACGAGTCTTGAATAGGATGAAACGTATGCCCCGAATTCCACTGCTAGCCAATATCCATCTCTACTTATAAAGCTTGTGACTGAAGGCAATATCTACGTTATCCGCACAGTATGCACATATACCAATAAGAGACTGATCAATTGTAGTCCTAAGCATCAGTAGTAAAACAATACCAAGGTAAACTAATTTTAATTATCTAAGAAAGGTAATTAAAATTTATGTATGTTCAAAATAAAAAGTAGTTTGCCCATCAAATGTTTATTACTTATTTTTTTTTCTTTATTATACAAGGAAGAAAGAAAATCACACACACACACACACCTTATTACTAATTCATAACTATGTACGTATGGTCAGTCAAACATCTATATATGAATCAAAGGTTACATTCAATCGATAACTAGTAAATGTTCTTTTTTCTTTCTGAACAACGATTTATTCTAACAAATATAGAAAATTGGCAAAAATGTTTTATTACCAGTGATAAAGTGAAATCTTATGTAGTGAAGTAAATCTATTCATTTATAGATATTTGTATATTAATAAGGTTTGTGGTTATTGACTCCAATGAAAGTAATATATATGAATTTATGACTAAGAATGTAATTGATGTGAACCGAGAAACAAGAAGCCTTGACAAACTTTAGAAGTTATTTTTAGGGACGTTATTTCAGTTAATTTAAAGCATGTAAAACAGTAACATTTATTTTTATCCCTAGTCTATTCGATAGATCATAAGCTTTCGTTTGATGTAAAATTCACTGCCATAGCCTTTTTTGTTCCAAAGTTATTGTAATTTAAACGTACTATATTATACTCTATTTTCTACGGTAATCACCAGTTTTGGAAATAATCGTACTTTCCTCATTATTGTACGTTGTGTTCAAGTTAGTCATTTATTTATTCATGTATCTTTTTACACTAATCTGAAATCGGCAACCAGATTGGAATTGAGAATAAAATCGAGTAGTGTTCTAGTTGACTTGTCTCCTCTCACTTGCGTGCGTGTCAGACAATCAGGTGATAGAATAGTTTTCTTCTCTCTACCACAATTCGAACTCATGCATACAAGCCTCAAGTTCAAGCCGGTCAGCCTATCTTAATCTAGATTAGACAAGTATCCTCAGCACTAAAAATGGGTAGACAGATCAAGGACGTAACAGTAACTCATAATCACTCAACTATTATAGGCGTAAAAGATTTGTGGAGATATTCACTTGGTATTGTTTACCTGTATCTTCACATCGTTAATAGCTAAGTAGACAACGCAACGGTGTTTCAAGAGGACGGTAATGGGTTCAAGTCCCAGAGAATACGTCACATCTGAGATGCAAGTACATCCAGCTTACGAGAACCAAATAGGACGAAACGCACGTCCTGGATTCCACTGCTAGCCACTTCACATTGTTGCTTACAAAGTTTGTGGAGATAGATGATCATCCCGGTTTAGATTATAAATTAGTCATAGTTAAACCAATATTGAGAGCCAGGCAGTACTGGATACGTTTTGCAGTAGCATAAAACTTATCAACAGCGATCATTTATAACTCACACCACTTGCTGTGAGACCTAAAAGTCTCGGATTGAATAATCGGTTATTCTATTTGTAAGTGCGTTTACACTGATGAATACTATTAATTCTGACTAAACCAACTATGTTCAAATACTAAAGACAGGGATGGTTTTATTTCAATTTCCAATTAAGTGAATAAAAACACTGGATATTTTTTATCCTCAACATATAAAACAAATTCCACTTTAACGTTCTACTCGTCTGAAAACTAATTCTCTGCAAATCATAGTAGTTTTTGGTGGCGTTTTTTTCTCTGAGCCGCATGGTTGAGTCGTGGAGCTTTCATCGTTCTTCTGAACGACCAAACCATCAAGCTCATTGAATAAAACGCCACCAAAGTCATCCACCTGAGCTACAAATCTTATCCACCATCTCAAAATCATAGTGGTGTCCTTTCTTTGCGTTATAATATTCACAAATATTTTTGCTTATATATTTGTTCATTATAATATATGTCACAGTTAAGTAAAGTACCTTAGTATAGAACGAACGTAACATGTTATTAGTCTAATTATACGACGATAATCACTAATTTCATTGTAAATATACTAAAATCAATACACAGAGAAATAGATTATTTAAACAAACCTTTGGTGATGGATAACTCGTAAGCCATAAACGAAATGATGCATTCGTATTCGCCACAGTCATATCTTCACAAATTTTCTCAAGTGCCGTCATCCAACTCACAGCTAAATGACAATTTTGCAATAAAACCCAAGATCCGTCTTGTTTACCCTGTGCGATCATTTTTGCCGCGATTGGACCTTGACCCTGTCCAAGACTAATAGACTGAAAGCGTGCACCTCCAAAACCTTTGTCTGTAGCGAATTTCAATAACGCCATTGTTGGATCAGCTCCAGGAGAAAGAATAAAAATTAGTGGTGTGGTACAACTTGAGTCTTGATAAGATTTCGCCAAATCGAATGGTGGAGGTTCAACAAATTTCCTGCCCAACTTCTCCCTCACATAATTCATTACACCAGGAACCACCTAATTTCATTTGAAAAAGAATCACATAATTGTGAATTTGATTTACCGAAACAAAATAAGAAGTCTTTGTAGAACAGTTAACTATATTAAATTAATTCACATAGTGATGAACTGAAATCAGAGTACACAAATCGCCAACCTAAATTTGTCAACATTGCTACCAAGATTTCAGTGAAATGATTTACAGATAATGTTAAGAGTGTCATAAGTATTACATTCTTTCAGCTATCACTAATTAGATCACTGATATATCCAGTTCAAATTAATCATAATCTCTCAGCATCATTTCTCCTCAAACAAAGTTACATATATTCGCTATTTTTCTCTTATTAAACTGCGATTATGTTATACGTTCCAGACGAAACAAAATATTTGAGAATATTCTAACTGTTACGACTTAATCTGTCATTCTCTTCTCCTAATCTATATTCAAACTTCTCGAATAAAGGCTTTCTTTCACTAACAAACGGTAATGACAACTAATTTTTTTCAATATAGAATGGTTGAAGTTAGACATTAACACAGTTGGATGCCGACCAGCTCAGTGGTCTAGTGGTTAAGCGCTTGCGTGTAAGACTGATATATTCTGGGTTGGAATCTCACGTGGCGGTATCGTGGATGCGCACTGTTTGAGGAGTCCCATACTAGGATAAAACGGTTGTTCAGTGCTTCCAAGATTTCCATCATGGTCTAGCTTCAATCGATTCAAGAATTCAACTATTAAATATAGAGTAAATCAGACTGATAAAATGAAAAACTCTTGTTTAAATCCAAGATTTAAAAAAAGAATCAAACCTTATCTGGACGTATGCATCGAAGTATAATCAAACTTTTAAATACATCTAATTTATCCCATGGTTCAGGTAGTTTATCTTCTTGAGGATCTTTACTATCATAATATTGTTTCCATTCATTTAAATGTGTTGTAAAATGTTCACGAAATGTTTCAAATCCTTTTAATGCTGATAAACGACATATTTCATCCCAACATTTGTCCGATAACCAATTATTAGCTGGATTAGCTAATTTATTTTCTAATCCAACACCTCCAGTTAAAAAGAACATAAATTCATTCATTTCTAGTTCACCTCGAGATCTATACATTTTATATAACGTAATACAAAAGTAGTATAATGAAATTAGAATTAATCAAATAATGTTAAATTATGTTTTTTAACTATAATTTAGTTTAATTCATTAGATAACTTGAATAATTTGACTACTGTTGTGTTGTGAGCTACTCATATCTACATAAGTAGTATATAATGATAATCAGGAATAGAATGTATTTCAGTAGAAGATAGAGAAGGAAAGAACGGGGACGGTTAGAAATCGATATGAAAATACAGGAACAATAAAATCTGAAACGATAGACTGGTATTTGCGAAAGAAACAGTCAAGTTTGAGACAATAGAATGATATTTTGCAAATTACGTATTTACTGTATGGTTATCAGATTTTACTGAGATGTTCTGTAATTTTGTGTTTGAATACATTCCGCTGTCCCCACTCGTGTTCTTCTTTACTACACTGTCAATTTTATGACCAGGTATTGAATCTTGAGACTAACAGATTTATTCGCATAAACTTTTTCCTACTTTAAACTCTTTTGATATGAATACTGAATACCTTCTCTACTAAATAATTCAGAAATACAATAAAATGATTTCAGTAGTTGAGATAGTGAGTCAATTTAAGCTAGACTACTATAGAAAACCTGGAAGCATTAGATGGCCGTTTCGTCCTATTGTGAGACCCCTCAGAAGTGCGCATTCACGACCCAGTCTTGTGAGATTCGAAATCAGGACATATCAGTTTCGCGTCCGAGCGCCTAATCTTCAGACTGCTGAGCCGGTCAGCATTCCAACTGTGTCAACGTCTAACTTTAACCCATCTATCTGAAATTATCTTCAGTGAGTTACTATTAACTCAACTGACTCATGATCTCAACTACTGAAATTACTATAATATCCACAAAAACCCTTTCTGATATTAATAAAATGATTGTTAAAGATCCCCATATATTTTTAAATAAATATAAGATAAAGGACTAAACTAAACCTATATCCATATTTGTTTACATATGAAAATCAAAAGTCAAGTGATAATCAATTCTCATATTCATCGAATACATCACATTTTGATTCACTGGTATAAAAAACAGCAGAAAACAATCAAAGAAGCTTGACTAGTAATGACATTTGATCTATTTTATTGTAGTGAAAAACTCTTTGAAGCAATTAGATACTGGAGAGATACACTTCTGTTTTCAATTTTTAAGTTACAGAATATCTAACTTTTCTAGATAGAATTTTATGTAAATAACATATGGTTAAGAATTCCAGTTTTTTTTGGAAAGATCTTTCGAAGACATCTTGATATTTAACACTTTACTGTTATCTAGTAATAATTATCAAGATCATTCAACTGATTCACAAATTTCTATTTATTATAAGTGCTAAAATCATGAGAAAATACTTATTTTATTGGAGAAAATTATTCATTTTATCTTTCCGATGAATGTTTTTCCATTACGACGAAACGTACATTGGAAGAGTTGGAACATTCAAAACCATTTTCCAAACTTTTAGTATCTAAATTTTTATAAACGTTTAATAGTATTTAAACGTTTTTTTAAAATCACGAATCTATCGAAGTTAAAAAACACTACCGTAAATCTGGTAACACTGAATAGCCGTTTCATCCTTAGTATGAGATTCTTCAATCTTATTTTACAATCTTAATTTTAGATTATGCATTGCGAAACTCTAATTTATGGACGAGCCAATCACAAGCGACTGAGGGATTTCAAGGTCACGGTGTCAATTTCAGTACATAATGCTCATGTACTATCGCTTACAGCGGATTTTAGAAAAGACTTGATTATTGAGCGGCTATAACAGATGGGACTATAAGAAGTTCATTTATTTGTGACTGCAGTTATCAAATGACTGCTGTACCGTGTTGACAGTACCCTGATGTGATTTCCTTTCGATGTTATTTATTTTGGAGGAAGAAGTTTGCCCGGACGGACTGAAGGAGTTCTTGCGACCCTAACATGGTTCGAGAGGTCGATTATTGTGGAGCCAGATAAATGAGTTCCTCTTCCGTATGCACTACGATTTTGGAACCTCTGAACCTTGATGTTTTTTTGAACCATGCACTATCTGTCTTCTGATTGTCTAATATTTCTCAAGGTCATTTAAGGATCCTTCAAAGGTCGTCCATAAATTACAGTCTCGCTGAATATTCGCGATATATAATAGTTTTACTTATTCAGATTCTACAATCAACCAGAATTTGTAATCTCTACTTTCACAAACGGATATCACATAAATTCCGCAAATCAAATGAAGATCATGGTAAATATGTTAGTCAATAAAATAGAAAAAAGTAGATGATTGACTAATTCATTAAATTTAATTAGTAACTATGATATTTTGTTAATATATTAAATCTTTAAAATAAACAACTGAGAGATAAAATTTAAGGAAAAACAAAAAAACAAAATATATTTAAGAAAAAAAAACAACTTTATCAATTTTAATTACCCATCACGTGTATGTTTGCTCAACGAACCAATCAGAGATAAGATAATAGATCATGAATTTTAGCACGAATTTCATTTATTTATTTGATTAAATAGCATTTCGGTACTCTTTAGCTGATGTCCGTTCGTGATGAATTCCTAACCTTAACTATCAACTATGAATCATAATTCTAATTCCTCACATTGGTTTATAATTGTTTTAGTTAGTAGATGGATATTCTCAGGATCACTTTAATATCGCTCAAAGGTTGTTCATCAATTATGGTCTCATCAAAATAATTTTGAGTGGTTAGTTTCTACGATTAATGGTTATCTATTAACCAGGTTATTATGATTAATATAAATAGTACATATCGTTTATATGATTAATTTTCTCATTTTGGTTTCTAGTCGGTTGATTGATTAATTACATCAATAGTAATTTGATCTTTTATATTATAAACATTTAGACTTAGAATAAATTTCATTACAGTGAGTTAAAATGGGAAAAATGACAATTAGAATGATAATTAAATATTTATAGATGGCTAGCTATGGGATATGAAATTCCAGTCAACATGAATGATATATGAATTCATATGAATTTTGAGCGAATTGCTCATTCATCGGTATTAATGGATAACAGTTAAGTTAGATCATGAATAGTTGGAAATTCAAATCTACGAATAAATGAATTTTTACGCAGTGACCGAGTATGACTAACTCCGCCTGTAGCCTCTATGGGGCTACTGCCAGTCCCTAGGCAGGATAAAGGAGAAGGGTTGGGCATGGGGTTAGTGACCTCATCCTGTAAGAAAACTAACTCGCTAGAAAGACGCCAACCAGAAACAACAATTCAAACCATTTAAACTCTCCCCTGCGAGTTAGAAGTTCTTCATTTATAATAGTTATGAAGTTTCATGATGAAAACCGAGTAGCTTCGAGAGTCACAAGGTTAATTTTCCTTCTGATAACCACAGAAACCATTAATTTAGGCACACGGAATGTTCGTACAATGTGGGAGACCGGGAGAGTCATCCAAGTTGTTGCAGAAATGGAAAGATTCAACCTGCAAGTGCTTGGAATCAATGAGTATGAACGTGGATTAGAAATCCAACTTTTGTTTATTTATGCTGTTTTTCGACCATCATTCGTTAACATCAGTGATAGGTTTTTAGAACGTTATATATGTGAACTCCATTGGTTACAATTTCTCACAAGAAATGCTGGAATATGTCTCAAAGTTATTTACTGGTTAGTAATAGATAAACAATACAGTATTCTCTGTTTTCAAGTGTTTATGTAGGTCAAGTCAGTTTGAGATATAAACTGTCTTTAAACTAATCTATAAGCAGTCCGTAGGAAATGTTTCCCAAAACCCAATCTATAAGATAATGAAACTACATTTATATATCATCATTATAAAAATATCAAAATATATACAATAACTTACTTAACAATATTGATACACATACTAAATGCGAACAATACTTTATGCTTTTCAAATAATGAACGACATACATTTGTATACAGATTATATTCAAAATGATCTTTTAAATAGCGTAATCGTCTTTCCAATATTTTTGATTTATTACTGATCAAGCATAATAGAGTAAACATAATAAGAAAAATTGTAATTATAATTTACAAAAATAGTAACGCAAGCAATCAGGAAGTTATAATCAATGACAAATTATGTAGTTGAGGTAAATGTTATGGAATATTTCGCATGTTATTGTTTACATTAACTAATCCATCAAAATGAAACATATTTCAAGCAGAAATTATTAAGTCAAGCATAGTTTTATTTTTGATTGAGATCAAAAACGGATTGATGTTAAACCACCATGGGAAACCTGAAAGCATTGAACAACCGTTTTATCCTAGTATGGGACTCCTCAACAGTGCACATCCACGATACCGCCGCGTGAAATTCCAACCCAGAATATATCAGTCTTACACGCAAGCGCTTAACCACTAGACCACTGAGCTGGTCGGCATCCAACTGTGTTAATGTCTAACTTCAACCATTCTATATTGAAAAAAATTAGTTGTCATTACCGTTTGTTAGTGAAAGAAAGCCTTTATTCGAGAAGTTTGAATATAGATTAGGAGAAGAGAATGACAGATTAAGTCGTAACAGTTATGATATTCTCAAATATTTTGTTTCGTCTGGAACGTATAACATAATCACAGTTTAATAAGAGAAAAATAGCGAATATATGTAACTTTGTTTGAGGAGAAATGATGCTGAGAGATTATGATTAATTTAAACTGTATATATCAGTGATGTAATTAGTGATAGCTGAAAGAATGTAATACTTATGACACTCTTAAGATATGGACAGATTTACTTCACTATATACGACCACTTTATCATTGGTAATACAAAATTTTACCAATTTTCTGTATTTGTTATAATAAATCGTTGTTTAGAAGAAAAACATAATTTACAAGGTCCAAACGTGACCCAACATGAATGAATAAACTGTTCTCTACGGAGACTAGAATAACCGATTTGTGGTTCAAATCGTCAGTCAGTCAGTCATCTACAACGTAGGACCAGGCACATATATGCATCGGTTCAATATGTCATACCTCATTAGTACAATAACATTAACCCCAAATGCATAGAAATAGCTACTTTAACGATGCCATATTGCAATTTGTCAACCTGTATAAACTAACAGTAGGAGGGTTACTTACTTACTTACGCCTGTTACTCCTCGTGAAGGAGAATAGGCCGCTCACCAGCATTCTCCATATAACCCTGTCCTGGGCAACCCTTTCCAGCTCCTTCCAGTTGTTATTCATCCTTTACATATCTGCTTCTATTATCCAACGTAATGTGTTCTTTGGACTTTCACTTTTCTGCTTCCCTCCAGGATTCCAAGTTAGGGCTTGCCTCGTGCTGCAGTTTGATGATTTGCGTAATGTATGTCCTATCCATTTCCATCGTCTTTTCCTGATTTCTTCTTCAGCTGGAAGTTGGTTTGTTCTCTCCCACAGAAGGCTATTGCTGATGGTATCCGGCCAATGGATGTTGACTATCTTGCGAAGACAGCTATTTATAAATACTTGTACCTTCTTGATGGTGGTTGTTGTAGTTCTCCAAGTTTCAGCTCCATATAGTAGAACTGCCGTGACGTTCGTATTGAAGATTCTCACTTTGATATTGGTTGAAAGTTGCTTTGAGTTCCATACGTTTTTCAACTGTAGGAATGCTGTCCTTGCTTTGCCAATCCTTGCCTTTACGTCTGCATCTGAGCCTCCTTGTTCATCGATGATGCTTCCCAAGTATGTGAAGGAATCTATATCTTCCAGAGTTTCGCTATCAAGAGTGATTGGATTAGCTGAGGACCTTGGTTTTCCCTTTGTGCATATTGAGGCCTACCGATGCACAGACTGCTGCAACGCTGGTTGTCTTCATCTGCATTTTTTCGTGTGTATGGGATAGGATGGCTAGTTCATCTGCAAAGTCCAAGTAGTCTAATCGATTCTGAGCTGTCCATTGTATTCCGTGTTTTCCTTCAGATGTCGAGGTCTTCATAATCCAGTCGACCACCAAAAAAAAGAGGAAGGGAGAGAGTAAACAGCCTTGTCTGACTCCGGTCCTTACTTGGAATGCATCTGTCAGCTGTCCTCCATGCACTACTTTGCACTGTAGTCCGTCGTATGAGTTCCGTATTGTCGAAGAAGTTTCCATAACGTCCTCCTATATACACTGTCAAATGCCTTTTCATAATCAATGAAGTTGATGTATAGTGACGAGTTCCACTCAACTGATTGTTCGACGATGATCCGTAGTGTTGCAATTTGGTCTGTGCACGACCGATCCTTACGGAATCCAGCTTGTTGATCTCGAAGTTGGGCGTCTACTGCATCCTTCATCCGGTTCAGCAACACTCCGTTGAAGACTTTCCCTGGTATTGACAGTAGTGTAATGCCTCTGTAGTTTTCACATTTGCTCAGATCTCCTTTCTTTGGAATCTTGACGAGGTGTCCTTCTTTCCAGTCCATCGGCACTTGTTCCTCCTCCCAAATCTTTTTGAATAGAAGATAAAGCATGCTTGTGTTTGCTTCGATGTCTGAATTCAGTGCTTCAGCTGGTATGTTGTCGGGTCCTGCTGCTTTCCCGTTCTTGATTTGTCTGACGGCCATTCTAATTTTTTCCGTAGTTGGTGGATTGACCTCTATAGGAAAATCTATGTGTGCTGCTTCGATGTCCGGTGGATTCATTGAAGCCGGCCTATTCAGGAGTTCCTCGAAGTATTCTACCCATCTGTTACGCTGTTGTTGAATTTCGGTGATTTTCCTGCCTTCTTTGTCTTTGACCGGCCTCTCTGGTTTACTGTATTTCCCTGCTAGTTTCTTCGTTGTATCGTAAAGCTGTTTCATATTTCCTTCTCTAGCAGCTTTTTCTGCCGTCGTTGCTAGTTCTTCAACGTATTTCTTCTTGTCGGCTCTAATGCTCCTCTTCACTTGTTTGTTTGCTTCTATGTATTCAGCTTGTGCTTGGACTTTCTCTGCTCGTGTTCGGCTGTTGTTTATTGCTGCCTTCTTGTTCTTCCTTTCTTTGATCTTTTCCAGTGTTTTTATAGAGATCCATTTCTTATGATGATGCTTCTTGAGGCCCAGGACCTCTTGACATTTTGAAGTTAATGCTTCTTTGATACTTTTCCAGTTGTCCTCCATAGTATTTTTTCTTCATTCGGTAGATCTTGTAAGGTTTGGAACCTCTTGTTGAGAGCTGTCTTGAATTCATTGAGTTTGTCAGTATCTCGAAGGAAGGCTGTATTGAACCTTTGTAGTGCTGTTTGTCCAGTTGTCCAGTTCATTTTTAAGTTCAGTTTAAAATTGGCCACAACTAGGTGGTGATCTGAAGCTATATCAGCACCTCTCCTGTTTCTCACATCTTCCATTTTCCTTCGGAATTTTTTATTGATCCAAATATGATCTATCTGGTTCTCTGTAGTGTGGTCCGGTGAGATCCATGTAGCCTTGTGTATACGTTTGTGAGGAAATATTATGCCTCATATGACTAATTTGTTGAATGCACACAGATTTGCAAATCTTTCCCCATTTTCGTCTCTTTCTCCCAGTCCATGTCGTCCCATAATATCTTCATATCCAGTGTTGACTATTCCGACTTTGGCATTTAGATCTCCCATTAGAATAGTTAGGTCCTTTCTTGGGCATTTCTCAATGATTGATTGCAGCCTATTGTAGAACTGGTCTTTAATGTCGTCATTGCTATCGTTAGTGGGTGCATAACATTGGATAATATTCGTTGTGATCCCCTCCTTCTTTGTTTTGAATGATGCTTTGATGATTCTGGATCCGTGAGATTCCCATCCTACAAATGCATTTCGTGCTACTTTGGACAGCACTAGGACAACTCCCTGACTGTGTGGAGCATTTTCCTCTTCGTGACCGGAGTATAGCAGCATCTCTCCCGTATTTAGCCTTTGTTGTCTAGCTTTGGTCCAATGGGTTTCACTGACTCCCAGTACTGCCAAGTTGTATCTCCTCATTTCCGTTGCTATTTGACTAGTCTTCCCGGTCTTCCACGTTGTTCGGACGTTCCATGTACCTATAAAAATTGTTGCTCTGGTTGTTAGAAGGAGCATCGGCCTCGTGGCTTCCGAAGGAACTCGGCTTTCACCATGAAGTGTCATAATTCTTCTGAATGAAGACCTTCTAACTCCCAGGGCAGAGTTAAAATGGCTTGAATTGTTTTTTCTGGTTAGTGTTTTTTTAGCGAGTTAGTTTTCTACAGGATGGGGACGCTAACACCATGCCCAACCCTCCTCCTGTACCCGGGCTTGGGACCGGCAATAACTCTAGAAGCGCTACAGGCGGAGTTAGTAGGAAAATTGGTAAGTAGAAAAGTTTGAAGCAGATTCTTTTCCTATTTTCTTCAGTTTTTTCTTAAGACTTTATTTATAATAAAAGAAATATTTAGTGATTTCTCAACGTGTTGATTAGAGGCATTTATTGCTGGGAAATTTAGCTCGATCATAAACCAAGCTGATACTAGTAAATTATGGTATGCTTATATGTATACTCTTGTGGCTCTACGTTCATTAGCAAAGTACCTCATATTGATGAACCTGTATCTCTATGTCCGGTAAAAAAAGGTATGAAAATTAGAAAAAGTAAGCCAGGTTTTTCATTCAACAAATAATAAAAGTATTTTTTAAAGTTTTATTTCAACCTTCCCACAATTTAATAAAATTAATAAATCATTTTAGTATGATAAATATGAATGAATTAAATCTATTTATCTTCTTTATTTGTCTTGTCCAGTAATAAGATCATTCTATTCCTGACCAACCCCCAAACGGCCGGGAGTGGGGAGAGTCCGCTCTCCCTCTCGAAATACTCTCACATGGTCACGCGTATATAGCCTCTGTCAGGGAAGTCCTACTCATCGCCTTCTCGTGGCGAGGGTGTTGTTTACGAAATTGAGAAGACGAAAAGCAAATGTCCGGCGCTTTAACCAGGTTAGTGGACATGGAGAGTCCACCTAGGGGAGTTGGAAAACCCTGACTCCAAACCAATGGTGCACATGGGATCCAGTATCTTAAAGGAACAAATGGCGTATGAACCAATCGTTGGTCACCGGTTATCATGGGACTGCATCTCCTTACGATGCTCCACTGCCTGTGGATCAGACCTTCATGTCAAGGGCTCTGAGTGTGGCCCCTTAAGAAAACCACCCACTTCGGTCTGGGCACCCAGGCAGTATCACAGCCCTCAAACATATGAAATGAGATCTGTGTGGCCCATATGTATTTGTTGCCTCCTTGTACCAATATCTATGCGTTAAAATAAATAAATAATTCCTGACCAAATTGGTTATATCTGTGATGTGTGCTACTTATATTGACATCAGTAGTATATGATGTTAGTCATGAACAGGAGGTGTGGAAGCGGAGAGACAAGAAGGTCGAACAGTAAAGAATGGAAACAATTTGTGAGAAAATACAAGAACAATGAAGTCTGAGTCATTTTGAGACAAACGATGGACATTTTGCAAATTGAGATTTTACTTTATGACTGTTAGATTTTATTAACAAGTCCTGTTGTGTTAAGTACATTCGATTGTCCCCACTCGTGTTCTGTTCACTACATTATATTATAAATTATTAATATTAATCTCATTTCTTGTATTTCATTTTTACTACAAATTACTATTATTAGTAATATCACAATAATATCGATATCATATTTCTTCCATTCCACATAATCTTCACACGATATTTGTTTAGAATTCACTACTTTCTATAGTGAAATGTTTTCATTACTTCTTATATTCTAAATGATTTGTAATAAATACTGATAACATAAACGATGTCATCTATAAATGATCACTACTGAAAACCTGAAAGCACTGGATGACAGTTTCGTCCTAGTACTGGACTTCAGTAGATCGTGGATTCATACTGCTGACGAGTCCCATACTAGGAAAAAATGGCCATCTAGTGATTTCAGGCTTTCAATGGTGGTCTAACTTAGATTGAATTCATGAATTCAACTAGTAAGATTGCTACAATCTCCACAGACCTTCATTGTGAATGTGTAATTGAGTAAAATAAATTAAAGCTATCTGGTTTATAATAATTATGATAATAAAACATTTTCTTGGTATCATAAAAATGGGTTCTGAAGTTAAAGTTATTCAAAGCAGTCTATACAGTTTAAAGATCCACACTGTGCCAAACGCATTTGCTTTTCAGTATAAGGTTATGAAACTGTTAAATTTCATTAAAGTTACGAACTGATGAAAAATTAGATGACCAGAACGGTCGTTTCGTCCAAGTATAGAACTTCTCAGCAGCGAGTATCTTTGACCTATCAAGAGGGAGCCGAACCTATGAATTTCGGTCACATGCACAATCACTTAACTTATAAACTACTGAGTTGAGGCCCATTGGTGTACAAGTCTAACTTCAATCAATAATTGTCTTCAAAGTTCCTGGGTTCGATTCTCGGTTGTGAGGTCGTGAATGGGCATTGCTAAGATGTTCCACATTAGGACGAAGTGGCCATTCAGTGTTATCAGATTTTCAATGGTTCTCTAACTTTGATAGGTTCATGATTTCAATGAAAATATTTTTATTTGTAAATAGATTAAAACTTGACTAGATAGTTTGTTGAGACTATTATAGCATATAGTCCTGATAAACTGCCTTACTCCATTACGCGTTCTAATTATGACCATAACAATACTGTAACAATTCGTTAAGATTGTTCCCTTTTAGTATGAAATGCAACTCTTTGAGTGATAAAGGTGTTTAATAAAAGCACACAGGAATTCTCAAATATCAATCAAGTATTTGATTTAAAACAATTAGTCCCTTAGATAAATTTCGATAATACAATGAAAAGCCGAAGGTTATCAGAATTATCTGATATATTTGTGCAATGCATTCCGAACAATTTGATCGCATATATACTCGTTAAGACATTTTTATATGAAAACTAATAGATCAACTAGACAGGCTAAAGGTAGGTCGTAACAAATAAAATATAATAATCAAGTACACATTAATAATGTGATAATCACTCTGGGTAATAAATCAGTATTACCAGGGTAGGGTAAAGGTAAGGGCAAACTGTTTTTGAAGGCATAAAGGAGGTTTCACTTTCCGTATAGCCAAGGCTTCAATAAACCTTAGTATACGCCGTTGCAGGCTTTTGTACAACACTACAAATGTTGACTTGATATCAACATTATGATCAGTCTCAACCAAATGTTTCGCAATGGAGGATGATATCTGTTTATCCTACTATCTTATTTGACCACTGGAATTCATTTGTTTCTGCAGCCATTTGGGTATGTATTCCGCCACCCTTTCTTGTAGATCACAATTACTTTTCCTTATGTACGTTTTCCCACACATACATGTAAATTGATAGACACAATGGGATGTTACACAATCGCTTGCGTGCTGTTTCGGTTTTTGGTGAAACATAGACCTTGTCTTTTCAAACATTTGATTGAGACAGGTCATAAGGTTGACATCAAGTCAGAATTTGCAGAAGTATTTAATCACCAGATATCATTATTGTCTTAACTTTTACACCTTTTTAGCAGTTTATTAACGCCTAAATGACATTAATGACAGTAGTGTAATATAACCTAAATAAATAGAATTAAGCTATTCCATAGATTTTTATGGGTTTTGTACAGTGGTTGATATAGTTCAAGTCTATATTTAACAAAATCTATCATCACCTAGATAACCAATGCAGCTGATGTCCACTGCCTATGACACGTTATAATTTCGTACCTATGTGCAGTCACACCTACATAATGCTGAAAAGTCATATACAAGTACGAAACTGCTGATATGTGCTACTAATTTCTGGATTCTTCTCAAACTGAAATGTGCCAATTAAATGTTCACAATGTGAAACATGATTTGAGTAACGACTAGTGTCACTCACATTTATATATCCTTATCTTCAGACCTAGAATGATTAATATACCAAACATTTGTTTGGGACGACAAAACCCTAATCGAATCAAATCATAATAGTAATTCTACGTAAAATGGGCTTCAATATCAAAGTAACGCTAGTGAAAAGGTATTCTTTTTACATGTTATGAAGTTCATAGGTTTCATGATGACGGTGAGAAAAACCAATGCTATCAACTGCTATGATATCGCGATAAATTATGACAAACCAGTTCTTCCATCTAGTTCACGTTAAAGTCCATATCTTTGCATTTCAGAAAAGCAATATCTACTGAGTACAATGTTATTGTTATACACTTACCTATCGTGAATTGAATTAACGTAGAGATTTACAAACCATGCTAATGAGTATTGATACATTGGATCGATATTAGGTAGATCTGTTAATGAAAAGAAGAGTACAGCAGAATGTTTAGCAATTGATGAATAATCCATTCTCGCACTGTCAATCTTCTTTTGGGTTTCTTCAGCAACCTATTAGTTAAAAGAAAAAGAGAATGACTAATGTACATAGTAACATAGTATATAGCCATTCGTGTCTTAAGTAGTGTCATTTCTGCTCTCCAGTCAATCAGTCATAACCAACATAAAGCCTGGTACAAAAGTGCACTGACTCAAGTTACCAGACCACAATAGTGCGATGAGATGAAGTTGAGAAAGACTGAACGATGGAAATATCATACAAAAGGCTGAACAAAAACATGTTTTAGGAAATAAACGAACTTGAGATTTAGAAACGGATTAGTAGTTGATGCAAATGCATCAGTGTTATCGGTTTTGAGTCATGTTAGCCGGTGCGTCCAACCAGTAGTCGCGGTCATCACGCATACTCCATCCAAGTAGTCTGAGTTTATTGACCAGTCCAACGTTTTAGTTTTACACTGCCCAACTTTCTTTTAACCTTATCGCACACTCGGAAACATCATTCGTCCAAGAAAGATGTGTGTTACATATCCTTACCATCTAAATCGGTAAAGATTTACAACCTCATAAACCGATTTGGTATCTTTAACTGGTTCTAAATGCATAACGTGGATGCAGATCTAAAAATGTGTGTATTTTACAAGTAAGCGTAGTTTGAAATCGATTTTATCAAATTTGTAAGTGGATTCTGGCTAAAGAATTTCATCTTCATTTGGCAATTGAAAAGTAACAGTCACATAATAGTCATCCATTTGGAAAAAGTTTAAACCACTGATTTTGCCGAGTGTAATTCAAAAGATATAATTTTGAGGATTTCCTGCTTTCATAGTTTGAAAATTTGTTACGTAGAAGCCACTAATATGACATCATTTTGAAGATATGCTTCGTCACAAATTAACATTAAACAGAATATCATTAGAACTCTGAGAAATTCTCATCGATCAACCATAAACGTTACAAGCTGTTGGGAAAAAAATCACATATCTTCGACCACTGATTTGCATTCAAGTAGTTCGGTTTTCATGCATGTAGTGTGGTAAGTCTATAATGTTAAAGCGCTCCATGATAGGTGAAAATAGTTGTTCAATAATTATAAGTATCTTACTGTTCTCCTACTGATATTACTCCAATACAGGAGTGTTAACCTGCATAAATGTTCACAAAGCCTTAATTAAATAAGAACATTATGTACATTATGATTATTTACTGACGCTACATTCATACTAGTTATAAGTAGTAATAATGTGTATAATTATGTTTGACTTACTTTTTGCTTTTTGAAAATATCATCTGAAATTAATTTAGATGAATCAAGTATTTCAATAGCAGCTTCATTCTCTAAAATATTCCCTTCAGATTCTGATAAAGTAGCTAATATCTTGTCTTCAGTTTCTTTAAGCATACGTTTATTATTTGCTGTTGTTATTATTAATTCTTGACGAGCTTCTTCAAGTTCTGGTCTATAATGAACATTTTTTAAAGTAGTAGAACGTCTATACTATTAAGTTAAATGTATAATATACTGTGAAATTGAGTACAGGCTTAATTAGGTTGAATGAAGTCGATCGATAACTAATAATAATAATAATAATAATAATAATAATAATAATAATAATAATAATAATAATAATAATAATAAGTGTATACCCTCGAAAAGGACGTGATTGCTAGATTACCTCATACTGAACATTTAGGATAAACCTTTTATTAAAGTGAAATATGTATTGGGATAAGTGAATGAGTTCATAATACAGCATGATTATATACATTCTATAGTAACAGTTTAACAAGCATAGAATCCTCATTAGTATACAAAATATAATCTGAGAATAGAATAAATGGAAATGATAAAATGAGTTATTTATGACTTGATGTATGTATGTATCATTATTATGTGTTTTGGTATGATAGATGAAACATTTTTGCATCTGAAGGTAAATGAAACAGTCTAAGGAATAAATTGTGGGCAGCCTATATTCCTCTACGATAGGGTAAAAAGCTTAAGTAAGTAAGTAGGGACTAAAATGGTCAGTTTGATTTTATAGACCAAATCATTGAGGGTTTGCAATTTTTGTGAGCTGATTGTATGATGCATTAAGCTTCTAGATGAAAAACAGTTGTCTTGGTAATCGATATATATAGGTCATACAAGAGTAGGTCTGTTTACAATAACAAATTTTCATTCATTTTGGTGTTCTTATATAGTTTTGATATTTTCCTCTATATTCTTACATATTTCTATGTTTATCAAACCTTAAACTACATATTCCCACTGTTACTACTAATATTGAACATCTAATCAAGTGTTTTATAAATCCGAATATTAATTTTACAACTACATATCTAGATTATTTCTTCTGTAACTTTTATTTATATTCCACTACCTGTTAGATATTCTGTAATCTTTACTATAATTGATCCTTTTATGAATTCATTTATTAACTAATATCTGTGAATAGTTATCACTTAATTTACGCCATCTTCAAACTGTTTTGCTCAGTGAGTGACAGTCAGGACTCAGTAGCTAAGTGGATAACGCGATGGCGTTTGAAGTGAACGGTAATGGGGGTCAAGTCCCAGAGTGAACATCAACTCTGAGATGCAGGTACATCTAGCTGACCAGTTTTGAATAGGACGAAACGCGCGTCTTGGATTCCACTGTTAGCCGCTATCCATCTTTGTTTATAAAGTTTGTGACTGAAAGCAATATCGAGGCAATCCGCATAGGATGCACATATGCCAGTAAGAGACTGATCAATTACAGTCCTAAATCACAATGGTAAGATACAAGCAACGAACGCCAAGTGAATTTGTTCTGTTAAGCATTTAAAATTGTTTTCATGATTACTGAAATTTGTGATATTATCTAGCAAACCACCTGGCTGATATCTTTAATCATGCGCTTGAACTCTAAATTAACAACCCGACATTCAAATGTCAAACATTTGTAAGCGAGACTAAAGATCCTGGGTTCTATAACCAGATGCAGGGTCGTGGATGTGTATTGTTCAAGGGTCTCATACCAGGACAAAATGCAAATAATAAAAAAATCTTAACTGTTTATTTATTTAAAAAATACAATTTACTTTTCTTTAGCGACAACAATACCCAGTAACTGATCTTCTAAACCTTCTAACGTAATCATAAAGTTTAATAATGAAACTTTCACAGCAATTTCTGGTAAATAATGTGGATTTCTTAGTTTAGTTGTGATGTACAAACGAAAATCTTTTGAATACTCAATGATATTTTCACCTAAACGTATCATATCCACACCACCTTTAAAATAGAACAGAAAAACATTATGATAATAATGATTATTACAACAACAAAAAATCAAAACTGTTTTATCATATTCTTAGTTTTTCGTACTGATGTGAAGTCAGATGCAGTTTGTATTGAATAAAGTCAGTTAGCAAGCAGCTTAGGTTGTTTCCAAAGCACATCTCGCATGAAATGAATTACATTATTAAAATACTGATTACAGGATACCTTCACTGTTGACGTTAACTTAAGCATAAATAAATTGAAGGACTACTCTGAATCGAATTTATACTTTAAAGTTCTTTTCAAGAACTGTATTTTCAAGATATTGATTTTTTGCGTCTTAAGAAGTATAAATAAATATTAGACCTTTATTATAGTAATTTAATAATTGAATTCATTAGTCGATTAAAGCTAGAACCCCATGAAAACCTGAAAGCACTGGATGGTCGTTTCGTCCTAGTATGGAACTTCTCAGCAGTGCACATCCACGACCCCACTCTCGGGACTAGAACCCAAGACCTTCGGCATAGTGTGCGGACGCTTAAATTCTAGACAACTGAGCCAGTTGGCATCCGACGGTATTAATGTCTAACTTCAAACAAAATGTAAAATTAAGTACACTTTAGAGATTAGTTCCGAAATTTGTTCTTCAATATTCTTTGGACGATATATGTCATCCTCTTATCCAATATTAAACGCTGGTTTTTACATTAAAACAAAACTAAGTAATGGTGAGTTCTTGGTTTTATACATTACGAACACTATAAATTTCAATAGCATACATATCTCATACTAATAACAGAATCATTTTTCCTATACCATATGTTTTCTACCATTACCGATACTATTACTATTGTTGTGGTGTGTGCTACTTATATTGATATAAGTAGTTTGTGACGCGAGTCAGGAATGTAATGTCTGGCAGCGGAAGATAGGGAAGATCAAGAAAGAAAGAGCGGGAATAGAAAGCAATTAGTATGGAAACGCAAGAACGACGAATTTCAAGACAATTATTGAACATTTTGCAAATTAAGTATTATAGTATGGTTTTTCTAATTTACCAAGTAACTCTGCAACTTTGTGCTAATTCGATTGTCCATACCCGTGTTCTGTTCGCTACATTGTCGTGGCTGTCTTGTCAGTTTATTATTTATGCACCAATATGGTCTGGCAACTTGAACTGTTACACATATGTATTAGATTCAACGTTGTACATGACTGATTAACTGTTAGTTTAAGTACTACCGAAAAACATTTGGATGTTGAAATTCTTTGTATTTACTACTAAAAAAATAACCTGTTAAATATTAGGTAAAAACTTTTCAGAAATGATAAATACTTCAAACCAACTTAGAGATTAAATGGTGATAAGCTTAGTGAAAGATTCTAAACCTTAACGTTCGCACTCTCCAATTGTATAAAAATGCACTCTACAGAAGAATTGACAGGCTTAGATGGAAATCAATTACCATTTATGTGGTTCTCAATATTGTATTAATCGGTTTAAGCTAATAACATCATCCAAAGACTTAATTATTCTTAACAATCATTAGAAAACATAGTTGTACATCTTCATACAAAAACAAGTAAATATATCACCTTGTTTAAATGTTTGTTTTAGTAATAGAGGTTCCAAACTTGGATCTAAATCTTCACCGACATTTTCCAAAAGTATTGGTGTACCGAATTGAATACCATTTTCTAAATTTCTAATGAAATCATTATCTGTTAATTTGACAACAGTGATTCCTGTATCTTTTTCCATATTCTTTATCCATTTATTAGCTTGACCTTGTGGATCAATCATCAGTGGCCTTGTGATTAAACATTTGAAAACAGAAAACAACACGTCATAAAATACCTATCCGTTTCATACTACGTATCTAAAAAGGGTTGCGTTAGGTGTGTTTACAACCTAAAAATCTTTAACAAATATTTCCAATAAATCGATTACCGGCCTCATGATTTCAAGTTTATATACCATATTAGATGAATTTATGGACCTAGTCATCTTATTCCTATATCTCTGTCCTTGTAAGGAAGAAAATCAATAACATTATCATTTCTTAACTGATAGTACGTGAATATTGTACTTGTTTAGTTATATATCATACTTCGAACAAAAGAGAGAGAAATTACGCTTCCTCTATTCAACTAAAACAATGGAGAACAGCTCGAGGAAAGCAAAAAAATATAGCTAAAAGTAGAGTATTAGTCTTCTAAGTTTAAACTAAGCCACAATACTGTCATTGCATATCTCTGTTAAATAGTATAAGATTGCATTTACCAATTTACATATACGTACCAAAGCATATACACTGGAAGAAGCGAGAGAAGAGTACATGTTTGCATTTCCGAACACGTCTCAAAGAACTTGAGGCTGTGAGGCTTAATGGCTCTTAACAACGTAATCGCTCGGCATTTATTTGACACTGGGTCCACCATTGACATTCCTCAAGCCTTCAAAATTATTAGAAGACAAGGAAACACAACTTCTCTTCGGTTTGTTGAAGCAATTGAGAATAAAAAAACTGAAACCTGACTTATGTAACTTATTACTACCCTGGTAAATCATTTTTCGGTCATTAGTTTTGTTCTATTAGTGTTTATTTCGTTATGTGGTCTTTCCTTACGGAATTCTTATTTTATGTATATTAAGACCACTCCTTCACTCATACATTTCTACTCAATTAATTTTCAGAATTTATGTAAATTATTCAAATCTTGTTCAATTATTACGCAACCCATCTTGTCAGCTTTTTTTCAGGACTCTTGTGTAAACCCTTCATTACCTCTAAAATGATCACACAATTTATCTTATCTATCTTTGAACCTCAGTTAATTATTGCGTCACCAACCCCTCATGTTTTTTTGATTCTAACACTAAAGGACATCCGACCTATATATATATATATATATATATATATATATATATATATATATATATATATATATATATATATATATATTTGATAACCTTTGTCAATCCAATTCTTTTCATTCACCTATGTCAAATGTTTCACACTATATCTTACCTCAAAGTAAACATAATACATATTTGGTTGCAAGAAGCTGATAAGAAACCATGAAATATAATGATTTCATATTACTCTGGGTTCGAGTCCCAGAGTGAACATCAACTCTGAGATGCAGGTACATCCAGCTGACGAGTCCCAAATAGGACGAAACGCGCGTCAAACTGGATTCCATTGCTAGCCTCTATCCATCTTTGGTTATAATGCTTGTAAATTAAGGTAATATTGAGGCAATACGTACAGTATGCACATATGCCAATAAGAGAGTGATCAATTTCAGTCCTAAACATCAATGGGAAGATTCAAGTAGAACAATACCAAGTGAATCCTGTATTCACGTTTGTTCTGGCTTTATTTAGATGGTATAAACATTTACTTATGTCAATTCCGTATCCATCTTATGAATCATTTTTAATTTCGCACTTGAACTCCTTGGTCTCTGTCCTTGTGAGAATTGTAATCAATAGTTGGAGATCTTAAGTGACATTATTCCAAATAGATTACTGTGACACAAAAGCATGCATTTCACATTTTTAAAGTATTTACCTTTAATATAACCTCCAACTGTACTGTTTGAGATTAAAAAAAGTTTTCTTTTGTATTTTCTAAATTAAAATTCACAGTGCAATTAACATCATTCTCTCTTTATTTATGCTTATTTTGTTAGTTTCTTGTCCCCTTTTAGTGATGTGTCATATTATTTTGTGATTAAATATGCATACTTGTTGCGTTCCACATTGTCTATGGCTAAAAGTATTTTAACATCCCATTAGAAACTGAACCGTCAGTTCATAATAGACTTTATATACTAATTTATCTTGTTTTTCTTTTCTCATTTATATATGGATTCAATCTAGAAATTAACAGTAGTCATAACGAAATATTAGTGTAACTATGAAATAGCATGATCTCTTATCGGCTGTATTCTGTCTTCCGTTATATTTAATAACCATAGATCGTTAGAATCAGTTAAATTCTCTTATTGGCACATAACGTATTACTATGAAATACACTTTTTTGACAGTACATTTCTCCATCCCATAGAAATCTGAAAGAACAAGAACTTCATCAAGATTGAGGGCTCCATAAGAAAACAGTTTTTTTGAAAAATTTCAGAAGAAAGGGGGAAATTAGATGGTAAATCCAATGTCCAAAAGTATTTAGTAATGATTTTCCAAATATACCGGTAAAGGACGGTGGGTGGCCTATGCTCCCGAACGAGGGATAACAGGCGTAAGTAAGTAAAGCAACTACCAGTGTGTTTTAACTAACTTTGGAATTTGGTCACTTACTGATTAATGGACCTACTATGATCAAGTTGATTTCTTTTGCTGTCTTCTGAAAGAATTTGTACTTAAAAACAAAAATAATTGTATGTTTAGCAGTTTACAGAAAATTGAAAACAACTTACCATCTTCTAGCATTTGCTACAATAACACTATTGTCTATCGAAAAAGCATCACGTGGCAAACCATCGATATTCCATTGTTGAATTTTTACCGGATCACCAAGACATTGAGTTAATGAAAAAGGTTCAGAACAAGTGATATTTTGTTGTTTACATTGAATAATCCAATTTGAAATACATTCTTCTCTGTAAGTCGATGTAAATGGTCCCAAATAAGCAATTATTCCAGCTGATATCAGTACATCACCAATAAGATTATCATATAATTTTTCAAGATATTCAGCTGCTTGACGCCAACGGTCTTTTTCACCACCTAAACCACCTATCAACTTTGTAGCTCTTTCTAATTTAGTTGCACAATTTGATACTTCATCTTCCAGGCGTTTTTTCTCGTTTTGTGTAGATTTAAGTTGATTTTGTAAATTTTCTAATTTAGCTTCAACTTCAGCTAATGCATCTTGTGTCTTTTTTAAACATGCCATATTCTCTGTTAATTCTGCTTCAGCTTCAGCTAATTTAATACGCTTTGGTGCTACAATTTTAGCTACACGATCATACTGTTCCATAGCTAATATCCACTTGCATAAACCTTCAGCAGCTGAACTAGCACGAGCTACTTTGGTTGGGTCGAATTCAGGATTTGTCATGAAATCTTTTCGTATACGTTGCATGATCTAGGGAAATATTAAATACAACAAATAATGTTATTCTCAAGCCCTGGTAAAAAGTAGAAGTTCATGAATAAACCTGACTACTAATAAGAATATCATTAGATCAAAATAGAAAACATATGCAGATTTTGAAACGGATTTGTAAACAAACCTCAACTCCTCAAACGTAAAATAACATCAAACTGCTAAAGTTAAATCAAATTATGTTTAATATTGTAAAGGTCTTTGAATCAACATAGATAACAGGAACTCCGTAAGTTCTGACTTGAAAGTAATAAATAGTAAACATGACTAGTTGAGATGGAATCCAAAACATAGAATCTCACAATTCTTTATCAGTTCGAAAGGCATCAATATGATAACATAAACACTTACCATGATTTACAAATTTATGAATATAGCAGTTTCAAAATTAGAATATGAGGCAACCTGTGGTTAGATAAACATACTACTGAAGTATGTTTAAGATGAGATCATACTTTATATGATAAGGATCAAATCTAATTCATGTAACCACATACATTATTAGTTGAATATTTTATTTAATCATCAATGATATATCGATGAGACTACAATTTATGGACGACCTTTGAGCGGCGCTAGAGTAACCTTGAAAGTGTCCACCTAATAAAAAGGACCACTTGAGGGTTATGAACCAGTTTAAGAAATTAGAATTGTGATTTGAAGTTGATAGTTAAGGTTAGGAATTAGATCTAGGATTTTCATCACGAACTGACATAATCTATAACGCCAAACCTTTTTTCACCCAAATGGATAAGTAAGTTTCGTACCAAAATCCAAGACCTGTTATCTTATATCTGATTGGTTTGTCCATAAATTCTAGTCTCGTCGACGTATCCACTTAGAACAATCACATGAATCCTAAATGTTTTCATATCTTACCGTTGGGTTGATATTATCTTTGTTATACTCCTTCAATAGATTTAAAAAATTCAAATCACCAAGTAGTTTCTTTGATGGTCCCCAATAATCATTAATCTTTTTACCGGTTCCTGATGGATCATTTACTTTATCTGGTTTAATATCACGCATAACACAAACACCTTCCATGACAAGTTTGACACCAGGTGGAGGATTTTGCATTGATTTCACTATTGTAATATCAGATGGTTTAAGTGTGTCTAATGCAGAAAGAGCCGCTTCTAATGCAGGTTGTGCTTCAGCTAAATCAGCTCGACATTCATCACTTAATGCTTTAGAAGCATCAGCTTTTTGATTGACAATTTCTTCTTCAGCTTTTACTTTAACACGTTGTTCTTCAACTGTCACTGATTCTGTAGCTATAACAGTTAAAAGTTTTTCATTCTCTTCACTGGCTAATACAAGCTGAGGTTGAAGTTCTTCTAATTTGATTTGCATATCAGCTACTTGTTCTGCAGCGAACGCTAATTTATCTAGGCCATTGACATAGCTAAATTATAGTTATAAAAATAATTATAAATATCAAAATCAAAACCATTTAGATCATTATCTATATTGAATCATTACAAAAGTGTTATATCCTAACGAACAATAAATGCATAGCAACTACTAGGAATTATTTATGGACTATTATCACACATATTTCTATCGCATAACTATTAAGTAACTATATTATATGTATATTCATATTCCTTTTATTATAGGCTTTCAGTTGACCTATTGACTATTGTTTTACGATTTACTATTCTTAACTTATTCCCAATTTATTAGTTACATTCTCTCACAACCACGGCCATATTTTGGCTTGATCTCGTATAATTGTTATTTTCTATTTTTTGGTATGGTTTGTTTGTATATAAGCCAAGTATGTCTGAAATATATTATTTATACAGTGGGAGCTGATATGGATGTTCTGGACTCAATAGTCAGGACTATATGAGAAGGACTAATAAGGACTCTAGGCTGTTCGTACCGCTTAAAACGTCATTGGTTTGGCAAAGTGCTAAAACTGAATAGGTCCTGCCCTGATTGGCGGTCTTATCACGTGATAGTTAACAGGGAAAAAGTCAACAAAGTACATTTGCGACTGATGATTTATAAAAAAAACCAACATTTGGTCATGAAGGAAGGTAGTCTGTCTAGATTACACTATTACTTTGTAAGTTGATTGAAAAATGTCCAAGTGGAGAAGATTTGCAGCACAGGTTGATCATTTTGGTGGAGTTTTGCTCTCTGAGCTGGATGGTTTGGTCGTGAAGCTTTCATCGTTCTTCTGAACGACATCATCCAGCTCAGAGAACAAAACCCCATCAAAGTGTCCAATTGTTCAACTAATTATTGAGTATAAAACAGTGATTTTTATACTTCATTCGTAAGTTATAATTATACTAGCGTAACTCTGTTGATTAATCTCTTAAGAATGTATTTAATTCTGAGCTGATATACTTAATATCTGATATTCAAACTCACAAAACAACGTGACCAGATTGTTAATAAGCCTAACAGCTAGTAATTTCTCTATAACCATTTCTATATTGAGAAATATTTTGGATATAGTAATAATGTAACTAGAACATAACCATTCATGATTTTATGATATAGTTATGGATTTGTTATGTAAAGTTTAGGTGAAGTCTAACATGATATAAACTGTTATGAAAGAACGGAATGGTTCCTAAACATGAACAATCTTAGATGAAAAAGGTAAATTATTAACTGAATCATACTAAGTAACGACGTATTAAGTTTCAGATTCTATGGTAGGTTTGATGACAGTGTTTTAAAGGAAGTAGTTTGATTTTATCTATCAAGACGCAATAAAGTTGTAATTGAATGAAGAAAATGAGACGAAACAACCTCTTCCGTTTTTTTCTACGTTACTGTTACTCACTAGATCTTATAAAACTGTCTATATTTTTGTGTATTGAAGCGTGATTTACAAGCAAACATTATGATTTTCCCTTGGTTGATTTATATGGACTAGTTAAATCATGTCCGTAGTTATTTGAGGAATATAGTAGTTTATTGAAAAATCGATGAGAGATTCGATTATAGGGTGTTTAAGAGTTTAGAGTATCACAGGAAGATTGTGTAATAGTCTTACATTTAAAGGAAAATAGTGAAACGAAATTAGTTTACGGGCCACATATATGAGAGATAATTATCCAACCGACATATGTAAAACAGGAATAAAGAAAATGAGTAACGATGGTAAAGGACTGAATGGAGTTAATTTACTCAACTGGATTGGGTGTTGGAATTAATATTCTCTTTGCAAATCTTTCATCAATCGTTCTTCACATTATGTATGATTCTCCAAATTCACAATTCCTTCTTATTTTCCTTTTTGTTTCCTTCAATTCGATCTTCTTAGCTTTCTGCTGCCATGCATTTCACTTCTGATTGGTGTTAAATACTACTTATGTCTGTTGACATAAGTAGCATGCACAACAAGATGATCCTCATAACTAGCCGATGACACTTTTTGGACGTATTTAAGTTGTAACTGATGTGAAAGTTCACTTTATCGATATATAACGTTATCTAACTTATTTATTTTTGTGTACTTTATTTTAGTCATTGTAATACAATAATTATGGATTAAAAGTTGCCAGCTTGATGGTGAAGTTATTGAACATAGTTGTTCAATTAAACGAACTTTATCTTTGAGGATCACTAAGCTATTTATGTAAGACAGAGTAAAAAGTCAGGAGACTATTATGAGGCTAATAAAACGAAATTGGACGGCTTTGTAACAAAAAGTAAATTCAACATCAAACTTTCTGAAACGGCTAGGAAGTACCTGAACGGTTAGATATTTTAAAACACCGGATTTTTAATAGATACTGAATTAATGTTCGAGTTTTAAAAAGAAAAGTTAGATAAGTTAATAGGTGTTTCTTCAGGATATTCTCTACTCTTACCGGCCATATTTCACTGCCATAAAGTAGGATGGAACGAACTGCTGCGCAGTAAACCCGTCCTTTGGTTGGTAGACGGATATCTCGCCTACGCCATAAATGACGCAAGTTGGCAAAAGCTAGTCGAGCCTTCTGTATCCGTGATGAGATTTCGTCACACATCAGACCACAAGGGCTGATGAGACTCCCAAGATAAGTGAGGCGATCGACATGCTCAATTACTTCACTCCCTATCATTAGTTCGGGTGTCAATGCAACCCAATCCTGAAGTAACATTTTGCATTTCGAGGGGGAGAATCGCATCCCGAACATGCTTGCATTGTTGCTTAGAGTGGTCAGAAGACTCTGCATTTTGTCAGCGTCTTCACCAAATAAAACTATGTCATCAGCATATTCTAAGTCAACAAGTGAACCTCCCGGTAGAAGTTGAACCCGTGGAAATTTAGACGAGGAAAGTGTTATCTCTAAAAGAACGTCGACGACAAAGTTGAACAAGAATGGAGAGAGTGGACAGCCCTGACGAACACCACTTGAGGTAATCAATTCTGATGACAGTTCGCCATAAGCTCTCACTCGACCAGTTGTGTTCGGGTAGAGAGCCTTTATAAGGTTAATGTACTTTTTTGGTACTCCTTTCAGTGACAAACACTGCCATAGAACCTTGTACTGTCAATTATTATTTTAAGCCCATATTACCTTATTCTAGTTTTCGGAAAAGCCAATCTATTCATTCTACTTCAGTCATATGTTGACCTTGTTAGTTATTCTCTTACCAGTCTTCATTGTTTTTATATGAGCGTATATGTGTGTGCCCTTCTTATTCCATTAATCACATGCCTGTGGCTTTATTTTGTCTGACTATAAATATTGAGTAACGCTTGATTAAAATGGAGTTGGCTTCCCAGCCATCTTCCCTGCTTGTCATTTTGCTCTACTCTGTTTCGTTCGCTTGATATACAAAATATATGTATTCTCAAGTCAATTCTCGTTATTCGACTTATTTAATTCCGTTATTGACTAACGCGATTTAAGTCGACGATTATTTACGAGAATAGGCGATAACAAACATTCGTACGATCTAAATAGGAGTCAGATCCTCGGGCCACAAAAACCTTACGATCAACAGAGTCAAATGCCGCCTTAAGGTCGAGAAATACTACGATTGTGGGGCGTCGGAATGTGTGTCTATGTTCTAGAACCTGACGTAGTGTGAATATCTGATCTACACAGCCACGTCCAGGTCGAAAACCAGCCTGGTTTTCTATAGTCTGTTCTTCACGAGCTTTAGTTAGGCGTCGAAGTATTATTGAAGCTAATATTTTAGACACTATATTAGTCAAACTGATTCCTCTGTGATTGTCACAAGAGGATTTCTGTCCTTTCTTACAGACTGGTACAATCAGTGATTGAGACCAGTCAGATGGGATTACTTCCACTTTCCGAATTCTACCTAAGACCTCAGTTAGTCTCACTGCTAATACTGGACCACCATCCTTAAAAATCTTAGGAGTAAACCTGTCAGGTCCTGCTGCTCTCCCTCGTTTCAGATTTCCTATGGCTTTTTCAACTTCGTAAAGAGACGGATGACCTACATTGACTTGCCATTCAGGTTGACTACAGATCGTGGGAAACCGAAGTGTGGCTGAAGGCCAGTTGAACTGATCCCTAAAGCGTTCTGCCCATCGATCTAATCTTCTGGATTGAGAATGCATAATTTGTCCATCTTACTCTGAGATAGTTTCGCTAACAGTCGGTTTCCTAATACCGGTTTCATTAACAAGTCTGAACAATTGTCTGCTATTTCCTATTGCCGCTGCCTTTTCCATCTTTCTTGCTTTCGCTACCCACCACTGTTCACGATCATTGCGTAGACTTCTTGTCAGCTTGCGCTTAAATTTACTCCGCCCTTCATTATGTTCAGAGCCAGGTAGAATGAGTTTCTGAGCATCTACCAGTGTTGCTCCTTAACTGTTATGACCTTGGATGTCTTGTTTTGCTATCACGCGACCTATCGACCAATCCGGATACGACTTATACGGATCTTTACACTAGGCCAACCAATGACGTTCAACCGGTGTGGGCAGTCTAGCGTCCTTACTGGTCCTATGTCCTCCGAGCCCTTCCACTTGAGTCCAGAACACAATACCAGCTTCGAATCAGAGCAGATCGTTTATTTCAGGCATACTTGGTTTATATATCAATCACACAGACCGCAACGTACCAAAAAATAGGAAATAATATTTGTACACAAATAAGCCCAAAAAGTGGCTGTGAATGAGGGAGGCAGTAGTTAATAAACTGAACATAACTTAAGAACCGTAAATCGTACAATAATAAATTATAGGCCAAAATAAAGCTTGTCATAAGAGGGATATAAATATACATAATGTAATTGTTGAATAGTTATACAATAAGAATATTTATAGAATATTAGTCCATGAATAGTCCTCGGAAGTTACCTGTAATTTAATCTCCACTCGGATATAACACTAACCTTGTGGCTTACCTTACAAGCAGATATCACTGCTGTTTCCACAGCTTTTCGGATATCATTCCATGCTGCCTCGGGGTGGGCATCACATACATGGCTGCCTAACTGTTTTTCTAGTTGTTCCTCAAATATACTCTTAGCTTGACTATCATTAAGTAGGGCCCTAAGAGGTCTCCTTGCAGCATCTTTCCTACGTCCAGTAAGACGCAGACAAATACGCGCTCGTACTACAGCATGATCTGAATCTAAGTATGTGCTGCAGAATGAGCGACAGTCTTCTATCGAGCCCCTCCATCGGTGGCTGATAGCGATGTGATATATTTGGGTCTAACGTTGGGACTGGTAAAAGTTGAGGATATTCGTAGGTTACTAGTATTCCATCATAGGTGTCCTCGAAGCATTGCTCGTATATCCTGGGACCACCGAGTAAGCAATGCGGTTGTTAAGAAACGAGTACTAGGTGAAAACGGCAAATCAATTGATGAAGTATTGAAATTTCATCAGTTGAGATTGCTGGGACTCGTGTTACGTATGCCCAACAACCGAATGCCCCGATGAGCGATGTTTTATGGTGTAGGAATCGGTTGGAAGAAAGCTAGGGGAGGCCAGAGCAAAACATGGCACAAATCCATGAAGTCACTGACAAGTGGTCTGAGCCAAGTTGTAAGGTGTAGACTACTGGGTTGGGATCCAAGAGACGATAGCAACCGATGGTTAGAGACCTTGAATGACATGGCTCAAAATCGTATGCAATGACGCAGGTGCATCCACCTTTTGTGTTCTCCCAAATTCTAATCTTCTGAATTCTTCATGTCCCTACCTTTTTTCTTTCCAAATTTATTTCACTGGGTTACACTCCTTGAATAACATCTTCAAACCCTAATCTTTCCGATTACTGCTTATACTTTTACTACCTCTACCACTACGGGATTTGAATCGACAACTGCATCTTTGTGCTAATGTGGTGTGGCAACTCGAACCGATGTACGTACTCACGAAGTTCTGCGTTGTTACTGACTGACTGGATAAACCAAGATAAATAAATTTATAAAAAAGGTTAATGAATAAACTGTGTTTTATGGATTTTATTGTTATCCATAATATGTAAAAGTAGTCCGAATTGAAGCATCTATTTAAAGAGATTACATCACTAGAGATTAGTCACGAATGTCAACAATATGAAATCCGACGGGGTTTTATGGAGATTGTAGTAATTTCAACAGTTGAGATCACGAGTCAATTGAAGCTAGACCACCATGAAAAATCTGGAAGCGGTGGACGGCCGTTCCGTCCTACTGCGGGACTCCCCAGCAGTGCACGTCTACGACCCCGCCTCGCGGGAATCGAACCCAGGACCTGCCAGTCTCGCGCCAAGCGCCTAAACAACTAGACCACTCAGCTGACATCCAACGGTGTTAATGTCGAACTTCCATGATGGTCTAGCCTCAATTGACTCATGATCTCAAATGTTGAAATATGAAATCCATTACGTAGTAAATGAAATTATATTACTTACCGCATTTTAGCTTTCATTGTATCATTTTGTTTTTGAGTTAATAATCTTTGAAAACTATCAATTAATTCTAAATATGAAGTTGGTGTTACATAAGTTTTTCGACCTAAATTCATCAAAAATTTCTCAGCTAATGGTGTAATTGAAGTGTGAAAATATTTGAATAAATGTACAGTAGATTCACGAATATCATTTTCCATATCCAAATTTTGAAGTGCTTTATTGGCAACTCGAACTAAACCATCTTCCGGCCAAGGCTAGTAAAGTAAGTGATTTGATAAAAAAAAGTGAAAACGTATATTCATTCGTTTATTAAATTGACCGTAAACAGTAATTACATAACAGATAGACTTTGAAATTAATCAGTTTTCGGACTTTTTTTATACCGACGCGACGTAGAACCTGGTAAATGTGTACACCAGTTCAAGCTGTCAATATCATATTAACACAGGAAGATAAAATTGTTAGAACGAATCCCAAAGTATTAACAGTAGTAAAAAAATAAGTGGCTATGGAATGGAATAGACATTGAAAACAAGAAAATAAAAATTAATGAAATAGAAAGATTATGAGAAGATTAGAAATTTAGGATCTAAGGTAGTGTAGTGTCTGTTATTAGGTTAAGCCCATAAACCTTATTATAGCTTTCGGACAGCTCAGTCTATTCGTCTAATTATTCTCTTACCAATCTTGACTGTTTTTATATGAGCACGTAGGTGTGTGCACATTTCTTATCCCATTACTCATCACATGTCTGTCACTTATTTTTGTGTAACTATAACTATTGATTAACGCTTGGTTAAAGGGGAGTTATTTTACCCACCATCTCCACTGTGCGTCGTTTCTTTTCTCTCTATTCCATTCGCTTCACATACAAAATATATGTATTCAAAAGTCCATACTCGTTATTTGACTTATTTAATTCCGTTATTGACTAACGCAATTTAAGTCGATGATTATATACGAGGATAGGCGACATATATATTTAAATAACAATCATTCATGCAATTCACTAAAGTGGAGAGCCTTTCGACAACATCGTCCGATCTGAATAACGACAAAATAAAGAGCCCCACAGGAGGACAATGAATGGATAATTTTGAACCATTACAAATGATTTCGAACATTAGCACTAACCATTGGTTACGAAAACCATGTGGACCCCAACCAGATAGTCTACACCTGTTAATATGGCTAAGTCAAATTGTTATTGGCTTCATAAGTCATTGGCACTTCTTAGTTTGAGAGTTACTAGTTTTCTTCCAACCTACTCACACACCAGACAGCATCACCCGTCACGGTAGGCTGTCGTTAGGCATATTTAACGCAAGTACCAACAACCTCAGTTAATGAAGATTTAATATCTCTCCAACTGATTAACATCGATAACCAATATTGCATCCCTAGCCCAGGCACTGCTTACTCGGTGATCCTGAAATACACGAACGATGCTTCGAAGACATGTATGATCGAATATCAGTAACCTGAAAATATCCCTTATATTTGGTGACCATGTTTCACAACTATAAAGTGGGAAAGAGTGAGCTACTGAGTAATAAACTCGTTCTACTCCACAATTGATGCAGTTTAAAGAAAGTTGATCAAGCTTCCTGAACTTGTGCAGAGATTTTGTTAGACGCCAGACTATCAGGATTGACTAGACTCTCAAGATAAGTAAATTAGTCAATATGCTCAACTACTGCATTCCTTATTATTCATTTGAGGGCTGATACAGGCCAGTTATGAAGCAATATTTTGAATTTGGAGAAGGAAAGAATCGCATCCCAAAGATGCTTGCATTGTTGCTTCAGTTGGTCAGAACACTGCATTCCATAAGTATTTTCACAAAACAGAACTATATCATCTGGGTATTCTAAATCAGCAAGCAAATCTCCTGATAAAAGATCAACCCATGAAAAGCCAGCCGACCAGAGATTTTTGTCTAAATGGATGTCAAGGACTAACTTAAATAAAAATGGAGAAAGCGAACAACCGTGACGAACACCACTTGACATTGCCAATCTTGATGACGGTTCGCCATAATCTCTGACTCGACTAGTAGTGTTTGAATAGAGAGACTGTACGAAGTTGATGTAGTTTTTGTTACACCATTCAATTATAGACACTCCCATAAAACCTTATGATCAAAAGAATTGAATGCTGCCTTAAGTCCAGAGAATACAACCATAGTCGAACGTTGTAAAATATGTTCATGTCGCATAATCTAAAAAGGGTGAATACCTGATCTATACAAATTCAAAGGATAAATAGTTTAGAATTATTTTTACTTAGAGATTCTAGTTGTGAATGATTTATCAGAATACTTATCAGAGCTGAAAAACACAAGAATATGGTTGAAGCCGTCTAAGTATGAAGTAGCTTCATTAATAACTCTGTGCTTATCGACTATTCGTAAACATTCATAAATATTCCATCCAACCACTTCAGAAACATCGGGTGGATCCACTGACTTAAGATTTCCTTTTATCAACTTGTTCTTATCACTTTTATTCTCTTTACGTGTGGCATTAGCGTATGTGATTCCTTGTTTTCTAACCTGTTGATGTTTGTGGTAAATAGATTTTCTTTGCTTATAAGTACCTTCATTTGATGAGTCTGTCTCACCACAGGCTTATTAGATCACTGAAATGAACAATGTCAACCTAGTCAACTACATGTTGACTAACCACCCTAAAACAACGATAAATAATTAGCCAACAAGAAAATATATTAGATAAACAAATATAAATTAACTAACCTGAAACCAATCAATGGTGCAGCAGTTAATTAAAGCAGGGAATTGTCTTAAACGATTTCTAAATGCTTCTCCTATAGGTGAAAATGCCATAACTACATGCAATTTTTCTCGACATCTATCCACAAATAAAGCATACAATGCTAAAGGTGATAGATCAAGTGATTTATGTCCACCTGATGCTGCAAGACTACTTTGTATGATATCCATTAATTCAGCTTTTTCTTCAGAACTATAAAGATTTGGAACTTCACCAGAATTGAGTAAACTATCTATATCTTCTAAGAAAGTTTCTTCTTTGATTTGACTATCAGTCATTAGAAAGACAGTATTTTTACCTTCTGCGCCAGCTCGTCGTAGTAAAGTCTAATTTTAGAAAACAAATTTATTAATTCGGTTGTGAAAAATTAATTTAACCTTTTATCAAAGAATATACACTGTGGGGTGAGTGAGACTATACCGAAAAATTCACTTGATTTCTCCTGTCTTGGATCATGTAAATACTACCAAACAGTTATTCCCTTTTAATCTTTTATCTAGTGATCCCAGGTTGTGAATATGAATAATCAAAATATTTTGAAACCCCAAACTACTTGGCCTGGTGGCTAAAATGAGAACTGTGTGGACAGAGACTGACCAACATTGCCTTCGCATAAATTTTCCCTGAATATAATGTCTTTTAGTGTTGCTATCGATTAAATTAAAGAATATGGACTAGTGAATCTTGAGTCAGTAGACTGAACATAGTATGATCGTCGCGAGTCGTAAATGTTCTACGTTCTATCTTATATAAGATTATTGGTGTGCATTGCTAATTTCAAAACTCAGCTGAATAATTGTTCATTAGTACTTTTGCATTTGGTATTCGTTCTTAATGAAAGCTATCCATCTTTAAAATCTCCGTACGTCATTTGTTTAAAAACCCAATAATAAAATTAAGTATTAAGGTGAAAACAATGGGACACAATTGGTCCATTTTCTATAGTTTACCTTTATATCTTCACGCCATTCATTTTTACCATAATTTTTAGATATTTCAGGTTGAAATACTGTATAACCTGCCATTGCTGATGCTAATCTAGTTAGTGATTGACGCCCAGAACCACCAACACCAACTAGTAATGCGTGACCGCCAGGAACTCGAAGGATCCGACAAATTCTTGATAAATGCTCCAGAACATATCTATTTTAATGGAATGAACATTTACTAAATTTAGATAGCTACTGACAACTTTAATGATAAGACTTAAAGAACAAATTGAAGTATAGAATATTGAATATTGTTAAATAAATAAATGCGTAAACACGAGACAATGGTTGGCACGTGAAACATAATTATCATCAATTGTTGAAGACCTTAGATGATAATGGCTCCAAAGTAGTCGTACAGATGCATATCCATTCATACTTTATCTTCCTGTGAAATATTCCATTTTAATATTAGACCATACTATTTATTTAGATGAATTCACTTTTTTTCCTTTCTTATACTGTACTCTACGTTTTATCAAATGATGCCAGTCGAAGTTACAAATGCATAACTAATATGATCAATTATAAGGTTTCAGAAAGTTATGATTGTCTATACAAGCTTAGAATACTTCATGTAGGCATGTAATAATAGAAGTTGCAACAGATAACGGCGAGACTATAATTTATGGACGAACCAGTCAGCTGTAAGATAACAGGTCTTGCATTTTGGCGCGACATTCACTCATCCATTTGGTTAAATAGAGTTTTGGCATTATAGCTGATGTCAGTTCGTGATGAAAATCCAAAAATCTAATTCCTAACCTTAACCACCAACTGTAAATTATAATTTTAATTCCTCACACTAATTTATAACCTTCATTTGGCCATTATTATCAGGCGGATACTCTTAAAGTCAGTCTAGTAACGCTCAAAGGTCGTCCATAAATTATAGTCTCGCCGATTTCAACAACAGTGTGATAAAACCAATAGACTTAATCGATATTTTTAAAGTGAAACCATACTGTTGAAAAATTCATTTACCACAATGAATTAATATAAATAAGAATTATAGGGCTTAAAACAGTTTATGTTAAATTCTGAAGCGTATTATGTAAAACTACGTTTACGGCTAAACCCTAAATTGATGAAATTTATTGTATTAGTAAAGAGATAATATAAAAACCACAGATTGAATATTGAATAAAACATCTGTTGCTTATCCATCATCGTATTTCCAGACTTCATTCTATGTAAATTTAGGGGAAATTTGAAGACAAATGTTGATCGTAAAAATGTCAGATTATATCATTATAAACTAAATCAATTAGCTCTAGAAGACTAATCGGTCTTATTATCTTTTATTATATGTGGTCCTTATAGTTTCTGACTACTACATTTTCTACTCACTTGATGTTGTTTTACTTGTATCTTCCCATTGTTATTTAGAACTGCAATTGATCAGTCTCTTGTTGGCATATGTGCATCTTGTGCGGATAGTGCTAGCCACGATTCATTTTTGCTTAAAAAGCTTGAGACTCAAGGCTACATCGGGGCAATCCGCACAGGATGCACATATGCCAACAAGAGACTGATCAATTGCATTTCTAAATAACAATGGGAAGATACAAGTAAAACAGCACCAAGTAAATTTAAACTTCACCACATTGCACATTCTGGTGGCTATCAGGACTCAGTAGATAAGTGGATAACGCGATGGTATTTGAAACAAACGGTACTGAATACGAGTCCTGGAGTGAACATCAACTCTGAGATGCAATTACATTCAGCTGACGAGTCCCAAAAGGCACGAAACGCGCGTTCGGATTCCAATGCTAGTCACTATGCAACTTTGCTTACATTTTCCACTGTTGAATCAATCAGAAATGATAAGCAAAAAGCATGGAGAACTAATAATTCTCCAAAGCCGTAATATAGTATTTCATGAAGTTACATAGGATTCTTTGCTGTTTGAATAACCTGTGATAAAGTCTGTTCACAAATCTAGGAAGGTATAATGCTCTTCTAGTAAAAAAAAAGAATAATACCAAGCAAATGTATAAGTTTCAGACTACTTGGAGATTATTTTTAATCACAATCTATCATAACAACCTACACTAAAATCAATAAAATCGTTGGTTGGTTTTGTAAATGTTTGATTTTTATAAAATTGAAATCTACCTAAATATGACTAATGACATTTTCTTTTTGTTAGCATTGTTGTAATCTTCTAAACAATGTTCCACAATAGGATACATTGCTTGAATATCTTTAATTTCTTCATAGACTCTATCTTCTGGCATTGATTCAGGATTCATAAAATCACCAAACATTAAATAACTACTCAAATGTGTTTCACGGATCTAAATGTATAAAAATAAATTATCGATAATAAATACATGAAAATAATATAAAAAAACATAAAAGTTTTACCAAGGAAGTGGTCATCCACAACCTCATCATAGATCATATTCAACTTATCCAGATCATGCTATGATCATGAAATAATGCAGCCAATCAGTTGTAATCTCATGATTCACACAATTATTCAATTAACAATCAGTCAGTCAGTCAGTCAATCAGCTACAACATAGGAGCAGGCATATATATGCATCGGTAAAAGTTGCCATACCTCATTAACACAACAAGATGGACACCGGATTCATAAAAGTAGTTAATTCAGTGGTGATAATATGTAAAAGAAAGATTGCATGTAAGGATATAGTATAGGAAGCAAGAATTAGTTAGTAGAAAGAAAGATATGAAGCGATTTTAATCTTTTAGTTTAAGGGAAGACAAAGAGTGTATACACCTGCACCAATGTGACCGATTCTGAACCATGTCACCAAGAATCTTCAACCATTGGGTACGATAGTCGTGTGGACCCCGAACCACTAGTCTGCATCTACCAACATGGCTCAGACTAGAATTTAGTGACGCTGAGCACTAATTCCACGTTTTGATTTGGTCGCCCCTAACTTTCTTCTAAAGATCCCCAACACTAGTTAGCATAGCGCGTTGTGGTAATCGGTGTTCAGGCATACACAAAACGTGACCCAACCATCTCAGTCGATGAAGATTCACAATATAAGCAAACAAACAATACAAAAATGAATTATCAAAAGGGGTTTTGTGGAGATTTTAGAAATTTCACTGATTGAAATCATGAGTCGTTTGAAGCTAGACCACCATTGAAAACCTGGAAGCACTGGACAGCCGTTTCGTCCTAGTATGGGACTCCTCAGCAGCGCTCATCCACGATCCCGCACCCCGCGAGATTCGAACCCAAGACCTATCAGTCTCGCACTAGGCGCCTAACCAACTAGACCACTGAGCTGGTCGGCATCCAACGGTGTTAATGTTTAACTTCAACCAATCCACGAAGTTGCGCCACCGTACACCATTGTCTTCAGTGAGTTGATATCTCACAACAGACCTGGTTGAACTCCACTGGTAACGGCTCACTAGAACTCCAGGAAATGCCTCTTGAAGTCAGTCACTAGTTGATCACTAGTTTTCAACAACTGTCTAGCTCATTTCTGTCAGTAATTAAATGAATTATCGATAGACAACTATTCATAAATGCCATTTCTAGGAAGTAAATAATTTAGTGATAAAGAAATTAAAAAAACCGAAATTCAAAATGAATCCAAACTTACTTCTTCACCTTCTTTCATAGTCAAATGAGAAAACAATTGATCAAATTTCTCTTTAAAATTATTCTGTAAACAACGTTTAATGAATCTGTGAATAAAATTCGAAAATAAAAATAAATCGAATTACACTGTAAATAGAAAAAATGACATTTCATTATATTTTCAATAAAGGAATTCAATAATAAGATCATTGCTTGAACAGATCATCCAGAAGATACACGTGTTTAATAATAGTTGTCTACGTAAAATACTTCAGATCCATTAGCCAGACACCATCAGTAACATTCTACTGTGGGAGAGAACAAACCAGATCCAAGTGGAGGGAGAAATCAGGAAGGAGAGCTGAGAAAAACACTGAACTGCGTCACAAAGCAAGCTTTCGCTTTGAATCCTCAAGGCCGAAAGGAGAGTCAGAAGACCAGAGAACACATTACGCCGAGAGATGAAGAGAGACGTGAGAAGAATAAAGAACAATTGTATAGAACTGGAAAGGAAGGCCGAGGACAGAATGGGTTGGAGAATGTTGGTTGGCGGCCTATGCTTCATCCGGAGTAACACGCGTAATTAAGTAAGTATGTCGAATAGATCACAATGTTCATAGATGCTATATTTATGTGAACCAAGTAGAATTAGTGGATTTTTGTCAATTCAGTTTGACAACATCTAACTTAGATCTAGTTGTAAAGAACTTTTTATAAATTGAAAAGTGGAAAATATTTACATACTAAAATTCTATTTATTTATTAAACAAAAACAAGGAATTACTAACATCTTAGATTTGAAAACTTCTCGCTCAAAACAATAAATAAGCTGATGATTCACAATTGATTGACCACCGGTTGGTGGTCAATGTTATGTGCGTTAGGTCCTTCTTAGTGCAGATCGAATGCTATCGACCAAGTTGTAATGTGGCCACTAGTCTAGGTGACCCGAAATCGCGTGCACTATGTTGAGATAAGATGGTGATCGTAAGTAGTCAATTGTGAATATACCTTAGTCCTACAGAAGACCATTCGCGGCCCGGATATACTAGTGCTAACGTCTTTGGCATTAAAGCTGGGTGACACGGTATCAAATCCATCAAGGACTACAGGCACACCTTGCTGACGAGTGCCAAATTGCACGGAACCCGGGTCCACGATTTTCTGTGGACTACCTCCAACCACCATCTTAAGCTGATGATTGCTGAGCGCCTTCAGTCAGTCAGCTACAACGTAGGACCACGCATATATATGCATCGGTTCAAGTTGCCATACCTCATTAGCACAAGATGGACACCGGATTCATAAAAGTAGTTAATTCAGTGGTCGTAATAAATAAAAGAAAGATTTCAATAAGGATATAGTACAGGAAGAAAGAATTAGTTCGTAGAAAGAAAGATATGAAGCGATTTTAATCTTTTATTTTAAGGGAAGACAAAGAGTGTATACACCGACGCCATTGTGATCGATTTTGAGCCTTATCGTTTACTTACAAACTTAAGAATTGTCCTCGTTTGTTTTGAAGTTAATCATTGTGAAGAAAAAATTCCAGGTCAATTACTTCCTCATTTATTTATCAGTTAAGACCGGAATGATATTACTTTTCCACATCAAATAAATTATTCCGAGATACGAATTAAGATAAACAAAATTTGAAAGAATAAAGAAAGTTTAATATTTGATTATCAAGAGACTTACTCATATAACCACGTTCTATCTGCATCATCTGTTAAACGATCATAAAATACTCTCATTACTTCATGAGCCCATAACCGTGAAAAAGTATGTTTACTTTCAACTCGATCTTTTTGTATCAAACAAGTACCTAGGATAACACGACTAAAATCACGTAGATTGAATAAATAATGTGATTTAGCTGGTGTAGGCAATAGATTTTCAATTGCAGCTTTATAAACTTCTAACGTTGATGATACAATGATTTGACCAACTGTTATATACTCAGAACTAAATTCTTGTGACTACAGAAAATATACAGCAAAAGAAGAATAGTAAAGATAGGTTGTTATATGTTACTAACATGTAATACGATTATATCACAATTGGTGAAACATATCCAAGAGTACATAAGAGGAAAAATTTGAACTTTACTACAACATGAACTCATTTTGTATTGGTCGTTTGAACCTTCCCATTGTCGTTTAGAACTGCAAATGGTCAGTCTCTTATTGGCGTATGTGAATCCTATGCGGATCGTCTGGATATTGGCTTAAGCCAAAAGCATCATATGCAAACATTCTACAGCTTTGTAACAACTTTTGTCAAAATCTTTTTATTATCTAAGCTATCTCGAAAAATTTTAAAATGAGAACATGTTTGCCAAATTTAGATTTATGATTGGATTTGATGCGGATCTTAAGGGTAATATAAGTTGGGTCATAGAGATCATATCTCATTGAGACATATCCACAGTTTGTTGTACTATTTCACTTAGTCCATAGATATCCTTTCATTTATTATTAATCATTATTAATTTTCCGTAAAAATCGAGGAACAAAAAGTATTCCAACTCTTTGAAAGAAGCGGGTAATAATATCTTTGATGACTACATTATTGAATGACTTGACTTTAAACCTCAGTTGAAACACCTTGTTCCTGACTACTAATAAGCTAGTTATATAAATCGAAGATTTTTATTTATGTCAAGTTGAATAATTTAGTGGATAGTCTACTAATACATAGAGTACTGTTCTGTTAAATTTACTCAATGCACAGAGCCAGACCACTTCTGTTACATGGTAATCGAGTGTAGTGTCTTGGTGTGTTCCTAAACAGATAGTCATAGAATTGTATTAAATGAGATTCATAAATATGTTACAATTCTTCATTATAATATTAAAAGTGTTTTGTGCGATTTGTGCCTCGAAACTTATTTTCAAAACTGTAATTAAGAAAGAAAACAATAAAAACGACCTACGCGTATATAAATATTCATCAATGTTGAAAATATTCTTGTCATAGTTTCATCATTAAATGGTGTCATACTGATTACATGAAAATGTCGCATAAAACGTTGTGTCACATCATTACGTCCACCTCCTGGAGGTCCCATTGCTCCAATTAAATGAATGTCTTGTAATATTAATTTTGTGGTGTCCTTTAAATCATACCTAAAATAAAATCAAGCAAGGAAACAAAACAGTACAAATATAGTCAATTTCAAATAATTTCTGCCAATTTATCTATACTACTAACTACTGGTCAGTAAGTAGTTTGTAGGAATACGAATATATGCCGTATTTGATCATTTTACAAAACAAATTTATTGAAAAGAACTAGTACGAGATTTCAGATATAATGATTAATTTAAACAGAAAAGTTCCGAATTCGTAAGACCAACTAAATCTGGAAGTACAATGCTGTTATTAGAAAAAAATACTAAGTATCGACAAATTATGGACCATGATGTATTCAAACGTCAATTACTATGGTGAAAGATCTCAAAGTAAATGATGTTTTCTACTTGATTGAAAAAGAGTAGTTTGTAAAGCATAATATAAATCAGAGAACAATTATTGTTTGTGTAACAGTAATTAATAGGGATGAATGAAGATTCCTGTCTATCAAACAGAATATCTCTTAACGTAAATGAAATTTCTGAGAGTAGCGCATACACATGAAAATAAGCGACAAAATAAAGAATAAACTCTAGTGTTAATTGATGAATGAATAAAAAATCGAATGAAAATTATAAGCTGAAAATGTAGGTTTTAGAAATGACTGAATATAGCTCAAACTGCTGAGTATAATGTTGTATATATATATATATATATATATATATATATATATATATATATATATATATATATATATATATATATATATATATATATTTTGAGATGGTGGAGAAGATTTGTAGCTCAGGTGGATGATTTTGATGGAGTTTTGTTCTCTGAGCTCAGAGAACAAAACTCCATCAAAATATATATATATATATATATATATATATATATATATATATATATAATGACAAAACCAAGAATAAATAGTGGATAGTAGTGGAATACAGGACGCCCGTTTCATCCTATTTGGGACACGTCAGCTGGATGTACCTGTATCTCAGAGTTGATGTTCACTCTGGGACTCGTACACAGTACCGTTCGATTTAAACGCTATCGCATTATCCATTTAGCTTATGAGTCCTGTTATCCACCTACTTATGCAATGTGGTGAAGTTTAAATCCACTTGGTGTTGTTTTATATGTATTTTTCGATTGTTATTTAGGACTGCAGTTGATCTAAATGACAATGGGAAGATACTAGTAATACAACACCAAGAGAAATTAAAACAAAGAATTACTGACAGTCAGTCAGTCAGTAACAACGTGGAACTTCGTACGTACGTACATCGGTTCGAGTTGCCATACCACATTTGCACAGAGATGTAGTTGTCGATTCATATTCCGTAGTAGTAGAGGCAGTAAGAATATAAGCAGTCATCGGTAGGATTAAGGTCTGAAGACGTTATTCAAGGAGTATAATCCAGTGAAACAAATTTGGTAAGAGAAAAAAAGGAACATGAAGAATTCCGAAGATTAGAATGCACAGATTCGATAACGATTGACCTGAAAACTTAAAACAGAGTCACATAAACTTTAATAATTAGAAATATTTAAAAGAGACCATATAGAGAAATAAATATGTCAATAATACAAATTACAATAGTCTATGAATAGCTATCTGCGGTTAACAACTTTAGTCTTTGCATACAGATGCATTTTATACATCTGAAGAGATATAATCTTAACGTGTTTTAAACTGCTTTATACAGTTAAATGTACGAATTATTAAGGGATCCATAACCAAGACCAAATATCAAAAGATTTCCACCTGGTTTTCATTGGTTTTCCAAATAATGTTAAACTATACACAAAGTCCCATTTTATTGAAACTTAACATGTAGTATCTTTATTTATGAATATAGTTTTATGAAACAACAAAGTATTCTTCAACAAACACCATAGAAATATAACTCATTTCATGCAATAATATAATAAAAGATCATTTAATCAAATAATTATTATTTATATATAAACTAACCAATAACCATGATCAATAAACATTCGTAGTAGTTCAATAGGCGGTTGAGCTCCATAAATCTCTTTAGTTGGCATATTTAAATCATCAACAAATAAGACAGCTGTTTTACCCATTGGTGGACCATAAACACCTTTACGTCTTCTATCAAGTTTTGACATAACAATAAACTGAAAAATACGGAAAAAATATCGAAATCAAATAATGATATACACTTGTTATGAAAAACTTCGCCCGGAGCCCCTACGGGGTCAATTGCCAATCCCAAGCCCGGATAAAGTAGGAGGGTTAAGCATGAGGTTAGTGACCCCATTCCGTAGAAATCTAATTCGCTAAAAGAACGCTAACCTGTTCTGAATGGAACATTTCTTTAGTTACAAGACGAGCGTTTCTTCTTATCCAAGGCTCGTTAGCTGGATGTACCTGTATCTCTGACTGACGAGTTCCAAATAAGACGGAACGCGCGTCCATTGCTAGCTCCTATCCGTCTTTGCTTATAATATTATTATTATTGCTAACATAAATACGTGATCATGATTAAACTGAACTCAAATTATTTTTCATAAATAAATCACTAATTACAATAATTTTAATGTATAAGAATGCAAACGTGTACAACAACTTAGCCATATTTTTTGAAATTAGGTTTGATCAAGAGCTTCTACTTAATGTAACTCTTGAGACAGAAAATGTAGTGATGAAGCTTATTATAAACATAGTCGGACTTTTCTCACATACCTGACTGTTGAGAAAACGAATACTTTCCTGGATTTGTCCACTATTTACACTTCTATGATACATAAATGATACTATGTTGCAAAAAGTAAGTAGTATTAGTGATACGTTGACTATCCTAATAACTTACGAAACGTATTTGATCTACTCAATATGATATATAGTAGAGAACACAATTTTTTTGCTCACCGATATAGGTTACAAGCTATTAACCAAATTTTCCGACATTGATTTTAGCTTATGTCTGTAAATACAATTATCAGCCTAAATAAATATCAAGGTAATATCTTTTGTGCTCGAAATTTCAGATTCTATCAGGATTTTGTTTAATAAAATGGAACTACTTATATCATAACCAATAGTATATTATTTTTAACTGCAAAAAATCATTACCTGAGTTTGATTTGCACTTGTTTGAGCAGAAAAGTTGACAAAATAGGCTACATACTTATCTTTATCAATATCTCTCATTAACTTTTCTTGGACATATACTGATTTTCCGGTTCCAGTTGGACCTGCGTACAAAAGTGGACGATGTTTCTTCATGCATAAATCAACTATAAATTTATAACGTGCTGTATCCATTGTAGGTACAATAATTTCACGTATTTTTCTATCAGAAACTTGGTCATCAGTTTTATTCTTTTCATTCCAGTGTCTCCAGGAACCGCGACTTTTGAACTAATTACGAGTTTGGAAGGCAAAAAGTTAGAGGTTTTGGTCATATTTACAAAATAATATGATAACAGTGAAGCTATTAAATTGATGATAATTAAGTCGATTTTGTTTCTGTATTTAAGCAAATGGACACGACTGACATATAACATTAGGGTTTCTCTCCAGCTACTTATATAAATAAGACATTAATATCTAGTTTGTTTCACGTTGTATTCTTATATTACACCTTCCTACTCGACCGTCGCGTTGTTCAGACCTCCCATTGAGGTCCTAATCTAATCTTTGTATCACTTTGGTTTATCGACTGTTCATACTTTCGAAAAACCAAAAGCAGCTTGTTATCTTAGTCGGGTTGTTTATCTCTTCTAATATAGCGCATAGGACAGAAAATTAAAGACCCTCTGTTGACTCATAAGTCTTAATGAACTTCAGTTGAGATTTCACGACTCAGTATCGGTATGATTTTTAGTGTAGCGCAAAATAATAAAATAAGGACTTTAAATTCAGTTTTTTGATATTTAGGTTTATAAATGTGGGTTTATAAATAGTCGATGGTAAGTATCTTATTATAGATTCACCCCACCATATTGAACTATGGAGATCAAATCTTATTGAAGTTTTTGTATACGAACTGATCTAACAAAATAAAAACATAGTTGGACATCAGAAGTATCCGTTATATTTATTATCGATATTAAGTAGCAATGACCATGATATTGTACTGATTTTTCATTGCTAGCCATAATTTTAGTTAAACAAACATGTGTACAGTTCAGTTTGCTAGCTTACCCCACACATACTGTCAAACAGTGTAGATAGTGCTAGGTGGTTGGAGGCAATTAGTAGGAAACCATGGATCTAGGTTTAGTCTACTTGGTACTGATCAGTCATGTATTCCTACAGTCCTAAAGAAACTGATTCTCACAGTATGATTTAAATACAAGTCACCCAGCTTCACAGCCAGAGACATCACCATTGAACTATTTGATTTCCGTATGGCTCAAAGCTGTACTGAGATATTTATCTTCATTCATTATTGAATAATAACCAACTTAATATCTGTCTGGGTTTTTAGTATTGGTCACATGCTTCCTATCTAACTGATCGACAACAGTTATTACTCAGTAAGTGGTATATATGTGTAAATTGGACATGTTGGTATATCAGCACTGTTCAACACTGTTCCAACATCTCTCGAATAATACTGAAAATACAATTTTCAGCTTAATTTACTTAAAACTATGTCTTTTTCAATTTGATGGGATGTCACTTGTATATTATGTAACAAAGTCTCATTTCCTACGAAGAAAATAACACTTGAATATATAAATCATATCTGAATATAGAACAACGTGAAAAGTAAGATATAATCTTTACTGATTCTGAGGCTTCATTTACCAGTTAAGTGTAATCACAATACTGGACGATAGAAAAACTTTATGGCAGTTAGTCAGATGTGTAAAGTATTCAAATTGAGTTTCTCAAAAAAGTATTCATTTCCTACACACTTACTTTATAATAATAATCATAAACGAGACCAGATTCTGGAAATGGAAAATCAAGTTTTTGTCCCAATTCTTTTGGTAAAGGATGTTTTTCATTTGTACCAGACAATAAATTTCTTAAGAAATGATCGAATTTTTGTCGGCTATTATAATCTAGACAACCACCAATACCCCAAATAATACCAAATACAATAGATGTTTGTAACCATAAACGTAAATAACGATTTTCATTTGCATCTTCTTCATTAGCTACATCTTCAATAAGCATATCAATGAATCCTAAACACGATGTAACTAAATTGCCTTGACGTGTAGCTACTAATGTACGACAATTAGTTTGTATAAATTCCATGCACGGGTCCAGAGACCATTCAAAGAATGAATTTATCATATCTTTAGTGTCACCAGTTGTTAATGATGTTGGTAAACGATTCATCCATGAGCGAACTAGTGGACGCCAACCTAAGGATAAAGGCTCCATATATATCATACCACATCGTGATACTGTAGCTGGCTGTTAACATTAAATGATATAATAAAAATATATATAAGCAATAAAGAATAATTACAAGCACGAAGTACTAAACTATTTCACTGATTTTAGACCAACAACAAAAACCTGGAAGCACTAGACAGCCATTTCGTCCTATCGTGGGACTCCTCAGCAGTGTGCACTCAGGAACCCGCTCGCGGGATTCAAACCCAGGGCCTTCAGTCTTACGCGCGAACGCTTAACCTCCAGATCACTGAGCCGGCATCCAACGGAGGAGTTCCACAATATGAGGAGACGGTGATCTAGTGCTTACAGGTTTTCAATGGCGGTCTAACATCAATCGGTTCATGATCTCAGTCAAAAAAGAATATAATATTCTCTTGGATTGGTCTAAAACTTTTCAATTAATACAAAATCTCTTTGGGTCTCATGATTGTTATGAATGTTTTTAGATTTTATGACAAACAGCTCTTTAATGTAATGAATTGAAATACAATACTTGTCTTTCGGATGTTGTGCTATGACCTGGATAACTTTATTTTAAAGGTTTCTGTGTCTTTCTAGACAACATTATCAGTGGATATTGTCAATAAAGCTATATAATCAAACTATCCTGCTATGAGTTACATATTTTATTGATGAACTCACGGTAGTTATCATCTGTTAAATGTATTCATTTTGTGCTTATCGTGATTAGATTCAAAGTTTCATTACACAGTGTATTTTCTGGATTAGCTGGTAAGTTATGATTTAGCTTAATGGTCAAAGAAGATAAGAATTATAATAAATAATATTAAAGTGATCATTATTAGTTGAAGGTAATTTACTACTGATTTCAAAACTAACAACTATTTTTTAGTTCTTATTTAAGAAACTTTTATCTTTTGAATTTGATTCAATGAATACCTAGAAGATGAACAAAATAGTTAGCCCTATCATCATTGAAGATCAAGGAACACAGGATGGTAATTTTATCCTAGTATTGAGCCTTATAGCAGTGCACATCCTCAACCCAGTATCCGTGAATCGAACTCAGGATAACTCCTTTTAGGCGCTACCTTCATCTACTACCTATGGTGGATACCTGTATTGAACCCGACATGGGTTGAACTCGGTTTCAAGATACGGACAGAGTTTCTCACTAGAACTCTAGCAGCTGGATCTTGAAGCTAGTTCAGTTTTAAATAAAATTTAGTAAAATAATGGGCAATATGATGTTGAACAAAATTGACTTACTGATGCTTGCGATAAGTCCATTGTTTCAAATATAAGACTCATTACACGAGACATTTGAATAATTTCACCAGACATTAGACATAATTTCTTATTATCATCTAATACAGTATTCATGCTTTCAATCCATAATGTATCGATGGGTCCGTCAAATACAACCCATTTTCTATCTGGTGTATCGTTTGATGCAAATTCTCGAAATGTATTCGCTGTTACACCATCAGTCCACTAAAATATTAGGAATACTACATTAAGAAAGGGTATAGTACGTATATAAACATGAAACCTGATTAAGTGAAAAAATTACTGTACACTTCATGGTAAGAAGTAAGAGTGGACCGTATTAAACATTCAGTGGAATTATTACCAAGAAATCCGTTTAAAGTCTGATAACACATCTAAGTAAACATGCAGTAACAGACTCATTTATTTAGATCTACAGACTAAGAGCCTATTTCTTAAAGCCATAGATAAACTAAAAATGACATCTCATGTCGTAGAGTGAAATCATCATTATAGGCTTGTGAAAATTATTGAGTTTTTATTGAGATTATGAACCGAACAATGTTAGATCACCATTGAAAACTCAAAAGCACTGATATGCCGTTTTTTCCTAGTATGGGACTCCTCATCAGCCCACAGCCACGATCCTGTACGTAAGACTCAAACTCAGTAATTTCCGTGTCACGTGAACTAATAACATTTAAACCACTGAACCAGCATCCAACAGTGTTAATGTCTAACTTCAGTCAATCCACGATATTTTCCAAACATCGTCCTCTGTGTTAAGTGGGCAACTGCCCCTAACCCGACACGGTTGAATTTCAATGATCACGATTTCTCACCAAAACTCCGAGAATTATCTCTCGAAGCTGGTCACTGTTGAGCATTTCTTTGGAGTCCTTTATTAGGACGAAACGGCTGTCTAATGCTCCCAAGTTTCCAGCGATGGTCAAACCTTGATCGGTTAATGAAATTAACTTTATATAATAACTGGTAACAAGTAAGTAGTATAGTGACCATCAACATTAGAGTATATGTTGTTTTATGAACAGTCATTTAAAATGACAGAACAAACTGATGTGAACAACAGATTGATCTTTTTAGGGCTTCCGATTTTAACTTTGATCAATTATGTGTTAAATAAGTTACTCGTAGTCATACTATCTTAGCTGAATATCCCAAGCAAGAAGGAGAACTTAGTAATTCCCTAATGATATTCAGTTCATTGGTACGTGAAATCTTTTAATTTAGGAAATAGTGATTGATTTCATGAGTTAATTAAAACATTGAGTTCATCATTCACCTTATAAAAAAATATAGACCATATATGATATAAATAAATGCTTCATGAATAGCATTAGGTCTGAGATATCTTAACAACTGTAACTGGGTGATAGATAAACAAACATTATCATATTAGAGCTTGACACAGATGTTCTTGGCATAAGTTTCCGTAAGTGATCGATATGACAAGATGAAAATCACAAAAGAAATGAAAATAATGCAGCGACAATGAGGAAAAGAAAGGTTAAATGTTGAGAATATAGTGAGAAGATCAAATAACTTTCTTTTTCGATTAACTTAAATTTAAATAATCAGGTACTTGAGAATAACCAACATAGAAAATTTATTCATGACTGAAATTTGTAGTAACGAGGCTAAGCGCCTTTTATGTACTTAACTTTGATCTGAACTATTTTTTGGCATGAACTAGCTGTTTCATCTAGAGTGGGTAGGCAAGGTTTCGAATTTGAGAGCTACTTGTCGGAAACGAATTACTTTATGCGTGCAGCAATCAGAGCTTAAACTAATAACTTATGACTGATAATTCAATTATCAAAAGAGTCACCGATAATAAAAATTTCAAAATATTGAACAAAATGCCCCCACAGAAATCCTAGATATATTTCTTTAGAGAGACGTTATACTGATCAGATGTTAAATAATTTAGTTCAACTTACTTCATGTGAAACAGGATCGAATTCACCGAATAACTGTCCCATTGTAATTGCTTTAGGGTTAATTGTTTTATAAATCACTTTTTCATATTCATCGTGACCATTTTCATTTAACCGTGTCATCACTGTAGCTAATGTATGCAGCACGGTAGTCTTAGATCCAAATGGTTCACCAACAAGCATAAAACTAAATAATGAAATGGCGGAAGCATTAAAATGAATGTTAAAAACATACCGATAACATAAAAGATGTTGTGTGAATAACTCAAAAGTTTTATTCTGTTGAGAAATTCAATACAGCTAATACGTAGGCTGGTGTGTACATCAAAACGATCTACTTTTATAAATGGATAGTATAAATCATAGCCCATTTTGTACTGTGATGAATGAGGCTACTACTTACTTGTTCAGACCTCAGTTGAGAATTATAGTTGGGGATCTAAAACACCTAGGTTGTAAGTCAGGTTCCTAATCCTGTCGATCACGAATTCCAGTATGTTATTTTTCTCGCCAGGTTTTTAAATTGTATACTTGTAAATGCTTTAGATTAATTAATATTACTGAGGACCATGATGTATATTACACAAAAGCAACATGGAAGAGAGTAACCGTAGCTGAGTTGGGCTTTTTTAAAACATGACTTAGTTACACTGCAAATGTAACAGCTTTTAATGCTGATAAAATCAGATTAGCCGACTAAAGTCTCCTATTTAGTAAAAGTCAATGGGGAGAATACTTGTCTTGAAGATCAAGAGCTCCTCTAATGTTTAAGTGAAGATTTTATGGCTTATCCAGTTATCCGTAATCTGCTCCTGTAAAACCTTTTTCATACTTCTGTTTAAACTGATCTGCTGTTTGATTCCAATACTTTACTCAATGATTCAAGTAAACGAGAAACCACTTTACATCACGAATAGATAAATGAAATAATACTGTTTACTGATCTATAACTTATCACTGTGTTCCAAATAACCAATTTATAATGAATTTTGGCATTCCTCAAAGTGTCGTATGTTCGGATTACCAAATGAACATGAGCATTAAGTTACAGGCTTATCCGCATGGTAATTATCAATAGGCATGAAACATGGGTTTAGTTTTTCTTATGACTTGCTTCAAATGATCATTAAACAGATTATTGTTGAACTCAACATCTTTAGGTGATGTTGTATTCATTTACCCGGATGGTTCAAATTTGAAGCCCTTACTGGTTTTTGAGTAAACGTCGTCAGTACAAAAATAAATTAGCTATTAGAATTTCTCCAAACATCCATTAATTATGGAGTATAATCATACTATGAGCATTTACCTACTTGAGTTCACTAGTTCATTATCCCTTATGGTGTTTGATCTCGTATTTGGACAGAAAAGCAAAGCATTTAAAACATGAATAAATCATTCGAAATCTCTTCAAAGATCGTAATATCCACTTATTTTTACTAATAAACGTACAAAATGCTGCATTTGTAGGCATTAATTGTTCAATTTCATTAAATCGTCCAAGAAAAGTGAACTTGTATAGTTTCGAATAAATTATCATTTATGACATAAATCTTTACTTATCTCTTTGTAATATTTGAATTCATGAGTCCATGTTAGCCAGTCAACTGGATAGCTATTTAGCCCAAGATGGTACATCTTGACAGTACACATTCACGATCCCGCGTGCGGGACTCGAACCGAGGACCACAGGCCTCGCACGCGAACGCTTAACAAAACAGACGTCCAGTGCTTCCAGGTCTTTAATGGTGGACTAGCTTACACCGACTCATAAATTTACCTATTAAAATCACTACGATCTCCACAAACCCTCCATTATGATTATTATCTCTTTTTGTTTGATAATAATTTCACACATATATACTTACCCATGTCGTACAATCATCATTTCATATGTTTGTATAATTTTTTCAGTGAAAAAGTTAACAGCTTGTATATTTCTTTCTTGACATACTTTATGTACTTCAGCTAAGAAAATACTATAATCTGCTTCTGGCAACGTAACACCAGGAAATAAATCTGATATAATACCACGAAATAGAGGAATATCATGAGCTAGAAATTTAGGCAAATTCACATCGATAATCGAACGTAAGAGCTAAAATTTAAATGATCAAGAAGAAGGAAGATATATTCTATTGAAATAAAAGAACTCAGTTATATTTTCTTTAAAAATGCTTGGATCAGATTGCAAGGCGAAACGTTGGATTTACTTCAAATTCATTCGCTGAGATTTTACAAATACATTCTTTCTCTTTAATGTCTCAATTATGTTTAGTTATTTATATGTATAATCTCTATCATTTGTAAGGTAGAACGACCATTATGGTGTTTTACATGATATTAATGAATAAATAGTGATGTTTTCACTAAGATACTATTCATAAATCTACTCCCTTGTTAATTTATACTTTCTTATTTATATGTGTAACTTACACCATACGGTTATAGATATCTCACAAACATGCCAGAACGTTTTGCGAACTGACTATAATGTATACAATTGATTAGGAATAATTGGAAAATAGTAAGACAATACACATGTCAAGATAGTTCTACTATATTCAGCTGAAACTTGAAAAACTATCACAACCATAATCAAAAAGGTATAAGTATTTATAAACAGTTGTCTATTCAAGATACTCAATGTCCATTGAATGGATACCATCAGCAATAATCTATTGTAGGAGAAAACAGATCAGTTTGCAAGTGAAGAAGATATTAGGAAAAGACACTGGAAGTGGATAGGACGTACATCGCGGAAATCACTAAATTGTACTACAAGGCAAGCACTAACTTAGAATCCTGAGGGTAGATGGAAACAGTAAAGATCAAAGAAGATACTACGTTGAGAATTGGAAGCAGACACCAAGAAGATGATTAGCAGATGTAAACAACTGTAGACGATTGTCCAGGACAGAGTAGGAATGAGAATACTGGTAAGCGGCCTATGCTCCTCCATTAAGGGTAACAGGCGTAAGTAAGTAAGTATAATAAGATGTAATCACAATTGATTGATCACTGGGTGGTGATCAATGTCATGTGAGTCAAGTCCTTCTTAGTGCAGATCGAATACTATCGACCAAGTTGCAATGTGGCCACCAGTCTAGGTGACTCGACACTGCGTGCACCATGTTGAGTAGCACGAAACCCGGGTCCAGTGTTTTCCATTGACTACCTCCAACCACCATCTAATCTCAAGAATACGATGTATAATAATGGTTAATGGGTCAATAGTAACTTTACAATAAAAGGAACACAGAAACATAGTATTCTAGTTATTTAGTAATTATATAAAATATATAAACAACTATATTCCAGAAAGCAGTTTTAAAAGTCATAACTTATTTAATGCTCTTTCCATTATAATAGTTTTCTGTAGTTATTTATCTAGGGCTAAACCATTGTGTAATCTCCACAAACCTCGTATACCAACTATTTTACAGTTTAGAAATTCTAGTATGAAATTATGATGATTACATCATTCGACCTCTGTGTATATGGTTTGTAGACATTTATAATGTGAAAAATGATGATAGAAACATATCTAAATATTATTAAGCATAAAACAATTTGAACTAATATGACAGTGACTCTTATGGATCAAAAAGGGGTATTTGGTACTGTTATATCCAGATGAGAATAATGAATGGTAACTTTGGGATCCATTTATTCACCAATACTATACGTATATTTTTATCGTATAATTGACAAGTAACCAAACTATTCATATTCGTGCTTACTCTTTTCATAAGCTTTATTTCGACCTATGAACTATTATTATATAATTTACTATTCTTGAGTTATACCCTGTCTATCAAATACTACCTCCCACATTCACAGGCACGTTTGGTTAAATCTTGTACAAATATTGTTTCCTATTTTATCGCACGATGGTACGATGTTTGAAATAAACGATTCATATCGCAGAGGCTGAGATTGGTGTTCTGGATTTAACAGGCTGGGCTAGACAGGAAGCAGGACCGATAAGGACTCTAGGCTGCTCGTAATTGTTTTATGGGTCATTGGTCCGGTCGATAATTTACTGTTCTCTAATTGTCAGTATCATTACGTTATTCATTAATAGGACATAGGGCTCAAGTTATAACAATTACTTGTGGAATTCATTATATACTTCTATAAAATACACAATTCATAATTATTAAAATTTAATCATTACTTACAATAATATTTTCATTTTCATCAGGATATTTTAATTTTAAATTACCAGCTGCTTGTAGAACAGCTTTGACAGCACGCATACCATAATCATAATGAGCTTGAGATGATAATTGTTCTGAGCATAAACGATATGTGGTAACAATTTTTACAGATAAACTACGTGCATCCATAAAACCATAAGAATAAAGTGATATTTCACCAATCATAGCATAATCTGGAACCATCATAGCTACTGGACGAAATAAAACCTAAAGAGTAATTGTTTATAAAGTATAAATTATATTATCTATATTTAGAATCGACTTGATTGTTATTTAATTTATTTTTAAGGAACATTTGAATTTTCTCTTTTTTAACATTAAAGATAAGGCTCTTTTGGTAGATGTTAATCTTGTGTGGATTGCTTCGATACTGTCATTAGGTTACAAACATTTTTAACCTTGGGGTAAAGTTACATCCTGTTGACAAGTCTCGAATTGGATGCAACAAGTATCATGGATTCCACTGGTGGCCATAAATTCATTTATTCTTGATCATTTTAGTTTTACATCATAACGATAAATAAAGTTAACCGAAAGAGGTTCATGAAAATTGTCTAAATTCTGTAGCTATTCTGTGGTGTAGACCACGGAAATGGAAGAGTACAAAAAGCTATAGAATTATCTTGATCTACAAAATTTTCAGAAGTTGGTCTTTCAAATCCTGAAGACCTGATCGTTTTGAGTTGTTGGTTAATTACTTCATTGAGGATCTTAATGTTTTTGTTGGGTAAATGACCCTAGGATATCGAAACACACAATTCTTCGGCACGTGTAATTCATATGTAAGTCTCACCAGTCGGTACAGATTCTTGACTAAACAGATTTATTAATTCATTCTATCTAAAACGTTTTACATGTTGCTTGTTCTCTGTTTTTATAACATATATTAATAGATAGCATTGTGAATTTTCCGAAGAACAGGGCTAAGGTTTTATATTTCAGAACTTATAGATCCGTTTGCAGGGAATACTATATAGCCAGCAATTCCACCAAGGTGCTTGGTACCTGTGTGGTTGCGCCACAAGATTGAGTTGTACTATTCAGATTGTAGCGTTAAAGCCCATACGGTGTCTGGTTCTTCCGTGAAGTGGGATTGCGATGTACTGCTCGGGTTATAAAATGTCAGCCTGGGAGGTGTCTGGCTCTCCTTTTAAACGGGATTGAGCTGTACTGTTTGGGTTGTTACATGAGAGTCTGTATGGTGTCTGGTTCTCCTGAAAACCAATGTAAAATTACCCTGGCCCACGAGGGTATATTATATAACTACTTATATAACTAAATATTATAGAAATGAATAAAATATGTTAAATGTATGCCGTGTACTTCTGTTTACTACCATACATACCAAGTATTACAGCCAAAAGTAGTTCAATTGGGATAACTTTATTTATGTTCAAGTTTAACCTTATCTAAAGATTGTCTTTTAGGCCACAAGTGAAGAGTAATTTCGAAGCTCAGTGTAAAATGTTATGGGAAAATATAGGAAAATTCAGTAGTGAATAAGGAAATCTGAGACATAAATGATTATTTTTTAGTTAGTAAAGTTGGTATCTGATAAAATGTTCAATAAGTCATTGCTTTACAACATTTTTATGAGATCCAATTTATAAGCTTTAAACACAGTAATTATTATCAGAAGGGCTTTTTGTGGATATTATAGTAATTTCAATGGTTGAGATCATGAGCCAGTTGAAGCTAGACCATCATGGAAAATTTGGAAGCACTGCTGAGGAGTCCGACAATAGGACGAAACGGCCGTTCAGTGCTTCCAGGTTTTTCATGATGGTCTAGCTTTAATTGAGTCATGATTTCAATTATTGAAATCACTAATTATTGTTAAATCTTTTACCATTAAAAAATAAAAGTCGATAATGTAAATTTATGTTACTGAGCTTTACATCGAGAAATTTTATAATCGTTTACTTGTTGAAATTTATAAACTATGCTTTGTCGTTAGTTATTTAATCGTCTGTTTAGATTGACTGTTCTTGAAAGAGGAAATGTCATGGTGAATAATAGCACAACCATACAATTGATCCTTAGGTGAAAACCAGATCACAGGTATTAATTTAAAATAAGCACGCTTAAACTCCTCTTGAAGCCCTCCTGGGGCCACTGCCGGTCCCAAGCACGGATAAATGAGGAGGATTGGGCATGGGGTTAGCGACTCCATCCCGTAAAAAACTAACCCGCTAATAAAATGCTAACCAGAAGAAATAATTCAAACCATACAAGGCAAGCCCTCACATGGAATCCTCAAGGTCAACGGAAAAGAGGATGACCAAAAAACACATTACGTTGAGAAATGGAAACAGACATGAAAAGAATGAACAACAACTGGATAGAACTAGAACGGAAGGCTCAGGACAGAGTGGGTTGGAGAATGCTGGTCGGCGGCCTATGCTCCATTGGGAGTAACAGGCCTAAGTAAGTAAGTAAGCACGCATAATTTGTTCTGTTCTCTCAAAGTCCAATATTCCAAAAATTCTTTACCTTATCTTGATAAATCTTAAATTACTTACTTTTAAATTATCTGGTAATTCCGATCGACCTGCATAACCAGGATTCATTGTTATACACACATAACAATTACGATTTAAATTTAATTCAGTTCCTTCAAATATGAATACTTCTAAGTGAGATTGAATAGCTCGTATAATACAAAGAATCTGTTTGGAAGAAAAGAAAACAACATAATTATGTTATAACTGGTAGATTGAAATACCAATAAAACTAAATAATCTTACATATGCCTAGTTAACAGTCCATAAATTATATTTACTCTGTAATAATCAAATTACTGAAGTAAATTTCCACTACTTGGAAAATTAAGGACAGTTTTGAGTAATGTTGATTGCGTAATTGGATATAGTTAAAACCTTTAAATAACTGACAACAAATTTAATTTGAAAATAACTAACTTAACAAAGTACGAAATATAAACTTATGTGTGGTTAAATTAAAAACTGTCGGGGTCTTGATTTAATTATTTGGCCAGACTACAATTTATGAACGAACCAATCAGATATAAGATAACAGGTCGCGGATTTTAGTGCGAAATTCACTCATCTATTTGGTTACATAAAGTCTTGGCATTATAGCTTATGTTAGTTCGTAATCAAAACCCTTAATCTAATTCCTAACCTTAACCATCAACTGTAAATCATAATTCTAATTCTTCACAATGGTTTATAACCTTCATTTGATCTTAGTTATTAGGTGGACACTTTCAAGGTCAGTCTAGCGTCGTTCAATGGTCCTCCATAAATTATGGTCTAGACTAGCATGGACTAGCATGGACTAGACAAGCATGAGATTGATCACCACCCAGTGATCAATCAATTGTGATTACATCTCAGTCCTACAGGAGGTTAGTCGCGGCCTGGATAGCTCAGTGGTAACGTCTCTGACTATGAAGCTGGGTGATACGGGATCGAATCCGCCAGGGAGCACCAGTTCCCTCAAGATTACAGGTACACCTTGCTGACGAGTGCCAAGTAGCACGAAACCCGGGTCCAGGGTTTCTTGTTGACTACCTCCAACCACCATCTAATCTCAATACATAGTGCCCGCAGTGTCGAGTCACCTAGACTGGTGGCCACATTGCAACATGATCGATAGCATTCGATCTGCACTATTAAGGACTAGACAAGCATGAGATTAATCACCACCCAGTGATCAATCAATTGTGATAAATTATGGTCACACCAATTATTTTCTTTACAATATCAATCCACATGTTTATAATTTCTTGAATGAATGAACTATGTGACATAGTAGTATTATAGTTTTTAGTGAAAGTATGTTGAGATAAACCGTAGGTTAATTAAATTTACTATATTCCAAAGATATTAACAATTGTCTTACCTAATGATTTTGTGTCTAGATTTAGTTCATACTAAGTAAAACCCTTGGATGATTCTTTTCAACATTTTCTTATTTAACCATTCAATGCATGATCGTCACACTTCTTACAAATATTTAACCAATGATAATGTCCAATAGCTAAACTCTTTATTTGAAGATGAGTATATTAATTTTTACAGATCTAAATGTAATTCGTTAACAATTTTGTTAAATGGTCGTGGTAATGTGAACATAATTTTTCACGACTTGATAACTGAATGAATACCATATGCTTATAAAAACTGCATGCTTTAAGATGCCATTAAACTCAAAGTGTAAACACAATTCAAATACATGGTATATTAAGCAGGGTGCAGGATCGTGGATGCGCACCTCTGAGGAGTCCCATATTAGGACGAAACGGCCGTCTAGTGCTTCCAGGTTTTCCATGATGGTCTAGCTTCAATTGACTCATGATTTCAATCTGTGAAATGGTGTATTAAGCAAGTATCTGAAAAACAGTAAAACTTATTTGATTTATAGTTTGTATGCTTACATTCCCTTTCTTTCGAATGTATATACACATATACTTCTCTAGATAACTTCCCATTGAGAGAAGAAATCCTATTGTTTTATTTATTTGTTACTTAATGCTTATTATTCGGACTATTATAGTGCTTTATATTAGATAAAACAATATATTCGTATATGACTTCAAATGTCAGCTTATCATTCTAGTTCAACAGGAAAAAAAACTATATAAAAATCAAATATAAATCATTAGCGGACATGATAGCGGCTAGCAGTAGAACCCAGGACTCTCGTTTCGTCCTAATCGGGACTAATCAGCTGAATGTACCTGTATCCCAGAGTTGATTTTCACTCAGAGACTCGAACCCAGTATTGTTCACTTCAAACGCTATCACGTTATCCACTAAGCTGCTGAGTCAAGATAGCCGCTGGCTTGTGCAATGTGGTGAAGTTTCGTTCATTTTTGTATTGGTTGCTTCAATTTTGCCACTGATGTTTAGAACTGAAATTGATCAGTCTCTTATTGGTATATACATCCTGTGACGATTGCTCAGATATTGTATTCAATTCTGAGCATTGTAAGCTGCGTTTTGTCTTTAGAGATACTGAAACCAGTTCTAACGGATAGCTTAATCTTGTGACATATACATATATTCCTTCAGTATCATTATGATTATATTCATAAAACAGTAACTGATTTACCTCAAAAGTTAAAATCTATAAAATGTTGAACAACAATTTAGAAATCTAGAAATTTTTGCAAAAAATTATTCTTAGTAACTAAAATTTTTATTTTTCTATTTTTACCTGTTGGGCTACGACGGATAAAACTTCAAGTTCAATACGATTGAATTCATCGAAACAAGCCCACGCTCCAGAAGAAGCAAGTCCTTTGAAGAACTAGTGATACATTAGGAATGAAGAAAACAAATTATTATTAATGATATTTAATCCCAAGTATATGTAGTGCAACAAGTCGCCAAAGCTTGTCAAATGGAGAGAATTCCGATATGTCAAACACAAAAGACCAGACAAGACAGTTCGGATTTTGGAACATATACCAATATCCTAATGGATGATCAAAGATTAGGTTTACATATTTTATGAATCACTGAGATATTCCCTGTTTATATGTTTATTACTCGACGCGTATAGTTATTCCCGGTAATTAACCGGATCTCATCTAAATACTCTGAACTTTCCATGGATTCCACTTAGTTGTGCCGATCCATCCTGGTGCCTTGAGCGTTTATATCTTTCTTAATCTACACATTCATCTTTCCGAATTCACAGGAATTCTTTCTTTTTTCATAATTACCCTGATAACATCTCTCTTATTTAACATAATACTCACACAACGTAATTGTTATTATTACCTGGACTGACAAGAAGAAATTTTCATATTATACATTTTATTCACATTATTGTATTACCATTATATTGATTATAACTTGACACTACTACGGATCATTCTAACCTTTATTAAATGACCGTCCTAATTTACAAATAACACAATTTCAAAGAATCTATGTCGTAACATATGTGAAAGCTTACCATTTTAACATGCAACAATGTCAAATTCAATAATAGATGGCCTTTGTAAAATATCACCATAATCATAGATTATAACTGTAGATCCTGATGAAGAAGTGATTGGAAACAATTTTTCGTTTAAATATTCTTTGTTTTTAATATAACATTATTGTTACTCACTAGATTGTCCTAGAGAATGAGACCAGTGTATTGATGGGATGTAGAATTAAATACCACTACTCTACGAATATACCCTATTTGTATAGGGTACGTTTCACAACAGTAATATACAACAGAGAGTATTCCTACTCAGCGTATTGGTCTTTCGTTTGACAGAGAGATATTGATCAAACATAGATTGATTACTGTAATAGTATATTTAGATGCATTCCTAAAATCTTCACAATCGTTATATATTTTAAAGAAAAAAAACGTAAAAGTTAATTACGCTTTCTTACTTTACCCATAGCAATGTAATCTAAGCCATCCGAGCAGTTGAATACAACACATTGAACAGCAAGTGCTTTGGCCAAATCCTTTGTCGTTTCTGTTTTACCTGTTCCAGCAGGGCCTTCTGGAGCGCCATTCAAATTCAAGTGATAAGCACCAATTAATGTTCGGTAACATCGATCCGTAAGTGGAGTAATGACAAGACGGGGAGAATTACCCAAATATTCATAAGCATATGACACTTTAGCATTTGTAAGTTTGACCTGTTATGTTTAGTAAAAATATATTAAAATTTAAATATCTAATTGCAATAAAAAGGAAATAGTCTTTCTACAGAAAAATTTTACTCATGTTTAACAGAAGACTAAAAACACTGGGTTTGATTATATTTGGGATTCATTCCCAGTCAAGTTACTGATGATTGATGCAAGCTGTTTGATTTTAACGAAAATGAACATTTAAATCGAGGTTTCGTGTTCATGAGGAGTTGTCAAGAAAACAATATTTCCAATCTACAATGTAATGAAACACCGACAGGTGAGTGGAACACTTTTTACCCTCTATCCTAGGCATATATATATATGAATAAAATCACAATTGATTGATCACTGGGTGGTGATCAATGTCATGCGTTCCAGGTCTTTATTTAGTGCACATCGAATGCTATCGACCATGTCGCAATGTGGCCACCAGTCTAGGTGACTGGACATTGCATGCACTATATATTGATATTAGATGGACCAGAGTTTCGTGCTACTTGGCACTCGTCGGCAAGGTGTACCTGTAATCTTGAGGGAACTGGTGTTACCTGGCGGATTTGATCTCGTGTCACCCAGCTTCACAGTCAGAGACGTCACCACTGAGCTATCCGGACCGCGACTGACCTCCTGTAGGACTGAGATACTATTCGAACAGTGATATTTAAACTAAGTGATCACTAATGAGTAAATATGCTTGTAAACACTCAAATTATATCTACTTGGAAACAGCAACAGACACTGAACTTTTGCATGTAATATATATACAAATGATATGTAATCAATAAAAGTGAATTCATAAAATCCTATTTGACAACATGAATTACCTGAACATTTTCATTTTCCCAATAATATCTTAACTGTGATAACCAATTGAAATCATTTTCTGATGTAACACCTAATTTAATCATATCATGAACAACATCGCGTGCATGTACATCAATAACAACAAGTGCTCCAAGTGTTATACGTTGTTGTGCATTTAATTTTACACGAACTAATTTAACAATAGCATTCATTTGTTGATCTAATTTTTTATAATAATTTTCTAAACCTTTAATACCATAAATAAGTGATTCATGTACTTCATATGTCCAATAGATTTGTGATACACAGAGAACAACTTGTCCAGGCCATTGACAAACCCATAATTCACGTTCTTCTTTATCATAAGCCTTTAAAAAATTAGAAAGAAAAAAATGGAACTGAGTTTTAAGACTGTAATTGTAGTAATTAGATTATTCACTGTTTGATGGTATTTAAATGGTAGCAGTTTTGTTATCATACAACATGAGATTTATTGTAGCCTTGAATACATGTATTTTCTTTATTGATGTTTGCTATTTCTATAGATTTATTCTTCTGACATCTTTTTATTCAGTGACATGAGTGTTACACTTTATATAATGTGGCGGAATATCACGAATTGAGCAAAGGAATAAATATAGGTCTTTGAATAAAAACTTAGTGTTTTGAAGTTTGAATGCTTGATTCAAGAACCTTAGGTGTTTGTTTTGATTCTATGTTGGTTCTTGAATAAGAACCACTAAGCTTAACTATACTAGGACAAATCAACTATCTAGTCTTCATTGGTTATATTATTTAAGACCAGTCTATTATGTGAAACTATATAATTTGCTGTGAACTAAGTTTATTGATGAAGCCTGTATTTGAAAACAGAGTTATACAAATAATTATTCTAAAGGAAATATGAGTAGTTGGAGGAAAATGAATTCTTACTGATGATTGCTACAAATGGGTAGTGTAGGTTACTATATTAAGCCCACATAATTTATTCTGGCATCGGTTCAGGCCAATTTATCCATTCTTCTTGAGTCACGTATCGACCTACTTTAATTATTCGCTTATCAACATTGACTGTTTTTATATGAGTGTATGTGTATGCACTTCTCATCTTACTCATCACATCTGTAAATTATTTTTATGACTATAAACATTGATTAATACTTGGTTAAAGGGAATTAGCTCATACGCCTTCGCCACTGCACGTCTTTTCGTTTCGCTTAGCTCTCTCTTCATCGCCTCATTCACTGAGGTTCTCTGATTGTCTGTTCAAAACAACGAGTGAACAAAATATACGTATTCAAACATCCATTATCATATTCGACTCATTCAACTCATTATTCACTAACGCGGATGATGTCGATAACTATATATGAGGACTGACGATATGTATATTATCAATAACAATCATTCATATAATCTAATTGGAGAAAGATATCGGGTAAGTAGATTATCACAGGCAATTTCTTAAGTACCACCACTTGATTGTCAATATATTTTCTGTGTACAGTTTTATTAAGCGAAATTGAATCAAACCTCAACTAATGTAATAACATTCATACTGTATAACTAAAGTAGTGAGCCCAACGTGATTCGAACCTGCAAACTTCTGATATGAAGCCGGATATAGGGCCACTAAAAATGAACTAAGATATTAAGAATCATTGACTAAAGAATTAATTCTTACATTTAACTCACTACTAGTTATATTTCCATCAAATGTTTATAATCATAGAATTTTTTGATGATTTTTAAATACCGAAAAGTCGTTTATATACAAATAAGTATAGAAAGAAATCTTTTTCAATTTTATAACCTAATAAGTTTTTACCAATGGACAAATGAGCTACAAAGGAGTTAGCATGTGAGCCTAAAACAACACATTTAGAAAAGCCTATGAATGGTTGTAACATGTCAAGAGATCATCAATCTCAATATATTCTGATGAAAGTATAACGCTCAGTCACAACTTTTTGATAGTTGATACAAATCGCGTACAAAAAGTAGACTTTCTAATTGGAGGATAAAAAGTGATAGTCTATCTGATTTGGAATCTCAGATAGCTTACCTCATTTCATGTTTATTCTCAAATGATGGTACAATGAAAACTTTTCCGTTTCTATTTCTTACCTCTATATTCTTATTTAAAACTTTTGCTACAAAATATGAAAACTTACTTCTCTAGCAGCTGCTATCACATCACGAACAGACATGAGCATTATCTTTTCTACTTGTAATAGCCATTTTTCTACTGAACCACGTGCTTCCGACGTACTTATTGGCTAAGAAAAGTATTCGTGAAAGAAAGTATACTGGTATTGAAAACTACCATATGATTAAAGAGTACAAAATTAGAATCTGACTGCTGATAAATATAACATAAAGTGAACTAATATTACTTATTAGGTTGATATGATAGATAACGTGTAAACACGATACGAATTCAAACAATAATTGACTCGATAACTTTATACGAACAGAAAAAATATGTACGTCAATGTTCTATACAACTTTGTTTGATCAATGTTATAACCTGCTGAGTTTAAATTATTTACTTTTGATTTTCGAACTACTCACTATTTAAAAGTAGCATACTTTGAATTCATTTTTTGTTTGAATCTTTTCATTGATGTTTAGTACTGCAATTGATCAGTCTCTGAATGGCAAATGTGCGTCCTGTGCGGATCGCTCCGCTATTGCCTTAAGTCACAAGGCAATGGTATTTGAGTCGAACAGTACCGGGTTTATTTATTGACCTAGTATGTTTAAAAACTAAGAATTAGCTGATTGCCATAGTTTTGATGACAGTAATTTAAGTTCAATCAGCGCAAAAAGAAAGGTTTCAACTAATACATTCTGATTGCAACGTGTATGTGGCGATTTTAAAAACAGTCATCATAATTGATTAATTTCAGTCAGGCAGTCAGCAGCAACGTAGAACTTCGTACGTACGTACGTCAGTCCAAGTTATCATACCACATTAGCACACAGATACAATTGTCGATTCAAATCCCATGGTGGTAAAGGTAGTAAAAGTATAAGCAGTAATCGGAAAGATTAGGGTTTGAAGATGCTATTCAAGGAGTATAAACCAAGGAAATAAATTTGGAAAGACTGAAAAAAGAGACATGACGAATTCAGAAGATTAAAATTTGGGAGAACACAAAAAGTGAATGTACCTGCATCATTGAAAACAATTTTGAGCCATGTCATTCAAAGTCTCTAACCATCGGTTGCTATTGTCTCGCTGATCCCAACCAAGTAGTCTACACCTACCAACATGGCTCAGTCTACTTGTCAGTGGCTTCATGGATTTGTGACATGTTTTGGTCTGACCACCCTTAGCTTTCTTCCAACCTAGTACTACACCATAAAACATTACTGATTGAGACAGTCAGTAGTCGAGCATTGATTTTAACTAGGGAATTATTAAATATTGTGGAGTAGCAAACAATTATTTTATTAAAAGGAATGCACCCATTAAGACATTAAATAAGAAAGATTAGTTCAGCGAAGAGTTCTCTTTTCGGTGAATTCATTTTCATAGCTGTACAATCGCAAATATATATACTTATTTTACAGGATGATAATAATACTGATAATAAACTTCTGTTAGGCATGGCGGCAGTGAGGTTAAATAAACAAAGGTATTAAAATTTTTTTCTAAAACCAAGGAAGTTTAATGACTGTTTGATTGTTAATGGCCTAAGTATTCATCAATTGATAGATAGGGAGATTATAATTGGGAAACGATGACTCAGCATGATAAAATAAATTTTGTTGAAATTGAGATTAAATGTAATCAGGATGATCATAGAAACAAAAATAAACCAGTTAGGGGGTAGTATGACTTAATTCAAAAACCCAACATTTCTCCACAGACGATAGATCAAATCGAGAACTTTTAAGCCTTACTACAACTTATAATCACAAAGTCATTTACAATAAAACAAATACTAACTCTTCATTATTATTGAGGTATCTATCTAAACTTAATCTATGATTTGAAATGATTTTATAATGATCAATTTATTTTCAATGATAAAAATTCTTGTACTCATTAATTCACTGAATTGGTGAGACTATAATTTATGGACGACCTTTGAGAGACGCCAAAGTGACCTTGAGAGTGTTCACCTAATAACTAGGACCAAATGAGATTTATAAACCAGTATGAAGAATTAGATTTATGATTTACAGTTGATGGTTAAGGTTAGGAATTACATTACATCAGTTATAATGCCAAGACTCTATTTAACCAAATAGATGAGTGAATTTCGCCCTAAAGTCCAAGACCTATTACTTACTTACTTACGCCTGTTACTCCCAATGGAGCATAGGCCGCAGACCAGCATTCTCCAACCCACTCTGTCCTGGGCCTTCTTTTCTAGTTCCATCCAATTCTTGTTCATTTTTCTCATGTCTATTTCCATTTCTCGGCGTAATGTGTTCTTTGGTCTTCCTCTTTTCCTTTGGCCTTCAGGATTCCACGTGAGGGCTTGTCTTGTGACGCAGTTGGGTGCTTTCCTCAATGTGTGTCCTATCCACTTCCAGCACTTCTTCCTGATTTCTTCCTCCGCTGGGATCTGGTTTGTTCTCTCCTACAGTACGTTGTTGCTAATAGTGTCCGGCCAGCGGATCCGAAGTATTTTGTGTAGATAGTTTTTAATAAACACCTGTATCTTCTGGATGATGGCTTTCGTAGTTCTCCAGGTTTCTGCCCCATACAGTAGAACTGTCTTGACATTTGTTTTGAAAAACCTGACATTGGTGTTGGTTGACAGTTGCTTTGAGTTCTAGATGTTCTTCAATTGTAAATATGCTGCTCTTGCTTTGCCGATCCACGCCTTCACATCTGCATCAGATCCACCCTGTTCATCAATGATGCTGCTTAAATACGTAAAGGTTTTTACATCTTCCAAATCTTCATCAATCGTTACTGGATTGGTAAGACCTATTATCTTATACCTAATTAATTCATCTATAAATTATAGTCTCATCATTAAAATTCATTTATTAAATAATTCATTTATCAAAAATAATTACCTGACTAAATTGAACTTTTTCACCTTCACTTGAATACATTGCTTTAATATCCAATTGTTTATCAAATTCTAATTTGGCTATACCTTCAAAACATTTTTTCAAATGTGGTTGTACACGTAATGGATCTTTTGTTTCTGATAATATTTCTAACATTTCATCATTAGATAAAAAGAAAAATCTTGCAAAATATAAACGTTTCTTTTCTAAATAAGCATTTAAACCTTTATTAATTTTATCTAATAATCCATTACTATCTTTAATTTTTTCTAAAATTCCAAGAAAATCAGTTGCCTATATTGATTGATTGTTTGATTGTTTTTGAGAAGAAAAAAAGAAAAAAAAGGAAAAAAACAAGAATATTCCAAGTTAAAATGATAGTTATGCATGTCAATTAAAGCTAGACAACTAAGGAAAACCTGGGAGTACTGCATGGCCAATTCGTCCTAGTATTGGACTTCTCAGCAGTGCACATTCACGATCCCGCCCACCTCAAGACTCGAACCCAGGACTAGTCAGTCTCATGAGCGAGCGCTTAACCACTAGACCACTGAGCTGGCAACCAATGGTATTAATGTTTAACTTCAACCAGTTCACGAAATTGCGCCACCGTACACTATTGTCTTCAGTGAGCTGATATCTCACAACAGACTTGGTTGAACTCCAGGAAATGCATTTTGAGGTCAGTCATTAGTGAGCAGATGATTATCGGTAGTCTAGCTTCAATTGACTCATAATTTTAACTATTGAAATGTTTAAAATCTCCATAAAACCCCTTCTGATAATTATGTGTTTTTCAAATTCTTTTTTCTGAAGCAAAACTTTATATAATATTGATATTCATTAGTCAGTTACTGATAATTGGTAGATACATATATGATCTCTGTATGAGTTATCAGTATGAGAGAAACATTAAACAAAGTGTAATTTGAAAATTAAGGCTTCATTGAATGCATATTATGTATCTATGTGTATATTTGATTAAAAATATGCGAGCTCTCATGGAGCATGAATAATTTAGACTGTGAAAAGTGATCACATTTATGTATCTCTCGTAAATATAGAAGATAGGCTTAGGATTTTTAGATTAAATAAAAATAAAGATTGAATTAAATGAAGGGTTTAGTTATCTAGCTTTTCAAAATTCAGTAAATAAGGGACAGTATGTATGTATCCTATTGAGATACGTGTTTTACTTCAGCTTCAGATAGCAAACCGATAGCGAAACCGATAGGTTCTAGGTTCGAATCTAGCGAGGCAGGATCGTAGACGCTCACTGCTGAGGAGTCTCATACTAGGACGAAACGGCCGTCCAGTGTTTCCAGCTTTTCCATAGTCGTTCAGCTTCAATTGACTCATGTTCTCAACCCTTAAAATTACTTATTTTATGCTTGCTTTATATTAGAATGGAGGGTAGAACTGATAAAGCTACATAAAATACCACTCATATTGAATTATTTGCAATATCTATCTAATGAAATGCTGAAAAATCGAGCCCAAATTTTGTCACAGGTGTCTAGTGATACCATTTTTGATTGCTTTTTGTAGTTCACTTATAATTGATAGGGAATTAAAAGTTAATGGTTGTTAAGATACTTCCACTCGGTAAATGTTTGTATGATTATTAATATGATGGTTTGGTCATTAGATTAAGTTTGTGAATATTGGGGTTGGGATGAAACTTCTCTATTGTTCTCGTCAGATCTCAACAGATTTGGTTCTAAATAAACACTATCTACAAATCCGTTGAATAACTTAACTAGAATGATTCATTATGATGTATAATTTCACTTTGTAACTGAATATGTTGGTTAGAAATTAATACACTGAAATAGGGAATAAGTATGATGTCACTATATGTGTTTAATCAAGGCAAGCAAATAAAATTCACATTTTTAATGTACCTTCAAAACATTTGGATCTTTAGCTGTATTTTTCATGATATCTTTGAAATTACGGTTAACAACTTGAAAAAGACGTCCTTCTTCAGGCATTTGTTGCATAATATCTTCTGAACTAAATATCGGATCTAGATATAACCACTGAGCTTGCATTTTTAACCATTCATCCAATGTTTCTTGTATATGCAGAAGACGTTCTTCCCATGCCTATCAAAAACAAAATTATACATACTTGAAAACACTACAAAAATGAAACAATAAAATTTTCAGTTGTTGAGCAGATAACTTAATATTATTGTCACTGGTTACTTCGGTTTTGTTTTCAAAATGTCGAATATAATTTGATGATGAGTACCGACTTGAAAAAAGTATATATCTAAGGCTTCATGTTGATCCTCTACAACCACCTAACATCAACCATGATGTTTCATGATGCTGAGCCATATTAGCTAGTAATCGAACTTCAATGAGACAATTTTTAAGTCAGAAAGAGTTAACCTTTTCGTTTTGTAAGAAGACTAACTAAATTTATGATGAAAAGCGTTTTCAAACATTGATTTCCTACATATGTCAAGGCCATTGGTAATCAAGTAGTAATTTAAAGTTGTGGATTGTCCTAGTTACAATTAATCGAATCAAAGTATTGTTTCACTTGGTATTGTTTGGCTTGTATCTCCCCATTGAGGTTTAAGACTGCAATTGATCAGTCGTTTGAAGCGAATGGTTTCGGGTTCGAGTCCGAGAGTGAACATCAACTCTGAGATGCAGGTACATCTAGCTGATGAGTCCCAAATAGGACGAAACGTGCGTCCTGGAATCTGCTGCAAGCCACTATCCATCACTGCCTACAAAGTATTGTTTATTCCTAAAACGTATCCAGAGTTTTCTTGCAGTCTTAATACGTCAAACGAATTTGTTGAGTTTTAGGTTATGCGTACTAATTGACATTTGTAATACCATGATATATATGAGGAATGTTGTATCGCATATATTTAGTTCTCTTCATATGATATCAGTTAAGGTTATTTTGTTTGACATGAGAAGGATAAATGTTATTTAATTCTGTAGTTTTTTGCACATAGGTTCAGTTTTTAAAGAGAGTTCCAGATACAAACTGACATCCTGAATAAAACCAGTAACAACCTACAAATTCAATCGTGTCAAATGTAAGAGACAACAATAAAATATGGACTGCTAAGTTCTAACTCAGTGGTATTGAACCCCTTATACTCAACCTCATTTGTGATTATAGGTCCTCATTGTTATAGGTACATACCTGAAGACAAGGTATTTATTTATTGCTATTACGTATTAGTATTTGATCATAGGTGTCTTCGAAATATTGCTCGTATATCGTGGGACCATCGAGTAAGTAATGCAGTCGTTAGGAAACGGGTACTAGGTAAGGATGGCAAATCAATTGATGACGTAGTGAAACTTCATCAGTTGAGATGGCTTGGACACGTGTTACGTATGCCCAACCACCGACTACCTCGATGTGCGATGTTCATTGGTATAGGAGTAGGTTGGAAGAAATCTAGGGGAGGCCAGACCAAAACATGGCACAAGTCCATGAAGTCACTGACAAGTGGACTGAGTCATGTTCGTAGGTGTGGACTACCTGGTTGGGGACCGCGAGATGATAGCAACCGATGGTTAGAGACCCTGAATGACATGGCTCAAAATCGTTTGCAATGGCGCAGGTGCATCCACTCTTTGTGCTCTCCCAAATTCCAATCTTCTGAATTCTTCATGTCCCTACCTTTTTTCATTCCAAATTTATTTCACTGGGTTATACTCCTCGAATAACATCTTCAAACCCTAATCTTTCCGATTACTGCTTATACTTTTACTACCTCTACCACTACGGGATTTGAATTGACCACTGCATCTCTGTGCTAAAGTGGTGTGGCAACTCGAACTGATGTACGTAACTACGAAGTTCTACGTTGTTACTGACTGACTGACTGACTGGCTGACTATTGCTATTAGACTTTTAAGGTTACTTCAAATGATATTAGTTGATGACAAAAAACTATTATCAAATATTTTCTAAATAAACTTACTTTAATTTCTTTTTCAAATGGTTTAATAAATGGTGATCCTCGCATTGTTTGTGTTTTACTTATCTGATCATCTAACATTTGTTGTATATCATCAACAGAAGCAAGTATAAATATACCAGATTCACGATATGGAATTAAATTAAACGATATTTCAGTCCAATCATCATGCATTTTATTCATATTAGTCTCTAAAGTAAATTCTTTACTAGCTCCACTTGATATACTAGCAAATTGTTCCATAAATGAGTCTAAATTTAATTGAAGCATTTTAGCTAATGATGTACCACTATCTGGTGTTAAATCTTTACCAGCTATCTGTGACATTGCATCCCAGTGTCGTTTTCTTATACCTGGATTGCATAATATCGCAATAATTGGTATATTTTCCTTTAATTTGATGGGGAAAAAAAACCAGAAGTAGTTAGAAAATTATACAATCACATGTTTATTTCAATCAATGATTTCACAATTTTAAGCATTAGTCAAGACTCATAGGCTATCAAATGTAATGTTGCTTTTAATTAAGGTGATACCGTATTTATTTTACAAGAAATATGTTTCAAGTCATTTGAAGATCATTTTCACAATCGACTGGAGTATGAATCAAGTTCAGTCAATAATTTGTTCTAAGTGGGAATGAGTAATTGGCTTATGGTCCTGATTGCAATATTCGAGTTGAACTGCGTTCAAATGTACGAAAAATTCATTTCGCTTTTCTTGATGATAAGAAGTGAAGATTCATTGTACCAGTTTTTTGTCAACTACAAACGACCTATCATAGTAAAGATGCTACATTGTAGATCGACTAGAAGATCTCTTCGACAATAAAGATTTGTCAGTACGATAATTGACACTTAATGATTTTGAGTATATACATATATGGTAAAAAGAATTGCCACTGTTAGAAGTACTGGTGAAAATTTTCACTGCTGAAAATTATGTATCGTTAGTTTGCTCCATACTTATAAGGCTTACAGAAAAATTACGACATGATGTTAGTCAATTAGTTAACCTGCACAGATATTGGTTCTAGATTTCATTACATAAGTTTTCTAGCTCACGGCTGCTTTTATTCACCAGCTGCTAGTATTATCTCTAAATCGATCTTGAACAGACCTGATAAACTTAGTAGGTAATAAAGTTTGATCATTTTTATTTTTGAAACTTATTTCTATATTTGAGTGCTATAAAATAGTTACTTAAATGTGCAAATAGAATTCACTAAATATGTATCATTATTGTGTTGGTTAAAGCGAGGAAATTATCGAATGCTAGTTATATGGAAACAATATATTATGGAATAACCAATAATGCGATGGTAAGCAGTTTTCATCACAGCCAGTTTTGATTAGTTAAATAACTAGTAAGATATCGAGATGCTTTGTGAATACATTTTGGTCATATTTCTAAAAATCATCACTAAAAGATACTTATAAGCAAATCTAAAATTACCGACGTCTTTCAACTTGGAGTTACTTTTTATACTGACATCAATGTGTTGTATACGTTAAGAAACCAGTGATGAACTTTAGTACAATTCACAGTTCTAATGCAGATATTCTAAAGTGCAGTTAGTTGAGTCATTACAATAGTTCTAGAAAAAAAATTGTATGGAATGAGGGGTTAGTTGAAAAAGCAAAATATTACGTATTCAAGGTCTGATTACAAGATTTGAAGAGGTTGTTCTTCTTAGACACTATCTTAACACATATCATGTGAGAATTATTCTCTAAATGTTAGGTACTCAACCACGATGATAGGTCCTGGGTTCGGATCCCACGAGTCGGGGTCGTAGGCGGGCACTGATGAGGGGTCCCACAATGGGACGAAACGGCCGTCCAGTGCTTCCAGGTTTTCTATGGTGGTCTAGCTTCCATTGACTCATGATCTCAACTACTGAAATTAATAGAATCTCCACAAAACCACATCTGATGCTAATCAACATATGCTCACTAGTGACTGGCTTCAAGATGTATATCTTGGAGTTTTAGTGAGAAGCAGTGACTAGTAGAGTTCAACCGGGTCAGTTATGAGATAGTAACTCACTGATGACAATGGTGGATGTGTCGCTCAATTTTGTGGATCAGTTGAAGTTAGACTTTAACACCGTTGAATGCTGACAGGCTCAGTGGTCTAGTGATTAAGCGCTCGCGTGCGAGACCGATAGATCCTGGGCTTGAATCCCGCGAGGCGGGATCATGGAGTTTGATACTATGACGAGATGGCCATCCGGTGCTTCCAAGTTTTCCATAGTGATCTAGCTTCAGTTGACTCATGAATTTAACTAATAAATTCACAAATATTTAAGCGTTAATTGTTAATGTTTCAAAAATCTGAATTTCGTTGTCTGTGGGTGATAAACTTTAAATGTCAAATATATATGAATGATAAGTTTCAATAGGTGTCCATTTTAAAATAAATCATTTTTAAGTAAAAGAAGTTTCACCTTAAATTTTTTCATTTCATTTTGAACATCTTTAATTATATTTAAAGCTGCAGGCGGTTTAACCTCTTCCATTTCATCATCTTCCTGTTCAACTATCGTAGTAACATCTTCCTTTGTCACATCTGGAGCTGTTGTACCTGTGTCTATACTTGCCAAACGACGTCGCTTTTTCCGCGCTTTATTTCTTTCATCTGCTTCCATAGTCATTTTTTTATATTTCGCTGTGAAAAATTTTTGGAGTTTGTACAATTCACGCCAATATTCTTCTACTTCAGCATCGATTGCTTCAGCGTTTAACTTATCAAATTCGCCATAAAGCCAACTAGATTTTGAATATTGAAAAGGTTTATTGAATATAAAGTAATTGTTTGTTATTTCTATAATAATGTTCCATTTTCAAACATAAATCAAGTTGATGTCATGAATATTTTAGATAACAACCACGAAAATAATACCCTAAAGTAAGAAAGTTTCAAATGGGAACAGCATGAGAAACTACAGTTTTCTAAACAATCTGTCTACTACTCTCTAACAATAAGTTTATTCAGGTTCGTGAATGTCTACTTTTCATAACGTGATAATAGATAATCAGACATTCCGAAATAAGTTTTTAATTTATTGTCATTAAGTCCTAGAATCATGGTCGTTAGTGAAGGAGTGAATTGGGAGATAATGAGGGGTGGTTAAATGAAGATATAGCATCAGTCGATGAAACTATGGACTAATAGTCTGAGTCGTATCGATAGATGAAACCTAATTGGTTGTAGCCAGCTTCATAGCCTCCATCACTATTTGGATACATTAATTCACGTGGATCAGAATCACTCGTGTATTCATTCTATATGTCCCCTGAGATCTTGAATTTCATTATAGCTTTTTACAAGCCTTTCCACTCGATCATCTTCAACCGTTTCTCAATGTCCAATTTTTTTGTTGATCGTTTCTATTACGCTATTTAGATCTCATTCACCGTTCATTTTGTTATTTTCATCTCTTTGTGCAAATTTGGAATGGCAACACGAGTCAATGAGGATCACTTCCAGGTTCTATGTTGATCATATCTGTTTCCCTGTATAAACATTACGTTATGATGAAATATTAACTTAATAAATTTCAAATATACAACAAATCGTTTACACATCAAAACATTTTACTTACCGTCTTTCTGATTTAGTATACTTAACTACAGTAGTAAATAATTTGAGAAATGGTTCTGCTGAATTTCGAATCTCTTCCACTTCAGGATAATTACTAATTGGAAGTTTGTATAAATCCTCTTCTTTATTAATCCACATTTTTTCATTTTCTGCATCTTGAAGACGTTTTAAAACTCCTCGAACATCTTGAACATATTGATTTTGCATTTCAGCATCTACTTCACCATAATCATTAAATTCATCAACACGATTTTTCAATCGATTTAATTCAGCCATTAATTTTTCACGTTTTGCTACAACAGCTGCTTCACCAACTGAACGCATTCGTTCTTGTAACTGAAAATAATTATGCAGAACTTCATTTCTTTTTTGTCAGTAAGCAATTAAATTACATAAATTGATTAGTTTTCAGTAATTAAAGGTTGTAAACGTCTTAGTCATAAGAGTAACTGATAGCAAATAGAGCACCTTAAACTATGGCACTCATTGATAATACTTGGAACCCTTAGTAGGAAATAAATCACTTTAATTGGATGGATATGCTGGTGAGACTATAATTTATGGACGACCTTTCAGCGATACTAAAAAGACCTTGAGAGTGTTCATCTATTAACTAGGACCAAATAAGGGTTATAAATCAGCGTGAGGAATTAGAATTATGATTTACAGTTGATAATTAAGGTTAAGAATTACAATGGTTAAGATCATGAGTCAGTTGAGGCTAGACTACCATGGAAAACCTGTAAGCACTGGGCGGACGTTTCGTCCTATTGTGGGACACCTCATCAGTGCTCATCGACGACCTCGCCCTCTGCGAGATTCGAACCCAGGTCCTACCGGTTTCGCGCGCGAGCAGGTCTTGAGTTCGAAACTCTCAGGGGGAGAGGTCGTCGATGCGCATTGCTGAGGAGTCCCACAATTGGACGAAAGGGCCATCCAGAGCTTCCAGGTTTTCTATTGTGGTCTAGCTTCAAATGGCTAGTGATCTTAACCATTGAAATTACTATAATATCCAGAAAACCCATCTGATGTTAAGAATTACATTTAGGGTTTTCATCACAACCTGATATCAGTTATGATACCAAAACTCTATTTAGCCAAATGGATGAGTGAATTTCGCACCAAAATTCAAAACCTGTTATCTTAAATCTGATTGTTTCGTCAATAAACTATAGTCTCGCCGATATGTTTTATCTATGAATGCTAATAAACAAGAAACATACACTCTTGACTTTCTAATCCCTGCTTCCAATTATAATAACATAAAGTGTAAGATAGTGGGAATTCATTTGATCTAATGGTCATATACCAATTTTCTTAATAGACTTTAAACTATATAACATGATATGGGATATCATTATATAATCAAAATTACTTTGTCATTTGCATCAAATTCAGGAATAATTCGTGTTTTCCATGTTAATACAGCGCTGTTCTTGGCTAATTCCTCAGGACTAAAGAAATATACATCGAGTAAATAATTTAAATATTCCATAGTCAACTAAAAGAGAAAAAAAAAGAAATTTAATAAACTCTTCAAACGAATATTCATGATTATTCAACACATATAATAGTCTATTGTAAAACTAATAGTCTTTATATGCACAATGAATAAACATGATGATGTAATAGAAAGACTCATAATACTACATTGTGTAGTGGAAATAATAACAAGACAAGATTATAGTGTAGGTAAAGTAATATAATTAAAATACTTTTGTTACACTAATGAATAACATCATGGAGATATGAGATATAATTAGATAGGGGGATATTTTGAAATAAGAAATCAAATGAAATAATAACAATAGTCTATGGCAAAGATAAGGATAAGTTGTGGCTTCAACACACATGGATGGCAAGAGTTTTTGCTGTTTCAAGGTGACTACGAAGAAATCTAGCTAGATTTGAACGATTTTTATAAACATCCGTAAAATTAACTTAAAAATTCTTGAAGTTATTAGAATCAACTCAATGTTTAATAATGGGACTTTTGAATGCTTTCCTGTCACGTTTGTGAAAGCATATTAGAACATAATCTCGTATCCTAGTTGAAAGCAAGTGCTGGCTAAGGCCTACGTACCTTGCTCCTACAGAGCGGGTGAACTGGTAGTTGCCTGTAAAAGGGGATCAGAGCTCGACTTTTACGGATACAGAAAACAAATTAGTCGCAGTTTTTTGTACATGCACTGTTATTTTTATAGTTGTCGACAGACCGTTTTTAAAAAACATAATTTTGGTCACTTTGAATTTAAGATTCATTTGACCTTATTTCTTTGAAAGGGAATTATCGAATTCTTTGTCTTGACATCCTTTTATGGCTTGAATAACTGTTTTTACCCAACGTTTTTCTGAGGAATTCAAGTCCTTTTAATTATCTTCCTCTATTCACATTATAATCTGTTGCTAACTAATTAATTTTACATGACATTTCATTTGCAAACACCACAAGATATAATACACACACAATCTTTTATTGTTACTATTTACGCTACATAGTCTAGAATTATAAGTTTTTTTATATCATCATGTACTCACGGGATTGACACTTGAAAATAGACATAGAAGATTTACAGAAATGAAGTAGTAATACGGTGTATACTACTGTTAAGATTACTTGTGAGTAGTATGTAGCGGAACATGGCATTGAAGCTTTCACAATCAGAATACAGAGAGAAATATTTCGGTATGTCAATAGCACGGTGTGGACAGAAGACCTGAAAACTATCTATGGTTAACTTAAGTCCAGAGAATTAAGTGTTATTCATGCTATATCCACATACGTAAGGAGATCCAAGTTTGTTGTCTTTAACCGATATTCAAAAAAATTCGAATCAGTGGTAAGATATATTGAAACGACCTGAATTCTAATAAAAGACTGTAATTTGAAATTTTATATTAGATGAAACAGTTAACTGATCATTTGGCAAACATAAAGTAGATGAGGAAGAAGAATAAATGATTGATTGATATTTTATTATTGAAAGAAGATTTAGGAGCATAATGGTATGAAGGGTTGAATATACTACTTCGAACAATAAATTTAATCTTTGATTAGCTATTTGTTGAAAGCCCAATGGAAAGGATTTTTAAACATTATTGACAACCATAAATTATTATTTTGATGACATTTGTTTAACTTATTACTATGGCTATTATTCCTAAGATTTTATTCAGTCTTCATTTAGCTAACTGCTATTTCATTCATCTTTCCGTTAAATAAATGATTTTTTTACGCTTACAATTTCTAAAATATATGTAAACTACTCTGAGATTCACAAATGATTGATCACTGGTTGGTGACCAATGTCATGTGTTTCAAGTCCTTATTCAGCGCAGATCGAATGCTACCGACCATGTTGCGATGTGACTCGACACTGCGTGCACTATATATTGAGATTAAATGGTGGTTGGAGGTAGTCAACAGAAAACCCTGGACTCGGGTTTCATGCTACTTAGCACTCGTCAGCAAGGTGTACCTGTAATCTTGAGAGACATGGTGCTCCCCGGCGGGTTCGATCCCATGTCACCCAGCTTCACAGTCAGAGACGTCACCACTGAGCTATCCGGGCCGCGACCAACCTCCTGTAGGACTGAGATGTAATCACAATTGATTGATCACCGGGTAGTAATCGATGTCATGTGTGTCAAGTCCTTATTTATTTAATTGACCAATCCTATCAATTTAACCGATTTTATTTTCTAATTTTGTCTTCAAATGATCTTATACGAATAGATACAGGTGCTGAAAATCCTTGTCGTTTCAATTGTTGTTTTATTCTTTAGTACCAATGCAGGGCTTATGAAATATCACTGAACCTTAGCCAACTCATTTGGCAGTCAGGTCACTGAATATAAAACAGTTTACCAATTCTCGTCATGTTCAAGGACAACTAACGCGCATCAGTCAATTACACGGCATAGATAGGCTCATGCGACACTAGTCGTACTTTGTTTCTTGTACCTACTCTTATTATTACACTTCTGTAATGACGTTGCTTGCGTTGTACAGTCATCAAAGTAGACATAGTACCTGGATACGATAAAAGGGTAATCCGCATAGTGTGACCTCGGCGTAAGCTGGAAGGTTACGCCATTCTTATGCAGCTCGAGTAGGCCATTGATCATTCACATAGATCACCTACATTGGTGATCCATAAGAAGAAGGCTGTAAGCAGGCTGAAGAACCCATGAAATGATATAAATTCATTATGTTTAAGTATTATCCTTAATCGATCTAAAATTAGTTTAAAATAACTGAGTTCTCTTTACGCCTCTTAGAAGTTATCAGGGAAGTGTAAGGTTTATTTAGTTCACATAGTGATTCGTCAAATCAAATGAATGATGAAAAACTAAGGAATAGAATAAAAATGACTTATCATTTTGGTAGTAATTTGGCTAAATAATAAGTTCGAAAAATATGGTCATAGTAACAAACAATCTCTATGATAATGAGCAACATATCTCATCAAAAAGTCATTAAAATACTGAGTTCACTCACTGAAATCTTCTCTGTCATACGAATCATACCCTGACATCGAGCTTCTTCCATATACTGAATCATATCAATTAATTCTTCACTATTTTGTGGTGTTGTATGACAGCGGTCCCGGATTTCTTCAAATGATGCACAAATTCTTTATTATTTAAAAGGGATAAGATATGTTAATAAGTTTGAACATCATGTGTTTCATATCGTCAATATATATATTGAATTTAGGAATTCTGAATGATTGTGATGTGAAGACTATTTCTAAACAAAAATTTCATTACAATCGTTTTCACTGAATTCTCAATCATGCAATCATCAGTATCTCATTATGCATTTAGTTTGGTATCAGCTAAGTAAATCAAAAACGTTTATTTTTAAATCTAAACGTTACGCAATCTGTATTCTTGATGTAAAACTTGAAAATATACATGTTAAGAAATGAACGATTTATTATATTACATTATTTTATACATATGAAACAAGGATTGACAAAGCAAGAGAAGCATCCCCAAAGTCGATGAATAGATCGAACTCAAAACAACTGTCAGCCATAAGGATTAGCAATATGAACGTCAAGACAGTTCTAATATACGGAGATAAAAGTTGGAGAATTACCACAACCATTGTCAAAAAGGTACAGGTATTTTTAACACTTATCTACGCAAGATACTCACTATCCGTTGGTCGGATACCATCAGCAACAGTCTACTGTGGGTGATAATAAACTAGCTTCCATATGAAAAGGAAACTAGGAAGAGACGTTGAAGGTGGATATGACATACAAGCGGAAATAATCAAACCGTATGACGGGGCAAGTGTTAACTTGGAATCCTGAAGGGAAAAGCACAAGGGAAAGATCAAAAGACACATTTAATCGGGAGTCAGAAGCAGACATCAAAAGAATGAACAGCGATTGTAAACAACTGGAAAGCATTGTACAAGACAGAGCTCGATGAAGAATCCTAGTTGACGGCCTATGCTCCTCCACGAGGGATAACAGGCGTAAGTAAATAAGTAAGTGTTCATAGAATTCTGATTGAATACCATGAAAAAACATGATTACATCCAAGTATTAAAATGGTGTTATGATAGATGGAAATAGTTTAACCAACACAAATACTAAAAATAAACCAAAACATAATTTACAGTTAAAAAGAAAAACAAAAAACAAATTGATAAGAAGGAAAAATGAATACAACCATTATCATCATTGAATAGAACATAAAGCATCAGACTGTCTATTTCACCGAAGACTACTTTTTCTCTCATGTTAATCACTTAAATTTTCTAGTGTTTGCACGAATAATTAGTGACTGTTAAGTTTATCTTAGATTGATTGTACTCGCTCCCTTTCCACTCTTTTGTATATTGTTTTGTACTACTTATTTACATACAGTAAGCAGTTGTATTCCCAACAATTTTTATACCTATGTTGTAACGCAATTTGTAGTGTAATATTCTGAAATTTTCACATATATTTGTTACGTTTATTATACCTATCATTGTATTTATCACTTTAATTACCGTACCTTAATCACTTTAGCGGTTATCCACAGTTTTTTGCATTTGTTTAAACGCAACAGTTTCCATATTGTTTGCTCTTGGTTCGTGTTTCAGTAGTTTGTAAACTGTTATCAAATTTAGACACAGCTATCAGCTGTCATTTGTACTATCGTATGTTATAATTATTCTTAATGTTACTCTTACAGGAAGCCTTTTTATTTTCATACTTGAAGGACGCGTTTAAACGCCCCAGACACCTCACAAGTTGAGGTTTGTAACTAAACTTTGTGTATTATTTAATAAAGAACCGTTATTGTAGACAAATCATTGTTTTGGAAACTTCGGTTTTACTCGTATCTCAATCAGGTGACTTGAAAGCTTTGATAGATCTAACAGTGACTATGGTTTAAAGATACGAAAATCTATCGTTAAAATTAAACATCCAAGGTTGAAAAAATGTATCATAGTTCGCTTCGCTTGAGCCCTGGAGTTAACATTGACTGAAGTTAACACCCAGTTTTAAGAAAACGATATGTTACAATTTACAATTGTATTAATCAAACATGCTAGTGGGATATACCATTAAAAACGTAATATCAAGTGATTCCACTAATAGTTACAAACTATAGACATAAGTTTTTTTCTAAAATTCGATATGTTTATTTCATTTCCAAAACAGGTCACTGAGCATTCTGAAATGATCAGTATTCTGTTTAGAAGTAATTCGCATAGTTACTCCAGGCACTATTACTACTGATAAAGAATAATCCTTCTAGATTTTATTCATGAATCGACCAAAAATTACACTTTCAAATGAAAATACTTTCAATGTTATTGTTTTATAAAAAGTAAACTGCCCAGTAGTGTTTCATGTGCCAGTATTTTGTAGTTGTCAGCTACAAAAAATCAAAAAATTAAGTCAGTCAGTCAGTCAGTAAGCTACAACGTAGATGACATAGTCATTCACTATAAAACATTCAATATCAGTAATTGACCAATGGACAGATATTTCGAACACATTTCACTTACTCGTCATTATTTCGTGTGAAATCTGAAACTACTCGATCTAACAATAATTTCGCCAATCGATGACATTCTTTGTATAAGCCAGTTTTAACATCTCCACAATCAAGTTGTATTAAATCAAAATATTCGGTATTCGGTAAATTCATCACTTCATTTGCTAAATCATGCAATTTATTTATGTACTATAGGATGGATGGAAAGATGCAAATAAAGTTATCTCCTATGATCATGCTTAGTATTCTAATGCATCTATTATCTACTAAATCTAACTAAATTAAGCGTAAAATATAGAAGATAAAAAATGGTCTTAAATCACACTTCAGAAGTCCATAAATACTACGAAGCAGCTGACTACAATCATTGTTTCTGGCCTTAACACTCGTCATATGTCGTCAGCCTCAAGAATGTTCTTATTGAGTGATTGATTGACGATGAACTTGTAGGACTTAAGGAAAACTTCAAACAGCTTTTATTATATTGTAACTGTTTACTTTCACTGAAATACAGTCGATCTAATCTCTATCATGTACTAGATAACAGTGCTTATAGTACAAGTTACTTTCAATTATATTTCGATTAATAAATAGTAATGAAATTAAAGACTCATTATTTTGTCTCTGTTCAGATCTCTTCAGTTGGATTTATATACATCACAGTATTGATATTCACAGTAAAATGAGAACCCAGTATTATTAAGGTATTCCAAAGTAATACAAACTCATTTAAAGATGATAATAATAATACTAATAATGATTTAACATACTTCACAGTACTGCTTAAATGGTTTGTTACTTCCTAGAAATTCTTCCACCTTCTTAGCTTCTCTACCATCATATATAAATGAATATGGTTCAACTATAAAATAAAGATAGAACAACTGAAGTTATTATTGAAGAAACTTACCAATAACCTTAGTTAAATACTGTTGTGGTACTTCAAAATAACGCTTTACAGCTTCTTTTAATTTTTGTTTACACATTTCATAAACATCAGTTGGAATTTTCGCTTCTATATACATTGGCATTGGTGATGAATTCAACCAGCTTTGGACTGTTTGAATCTATTCAATTTGAACAATGAAAAATATATGAAAGATAAATAACCTTTAAGATGAAATTATTGTTGTGGAACTTATAACAGTCATTTAATTGTAAAGGAGTTGTATTTATTCACATAATTTGTACTTGATGGGGGCTTGGAACGAATTTAATCCCATAAGGTATTCTAACCCATGTAAGAGTGTTAAGTCCTTAATGCTAACTGAATTCTTTTTATCAAGCTGTAATATGTCCCCTAGTTCACGCTTTTTATACTTGTTGGCTCACATAACTGAATAGGCTTTACTGCTTTCACAACCTGGTTTAGTTTCTACTCAACGAGCAATAAATCTGGATAGTGTTTTAAAAAATAAAAGGACTAAGTAACGCATAACGCATAATGCAAAATATCAATGCGTTATATTGTTTGTTGGGTTTTGAATTTATCACCGAAGTGTCTATTATATTCTAGTTTGCTCGAAGTTGGTTGTCCATCAGCTTTTGAGGCATACTATAATTTATGTACGAAGCAATCAGATTTAGGATAACACGTTTTGGATTTTGGCGCAAAATTCACTCACCCATTTGACCAAATGGCATCGTGGCATTTTAGCCGATGTTAGTTCGTGATGAAAAACCGTAAATCTAATTCCTAAACCTAACCATCATCTGTGAATCATCATCTTTATTCTTCAAATGCTTTTCTAACTCTCATTTAGCTCTGGCAAGCAGGTAGACACTTTCAAGGTCAGTCAAGCGTCGCTCAAAGGTCGTTCATAAATTATATTTTCACCATTTTTGAAAATTATAAGCTTATTAACTACAATTATTAATGCAGAGAAATTATTTATAGTTGGACAAGTCATATGCGCATAATCTTGACGTCTTAATTTCATTGTTTAATCTTAAAAATTATTTTGATTTTATTGACGTCAAACAATACCTCTCATTTAACAGACAAATGATCAGCGTTACTGATAAGTAAGGGAGTTTTGGTTAAAATCCCTCAATTTGAACTTCATGTCATTCAGGCGTTAAAGTTTGTTCTAAATGATCCTGCATTTACATTGTTTACGTCGCTGACTTTTAACCTCCTTTCTATGTCTCAGACCTGTAGGTGAGCTATAGAGAATACTAAATGATATAAAGTAGTGAAAAGTGTGAAAGTACAAAAAATATTAGTGGAGAAAATTTTGAAAAATAATGCTTGAATTAAAGTGATCTATGATTTATAATTTTGTACAACTGATTAGGCTAGTAGATCTCAATCCACAACTGTGATCACATTATTGTACCCTTTAGTTCAAAACTGAGGACTGATTCCATCAAACTATACAGAGCCGAAAATATTGTATCAGTCGTAAACCATTGTTCTATCACTTTGGTAGATCCAGACTACCCGGTTGGAGTTCGCATTATAAGCGTCGTCTGTGGCTTAAAACGATGGATGATATAGTTCAGAATCATTTACAATACAGATGTCTTCATCCTCTTTCATCCTATCATGAGTTACAGTGTTCCGTAACATACATTTTTTTATCATGGCTATCATATTACTCAGGCCTATTTTGCCATTTTTGTCCCATCATGTTAACGTGGTATTCGAGCCAGGATAAACATACATCACTGCCATGCTCTATATTAATGAGGTCTGTTAGCATATCTGACAATGTGTCAAAATGTCCTATCATTCAAATGAACGGTTGTATAATGGATATAATCCACAACCTTTGGTCAGCACTGAAAAATGAGGATGATAATTGTATAATTGATCAGTTTGCTTTCTAATCTCACTACATCAGAACTGACATGGGATTAATCAATGTAGACTTGTTTACTTCGTTGGTACAGAGCATTTTTTAATATATACGTATATTTGATAAGTCAAAATAAGTAAGCAAGCTCATAATTTCCTTTAATTGACATTTGGACGTTATTTTATTATCGACGTAAAATTTCACTCAAAATAACATTAATTTATTTCCAGTGTAACGCTTGACATTGGTTCTATCCACAGAATCACTTTAGCTAGTATGATGTTGAGTTTAGATTTTCCATGTAATATTATTTCAGGTCAGCATTTTTTGTATCAATTAGGTATGAGTTTTTGTTCTATATGACAGGAATGGACTTTGATCAGTGTAACAACTGAATTCCCCATACTATACTCTGTTAACTTTAATTGTTTTTACAGTAAGTCTGTGTATCTTACGCTAGTTCCTTGTTTTCAAGTACAAGCAATAGAATGATATGGATACAACTGTTGTCTTAAATTTTGCATAAATGGTCTGTACTATGAATTAATCACTTAGTGATATAAAGGGTTAATTTTTAGTGAACAATGTTTATGCTATATTAATCGCCGTTTTATTGAGTGACTCCGTCTACATTTTCAGTGGTTCGGTCTAATCATCGTGAAAAGCCTTGCACGAATTGTTTCATGTATAAAGTCATACGCAACCGTAATCATTCGGCTATCGCTTAAAGCTTTCTTTATACTGTATGTAATCGATCATGTATCAGTAAGTAATTTAGACATTTCGACTGGAAGTTCTTCCGTTCACTAGTAGTTTATTATAAAATCAAAGGTGCTTTCCAATTAAATAAATAATCAAAAATAACCACTAAGTGATACAGTCCACATCATAGTCAGTGAGTACAACAATAACAGTCGATACCGTTTATTCGTTTGGAGTAAAAAATTCTCATTTATAAGTGAAAAGTCTAACAATTAACTGCCTTCCATTGACAAACTAGTTTTATAAATATGGAATGCATCGTTTTTTGCATAATTACCTATTATTTCTGGTAAACGCAAATAGTGAGGAAAATAAACAAACAGTTTTCAATAATTTGTTGGGATACTGAAGTGTTTTTTCGAAGAACGGTTACAAAAAAAACATTTTCGCTCATCCGGTAATATATATATTAGAAACTTCAATGACCCTGATTCGCTCGCCATAGCTTATTATTTGAAAATGGGTCATGCTTCTTTGTTAACAACTAATTGGTGACATGTGACTTGTCAGTTAGAGAAAATCTAAAATGGGAAACGATATTGTTGTATTAACACAGTAAGAAAATATACATCCAAGAGGTTTATGTTAGTCATTATATGTTCCTGAAGCTAGCAGATCATTTGAACTCACAAAGCCTAAATGAAAACATCTGTATAAAAATAGTTAATAGTGCTTTGTTATTCTTTTCAGTAATGTTTGGAAATCCGAATCCCAAAACAATTGTCATCATATTCGTATCTGATGTTTCATGAATGTACTGGAACAAATTAAAATTAATAAAACAAGTATTTTTATAACTGTAAATCTATAGCTTACTATCTCATACTGCACAACAAACTAGACAAGATACCGAAGTCCATATGTTTTTTTCAATAATTGAAGCTTGCTCACTTGTTTAAATTATTGGTATGTGTAAAAATTTCTGTAGTACTAAATGGTATTATGGAGTCTCTGACTTACTTCAGTCTCACTTCCTATAGTACCACTTATGCCTGTTAACATTTCGACACATCATTCTTGCAATATTAAAAGTTTTTGCCCGTATACCTTAGATGTCCAGTCGTAGAGCTAATTGACTGGACAACAATGTCAGCACATCTTGACTAGGTTTCATGCTAGTTTTTGCCCGTTACGGTAGTCTAACTGCAAGTAAACAGGAAATGAATTTTTACAAAAGATGCATCTTTTCATTTTGTCGTGAAATCAACGTCGTCACTGGTGATCAGCTTCAGTGTTACCAATCTACTTTTATGAAAAGTTAAATTAGCTAGGTCAAAGTATCATTTGGGAGCAAAATGCACTATACAGTGCACAATGTAATGGTAAAATCGAGAGATCCCAATATTAATGAAGCCAAAAAGCTGGGTAACGAGATATAATTATGGAATTTAGCAGGTCATAGACTTTCGGGGCTTAATCCACTACCTGGGAACCTATTATCTATTTCACAATTCAGGGGAATCCCAGGGAATGCAGTCAGGGGACACTCTAACTGTTGTTTATGGGATTTGAAAAATTGAAGTTCTACATTACTAATTTAGTGCCGAATCGAGAAGCACAATATGTTTGGTAATACATACTAGAAAATAGAGTAGTAGTTCAGGGTCTTGTGTCACATAAATGTGGATTAAAGTATGTGGTCAATTACCATAAAAATTTTATATTTTCAACGAAGCACTTACCAGGATCCATATCTAAATCATTACTAAGAAAACAGACATGAAACAATTTTTTTCTACAGCTAGCATATAAGCCCATAAAAACCAAGTGCACACTACAATTGTTACTTTCCATTACTTACATTCTGAAGAGAATTGGAGATGAGCCCAGTAATTAAAAATATTAAATCTTCAAGATCACTGAAACTAGGATAGAAAAGGATGGTTTGATCCTCATAAGTCAGGTACATTTTTAAAATCGGAAGGTATTCTTTGTGATCCTCGTCAAAAATTTCGACCCATTCCAATAGATTTCTTTGCAAGAATTGCTTTATCTGTAACACATCTCTATTAACACATATAGCTCATACCTGAATAGATAATAGTGTTGAAACACAATTGAAGAATTTTTCAAGATTTTTTGTCTTCAACTTTGGTACGGACTTTTTGTCCGAGAATAATTTGAGTATCCTCGGGTACCAGTTATGCAGCAGGTATTCACATTTCGTGTCTATCTCTTTTTGTACTAAGGTTCGTAGTTCACCAAAATCGATAGCTCCCAATTCTCTAAAAGCGTGGTCAAGAATTTTCAGTATTTTACGAACCTGTATTTCAGAACGTTAGTTAATCTCATACTAGAAAATTCTTGATGGCATAAACACAAAATCTTCTGCATGTGATGGTGTGTTATTATTAGTTGAGAAACAAGTTCTTTTTTATACTTGACAAGATCGGAATGCCACGACTGGTGAGAACTTATTATACTACATGTAATAACTACGGGATATCAAGACAAACCTTGAAAATTCTCTTTTGCCAATGGATTTATCTTCTGAAAATTGAGAAAGATTCGGTCGCTTTAAAGTTTGAGAAGTCAAAGATTTTCTCAAGCTCTCCAAAAAGTGTTCTTTAACTTCTATCAAGATTTCATTTAATTTGTATTCTCTTCCAATTTTTAGCTTTGACGGAGTTTTCGCCAAAACATTTTGCAACCAGTCATCCTGAATTTCAGGTATTATGCTACTTTCTACATAAGATTTCATAAGGTTGTAGTTTTTCTACGGAAAACAGAAGTATACATGTGACATATGTCACAAATATTTGTACTCACTGTTAGTTTTAGCTCCTCGCTAACCATCTAAAAACAATGAAAAATTCATAAATTTTCATGAGAAAACATGGATCCTACAAAATTCGGTACAAACGGTGATTCTCTTGGAATTGGTAATGTGGCTAATTTAGTTTGTGTTCTTCTGTATTCAGCATGTGCTCGCTTGATACTGCGAAAAATCAGCACCGAAAAGTGATTACTTTAGTAAATTGACCTGCTGCCTTCTCTGACTTTCTAACGAGTATGACAGGAATTTTTGTAGTTGTGGATCTTTATCTTTCTCAGCTATTTCCAGTTTGATTTTTTCCACTTGTGGTAAAGGCATCAAGTGACGCTTAACAGGAGAACTTAGATCCATCATCACTAAAGATGTTAGTATAGGTATAATTCAAAATTAAGACAACTTTGAAAAGATAACTCAGATACTTGTTATAATCTATCACCTGTTCCCGATTCACATTTGTGCTATAATCAAACTATAGTGACAGCTGCGTTGCTTCATTAAAACAAGAATGAGGGACTGGATCTATTGAGAAATGGCCTAGTTTATGGTACTGGCTATAACGTCTATTTTATTCCAGACGTACCCCTATAATCTGAAATGCATTTCTTCCTGATATTATACACACACCACGTTTTGATCGTTCAAATGGTTCAAATAGTTGTGGATGTTATAGAAGAAGCTTTCTTTTAACGGCCTTCCGTGTCTAGTAGCAGTGGTTCACCAGTACCTCCGGGCAGGAAGATAAGGATATTATCGAGAACAGAGGAAAAAGAAATTGGTAAATTATAGTAAGACATTATCCATAGTCCTTAAGAATAGACCAAGTTTCTCCTTAAAGGACTCCTGGGAAGTCGCTTGAACTAGCTCAGCCAGTAGCGAATTCCAGCGTTTGACAACTCTTAAGGAGTAGAAGTTGTGTCTACAGTTCGTTCTATAGTGCTAAGTCTCTAGTTTCTGGGTGTTACCGATTTAGGTTTGTGTCGGAGCTAAACTTGAGTAAGTGTTTAAGGGGATGTCCAGAAGTGTCAAGGATACTGTAAGCCATTAGAAAGTCACCTCTAAGACTCCTATAATCTAATGGATAAAGGTTTAGTGACTTGAGGGCACTTCATAAGGCTTGAATTTGAGTCTCCGGACTGATTTCGTGGCTCTCCGTTGGATACGCCCCAGAGTGTCTTTATCCTTTTCGAGTGGTGGAGGAAATACTATGTTTCCGTACTCTAAATGGGGACGAATGAAACTGTTTTTCAAATTCGGATACTTCTAGAGGGGAGTCGCCTAAGTTGTAGTTGTAATTTGCAACATGTCTCAGATGGACTACTTTACGCTTTGAAGTATTAAAGGTAAGTCCGTTGTCATCTGCCCAACTTTGAGGTCGAGTCAGACCACCCTAAAGTGCCAGTTTATCCTCCCGGTTGCGTACATGTTATGGCAGATCGTTTACATAAATCAAGAAAAGAAGGGGTCCTGGTACTGAACCCTGGGGAATGCCACTAGGACATTCCGAAGCCTGAGAGAATGTGAACTTAACCCTGACCTTAACGTGTTGATTGTTTAGATATGAATTGAGCCAGTCAATTGGGGAGTGATTTGATAGCCAATTGTTTGGGCTTACTGACAAGACATGTATGGTTAGCTCTATCAAAAGCTTTTGAGAAATCAAGGTAAATGACATCCACTTTTCCTTTGCGATCAAAGATGGTTGTCCATCTGTCCACTGCAGTCAGCAGGTTGGTTATGCAAGAATGATCCTTCCGGAAACCATGGTGTCGAGGTGAAAAGAAGTTTAAGGATAAAAAAGTCGTGTATACCATCGCATATCAGGGACTCCATAATTTTGAAGGTATAGAGAAAAGGGCCACCGGTCGGTAGCTTGAGAGTTCGCTGCGTCGACCTTTTTTGAAAATAGGTGTGATGTGGGCCGGCTTCCGAATTTCCGGTAGTTGGCCTCGGCTTAGAGAGTGTGAGGACATCACGCTAAGCGGTATACTAGGATGGAAGCTGCTTCCCTCAGTACAGCGGAATGGACCATATCCGTGCCAGGAGAAGTGTCTAATCTTAAGTGCTGCAGTTTACGGAACACCAAGTCAGCGCTCAGATTCACTTCGGAAAGTCCTATGCAGTTGCATATGAAGCCTTAATCAGTATAGTTAATTTGGGTCGGTTGAAATGTCAAAGAGTATGGATCAGCCAAAAGGTTAACGGCGTCACCGTTTTATTGGTCAGCCATTAGGACCTAGCAGCTGGAAAACTGCAATTTTGGATTGTCGAAGAGAGGCTGCATAACGGAGTAAGCCTTCAGGATCAAGGGTAAATTTATTGGTGAGTTTCATCTGGTACTTAAGCCTACCCCTCTAATTGCCTTTGCGTGTATGTCCGTTATACGGTTGTGCTGCCCGTACGCGCCGTTGTTATCAGTTCGTTTGAAATCCGTCCAACAGTGTCTTTTGCGACTTGGCAAACGAAGAGTGTGGTTCTTGATGATTGTAGGTTGCTTGTAGATTCCGAGGACGGTTTGAGGAGCGGACTGTTTTGTAGCACATAAGAGCATGTGCATTAAGAAATCCCAATGAGCATCCACATCAATCCACTCGTTGTAGATTGCCCTGTAAAGCTAACACATTCAACCATTTGAAATTTCAGTACCTGTTGTTGATGGGACGTCTTGGCTCAACTTTGCTGATAAAGCTGGGGGCTATGACGGCGTGATCGCTCCTCCCAAGGGGGGCAAGGATCGAGAGGGTGTCAGCTAGGAACTCTTAGTTTGTAACTACTAAGTCTAAGCACAGCGGTGTCTGACTCTTTCTCCAACAAGTTGCCGACTTCACATTTCCCAACAATCCCAAATCCTCAATGAGGTTGAAGAACCGAGCTTCAGTAGATTTTTCACCCTCAATATACCTATGTCCCTTGGAATTGACTTGAGAAGTATTGAGGTCTCCTAGAATCAAGATACGAGTAAATCCTATGCGCGTAGAGCGAGATAATTCTTCCAGAATACGATTGTCGTACTCGATGTCAGTAATGGGCTTTCAGTAGATGACTCCAACTCGTTTATTCTGGTTCCTGCAAACTGACTAGGAATGATCGTGTTGGTTGGAGGACTTGTCGTTTCTCTAATGAAAATGATAATTTGTCGTAATTAATAGTGGCGAGTAATACTCCATCAATCACTCACATTGCGCATTTAAAAAAGACAGTGTTGTTTTTCGTCTGAGTATATTTTATCGTATTACCAATTTCACTACGCATCAAGACTATTGTTTTTGCTCAAATTGAATGTATTTCGGTAGAGTGGTCTCCAAGACTTTTTTCTAGAGAAGTTTACCATATGTTCTTGTGAGTACAGATGCAAAAAAGAGCACCGTTTTTCACTTGTTGAGTATATCTTTTGGTATTGTTTGCATTCTAAGATGTTAAGGTTTACTAAAGTCGGATGTTTTATTGTTGTTATGTATAGTAATATAAAAACCTCTGTTTTGCTGTGTTCACTGTCTATCACCCATCAGGTCTTGAAAGACACATTCTAGAGGTAAGTTTTCGCTGTTTTTCTTCCTATGAGATTGCAAAACAATTTTATGACTCAAGTAAGATATCATTGTGACAGACCCGAATTCTATTTACAGGTCTATGATGGGATTAAATTTGACACCTGCAGTGAGTGGTATGACACTTTTAGTGGCCCGTTGATCTGACTCCATTTACATTGTACGAATGTTTGTTATCACCTATTCTCGTATATCATCGTCGACTTAGATCGCGTTAGTCCATAACGGAATTAAATAAGTCAATTAACGAGAATGGCATTTGAATACATATATTTTGTATATGAAGTGAATGAAACAGAGCCAAGCAAAATGACGCACAGGGAGGATGGCTGGGAAGCCAACTCCATTTTAATTAAGCGTTACTCAGTATTTATAGTCAAACAAAATAAGCTACAGACATACAATGAATCATGGGACATGAAGTGTACACTCATATACGCTCATATAAAAAAACAGTCAAGACTGACAAGCGAATAATTGACAAGGTCAATATATGGCTCAAGTAAAATGAATAAAATAGGATGTCCGGAAGTTAGAATAAAGGTATATGGGCTTGCCATAATAACTGACACTACATAGCCCCCTCGTAGAAAATAGCACATTTAAAAAATGGCTGTTTTCGAAAATAACAGTGAAGTGGTGCGTAGTTAACGTTAACTGTAAGTAGCAAAAAAAAATTGTACAACACTCGATAAAGTACAGTGTCACATGAGGGTTGAGTGTATTATATGAAAATGTCATACTTATGCAAAAGAATACATGAATATAGAAAAGGCGCGGACAAAAATGGAAACGTTAATATGCGAATATGAGCAAATTAATGAGCGTACAAAAAATTAACATCTAATAATGCTATGACTGTCTGAACGATAAAATAACACGTTTGTATGAGTGATTCAAAATATCGTGAAAATAATAATAAATTGCTTGTGGGTATGATAGCGAAATAAATCGTCAAAATGGCTAGAGTAGAATATGACAGAAATTGGTCTGTGATGCTGACAAAATGGTGAAATATGCGAAATATATGTTCTGTTGAGCCGCAGCAGAATAAATCGCATTGACTAGTGATGAGTGAATTCGAATTTAAATGCGTAGAATGATAATAGAAAAGTCGTGAAATGATATGTGCATCGACGGGTGATATTCGTTGCTCCACTGCAATTGATAATAATCATAAAATATGAAGTCAGTGAACGTTGTCGTCTGCGTTATGACAGATGCATTGAGTTATCATTAAATATGTATTAGTAGAAGAATGACCAGAGGAACAGATTAGAGACTTTGTAGACGAGGTACGTAGAGTCGTATTCCTTTTTGGTCATGAAGCCTAGAGTGGTTTGTGTGGTTTGAGGGAGATGCGCTCGATCTCGTTTGTTACAAAACCGTACCAAGGCATGACAAAAATACCAATACATATGATTAGTGATGGCGACGTATGAGACTGACTTGGATGTGACGAACAAGAGTGTATCTTTGAGAGGCTAGCTCTAAACTCTATGTTCTGATATACCGAGCGATGGGTATATAATAGAAATTGCAGTACTCGAATAGCGTTTTTGAGTGATAAGTTATGCAGCATGTAGTTATGCACGTGGAAGAATAGATAAAATGAACGTAATGGTTACTAGTCATCTAGTCAGAAGCATCCACAGACATAATAGGAGGCGATTTCGAAATGAAAAATGTATGTTGTGATAACATAAATTGCTGACCTCGACTAAGTGAATGAATGCAATATTAGATCAAAATGACATGAAAAAAGAATTGGAACGAACTCACTTAAAGCAGTAAAATTTCACGTTTTTGAATAGTAAAAATATCCCAATGAGTTCTGAATGTCATTACGTGGAGTGGAATTTTCATAGAATGATAATTTGTTCGGTGAGTGATATGATTGCGAAAATGTCAAT